CAATAAAATGCGCATTTAAAAAAATACAAAATAATACAAAAAAATTAAACAGTTAAAAGTTATTTTTAGCTGTGCATATAACTGAAGGATTGTATTGTCCCTCCTTTTATTGTACTGTGATTATTTATGATTGTAATGCCTTGTATGATTGTTTCTATGTTTTGTGAAACACTTTGGGAAGGGATGGGACATTTTCATATGAACTGTATGACTGTACAGCAGTAGATATGGATCTACATTTAGGCTTAGGCACAGGTAGAAGATGGGGTTTCTCCTGTCATCAGATGTAATCATCAGAGCAGTGAAGGATTAGAAACCAATGCGCCACTAAAGGAGCTTTCAAATGTAGGACCAGAGGCACTCCTAAGCTGCCTAATGTGCTCTGGCAGAAACGATGCTGTTGCCTTGCCCTGAGTTTGGATTAGGGGGAAACAAAATGGTGGAGAGCGCCTTGTTGTGGCCATAGAGAAAACTGCAAAAGTAAGACGCAGCACATATTGTAAACACATCAGAAAAGAACAGACTATTGTGGGAAACATTACATATATACAAACATAACAAAGCCTGCACCATAACGATTTTAGTAGAGTTGATACTGAGGTCATGTAGTGTATCAACAAGTTAAGCGATTAATTAAATAGTTGTAAATAGTTTAATAATTGATTTTTGAACCAAACACTTAAACATGAGGTTTTATGACTCAGAATGAAATGAAAAAATTGAAGCAATGAAAGATTCTCTGCAGGGTGAGGCCTCACTTGATCTTTGTTTTGGTCAAATAAGTGAAAGATTCCGTATCCATATGACCTTTCGGAATACAAACTCATTGAGTATTTGAGAAAATAATCGGCTATTTGATCAATTATCAAAATAATGGTTAATAACAGCTCGAGAGTGTATTCAGGCAATACTGCTTGAACTGAGTGAGTTTTGGAAATAACAATACATTTACTTTTGCAAGCTTTTTAGTAGTAGTTTTTAATGATTAAGTGGAAATATTATGCAACATCTTAACCATGTAACTGTTTTTGCGAACAGACCTGTAGTAATTTTTAGATCCATTCACGCCAAGATCAGACACTTGTAACTCCACCCCTTCTGTCTAAAAGCCCTTGTCTCAGTCCTATAATATAATGTCATTGTACCACGATGACATCACACTCACGTCACAAGTATTGGGCAATTCCTCAAGTTATTATTTTCTTTACCATCACATGGCTGAGGTTTGCAGCAGGTAATTTTCGAATAAAACAAAACAGAACAACTTAAACTCAAAGCATGGGGAGTTCAATCAATCAATCAATCAAAGTTTATTTGTAGAGCGCCTTTCATACACAGGGCAACACAAAGCGCTTCACAGTCCACATCACAAATCATCACATAAAACAAACACCAGAATCACAATTAAAACATTAAAATCACACAAAAGATTAAAACACAATAAAAACAATAAAATCACACAAAAGAATAAAACCATTAACACTTTCAAAGTTACACAAGAAATTTAAAAAAATAAATAAATAAATGACAGCAGTGCATTACAAATGGAGATAAAATCCTTCAGTTGTATGCACAGGCAAACAGAACAGTCTTTAACCTGGATTTGAACATTGACAGAGTAGACGCCTCCCTCACATTTTCAGGGAGATTGTTCCAGATCTTAGCTGCATAGATCTGAAACGCAGCCTCCCCATGTTTGGTTCTCACTCTGGGCACCAGCAGGAGGCCAGTCCCTGTGCTCCTCAGAGTCCGGGCTGGTTCATATGACACCAACATGTCACTAATGTATTCTGGTGCAAGGCCATGGAGAGACTTGTACACAAGCAGAGCTGTTTTAAAATCTATTCTTTGAGCCACAGGAAGCCAGTGCAGAGACCTGAGGACCGGACTAATATGGTCATACTTCCTGGAGTTACAGACAGAAAGCATTTCATACCCTATATAATTTCACTACATATATTCTACTTAAGATATTATCACGATGAGATAGTCTAGTGAGAATAGTCTCAATGTTATGTTTAATGGCCAAACGTAATGTGTAATAGTTCTTCTTTAAAACAGACTGATTTTATTAACTTCTAAAAATGTTCTTCTTTTAGTAAATAAAACAATCCATGCATTGTGAATGGCTATAAATAAAAATAGCTATAACAATGCATTCCATCGTGCCCAAGCCGCACAATACTCTGAGGCGAAGGAAGCATCTCAGTCTCTCAGGACAGAAACCGGAATTACACTTTAAAATGGGTCATTCACAAGACCAAATGCATGACAAGAAATACCGGAAAAGATGACGTTTTGTGGTCACAGTTGTTCGGCACATTATTCAGGTTATAGCAACTGGCCTGATTTACTTCAAGGGGGGACGCAGACAGACGGGAGGGTGCAGAGACGGCAGGGGGAGGTAGGGACCGACATGTGACCAGGCAAATGTGGACTCGTGAAGAATTCAGGGCAGGACAGTGGATGTCTCTGTGTGCGCCCAGCAGCATGGAGAAGAACTGTGACATCAATCTAGTCTCACCACGAAACTTCTTCTTCCTTCTTCCACAGAATTGGTATTGTAGTAAATGTAGCAGAGATTTGCTGAAACGTTCCAATAAAACACCATGAGGCATATAAAGTGAATACAAATGCTGGAAGTACTTTTCCAGAATGTTTGATGTTAGAATGGTGAAGCTTTTAAGAGAATTCCATTGATTATTGCCTATACAAGAACAGCTTAAATAACAATAGATAGAACACAACCTAGATTTCGGTCATACATGTTCATTTTACCACGCTCAAATAGTGATAAACAAATCAGATCACAACATGCCTGTTTTAATCTTCTTGGAAAACATGTTATCTATTGTATCATTCTAAGTAAGAGCCCTGTGAGATACAATATGACTCTTTGGGATGAGAGGGTGGTCCTCACTTTTGCACTTTTCTGTCTGGAGATGCTCATTTAAAGATAAGAAGATAAGATAAGATAAGAATTCCTTTATTCGTCCCACAGTGGGGAAATTTCGATGTTGCATCGCACATATAGGACAGTAGTAAGAGCACACAGGGAGCACACAGAATATATATAAACTATATACAGATAAGTAGTAGCTATGTTTCTTAACTAACATAACTAGCTGTAGATGCTGAAAATGCTTCAATACCAGTCAAAATATATATATATATGTAGTAGTGCAGTTATATACTGTACAGTTAAATAGTGCAGGATAAAAAGTATATAAGTAAAGTGACATGAGGTAAAGTGACATTGTTCTGTGACATCCTGAAGTTGCAGTATTGCACATGATTTAAGAATTTACTTAATTACAGAAGAATGAAATTTATGAAATTTACAGGCTCAGCAGTTCTTATTGTACAGTCTGACAGCAGCAGGAAGGAAAGACCTACGGAACTTCTCCTTCACACAGCGAGGGTGAATTAGTCTGTCACTGAAGCTGCTCTCCAGAGCAGAGAGAGTATCCTGCAGGGGGTGACAGTCATGGTCCAGCATAGATGTTAGTTTTCTCAGGACCCTCCTGTCCCCCACCTGCTGCACTGTGTCCAGGGAACAGCCCAGGACTGAGCTGGACTTCCTGATGACCTTGTCCAGCTTCTTCCTGTCCCTCTCTGTGATGCTGCTGTTCCAGCAGACCACACCGTACAAGAGGCTGATGCCACCACAGAGTCATAGAAGGCTTCAGGAGTGGCCCCTGCACTCCAAAAGACCTAAGCCTCCTCAGTAGGTAGAGGCGAAAGACACCACAGAGACCAATGTATTAGAACAAGTGATAGAACTAAACTATTATAAAGCAAGATACTAAAAGATTAGTTTTTTTTTTGTTCCTTTTTTGTGGATTTAAAGTAGGGGTATCCATGATGTGGGTATCCCTATTTTAATTATTACCTCAATTAAAATAGTAATTTTGATATTAATGGAGTATGTCAAGATCCATGGTCAAGATCCATGGTCGATCCAAGATGGCGGCCTGTAGTGCTCAGAAGATGTGTAGAAAAACGATGGATATATAATTCAGGACAACAGTGGACACTAAAATCCCCACAAAATCCTACCTTAATGAAAGCTGTAGGTCCTCTGTCAACTGAAGTCAAACTGTTTAAGTTTACATTGAGTTCTATGGGACATTTTTCTAGTTAGCCCCATGGTAGCCCGCGTGAGTTAAGTCTGCAGTACCGCGGGCGCCCCCTGTGGCCATTGGTGGGACAGCTCTAACCTATGGATGTATTACGGTAATACTCTATCCAGAGTATGTGAGCCCGGCTTTAGTCTACCTACACTCCCCAAGGCTGCAGCTATAGATCCATGTTAGTAGTCCGCAAAAAGGATTTTTTTTTTAATAAAGCCTGCTAACAAATTATTCACTCTATAGCTAACACATTAAACAAGAATAAAACAACTAAAATAGAACTATAATAAAACACATGTATGCATTGGCGGTGGGGGGAAAGACTCACAAAAGCCACAGACTCACCACAGTAGAATATTATCATGTCAGCATGCTCACTTTTGTCAATCTAAATAAAGTTTTTCACACACTTTTTAATATACCAGGAAGCCACAGGAAAACGTTCAAAATAAAGGCACACGCTTTGTGCAGTTCTGTAGAGAGATTTCATTGTTTATCATTTTTAGTACAAAACAATGGAATATTGTAGAGGTATAATCATTACGATGTCGTTATCTTGTGTGGCAAAAAAATAACATAAAAATAAACGGCAAAACTAAGTGTTTACTTTTGACAGGGCAAACCGGAAGTGCGCGTACACATGTGTTTATCTTGACTGTTGAAAGAGTTAATTGATGGAGAGAAAAACTTGCTATGGTCTGTTGAAGTTTCCGTGTGACAGAATGCCTCTAAAAGCATGTTGTCTACGTTTCAGACAGTGACAAGGCCGATATGGAGGACACAACAATCCAGGTGCACACATGATGACAACTTAGTGATCAAAGTTGGAAGAGGTTTGGCACTTGACTTTACTACCGATCGATCACCATGGCTCACCACCACCACGCTGCTTTCTCCATCGGGGCATTCGTTTTAACTTTGTGTGCTGGCGTGTCTGAGGGCTACTTTACCATACCGCTAAAACTCAACTCTGGGAAAGTGAATGTTTCTTCTAGTCTGGGTCTGGCTTCGCTCCGCAGCGCGACAGTGGATGCAAAGGTCCTGTCACTTGCCTCTGATCCCACTGGTCAAGTCAACTTTCTGGACCTAGTCAACAACCTGCAGGGAGACTCTGGGAGAGGATACTACATCGAGATGGCCATTGGCACTCCTGGGCAGACGGTCAGTGCCACCAAGTATTCTGAATAACACACACAGATATATGCATGTTGGATCAAAACGTTTCCAAAATGATGTGGTTAGTTTGACTGTGATTTTGGATTAAATTTTATGCAATATTTTGAGTTCTTCCCATGTAAATATATAGCGTTAATTATGTTTAGCACTTTTCAAAAACAGTGTTTACAATGCGCTGCACGGTCAGCATTTAAACATCATAATAAGGCAATGTCAAAATAATTAACTGTGGATACAGGAAGGCACCCATGAATTGGCCATGATGGATTAAACTCGGCTCTATACAATCATTAAAACGTGTTAGATACAGCTATTTATGCTGAAGATATTTGTTTTACCTGGAGCCAAAGATCAAGATTAAGAGATCCATTATTCATCTACAGTGGGGAAAATTCAGTATTGCCTCAGAGATTACAGAGCAGTAGGAATGAGGAGCACACAAAGTGAATCTCTAGTATTGCAAAACTCTATCTTTAACGGATATATACAATAAAATACAATCTCTGTCTTTATCTTAATAAAGATGGAGGCATGAAACGTGTCGCTAAGTAGTGACGATTTGAATGAGTACTCATTATGAAGTTGGTTTTGACGTTTGCCATAATCAAATAGCCTTTAATGTTTTTACAGAAGCATTACTGCACAGTGGCACAGTTTTATCCACTGTGCATTACTGCACAGTGGATAAAACAGGGATTTAATTATAAGCATGCTCCACTGTTTTCTCCCTCATTCCTCTGCATCTTTTTTTTAAGCCATGCTTTTACTCATGGTCATGAGTTCCATACATGCAGTGACTATGCAGTCTGCGCTCTAAGCTCAGCCCTCCCACCATGTGACCACTGAGCAGGACTGTGGAAGGGGCCACTGAGTTGGAGTCACGTCCCCTGCAGCGTCTCTGCTCCTCAGGCCGTCTATACATAAGACTTAATTCATGAATCAAACTGTTCATGTCACGGGAAGCTCTTTCCTGCATACTTGGCCTGGTCCAGAATAGATGAATGAAAAGATCTTTTTATCCCAGTGTTTTCTGTGATGAGACGATCAGAACAGGGAGCTTTTATTACTGCAGGGGTCCGTGCAGTGCTGCAGCCTTGGGGAGTGTAGGTAGACTAAAGCCGGGCTCACATGCACTCACATGATGCGGCCTCGCTGTGAGGACCACTGCTCCTTACCAGGCAGCTGACCAGGATTATGAGGCCCCCACTGAGCCAAGAGCGGCCCCACACTTCACACGCCACTGTTTACAGGGCCACATGGAGACTTCACAGTATGCAGGCATCTAGGGAGCATAATATGAACTTGGATATGATAAACGCTGCTGGAATATTGTGATACCGATACTGTCCGTGGAGAATGATGAAACACAAGCTTGTTTTCAATTTACCGCAAAGCAACTTTTGAACTGAAGAAAGCTCCTTTAAATGCTGCAGGAAACAGGAGGCTAATGAATAGAGCAGAGATGATTATTAACGACACAAAGGTCCTGGATTTGAAAATTAGTCGGAATAGTTGGGTTTGCATGTTCTCCTCATGTCTGTGTAGGTTGTCTCCAGGTGCTCTTGTTTCCCCTACCACTAAAAACGGTCCTGACCAAGCCGAGCATCACCCGCTCTCTAGTTTAATTAAGTATGGATAAAATGTATATTGCCCTACTATATACATTATCCTTAATGTGCAAAAGGAAAATGCCATTTGAGCAGTGTATTTATTTATTTACTTTTTTAAGAATTAATTTGTTTCAGTTTCCTGTTTCCTGCAACATTTTGATGAACAATTCTCCATTAAAACAAGAAAAAAGTGTTGAATTGTTAATTGCTATGCCATGTTAGGTTGTATGGTTTGATGACTTGGACAAAGTAAAACAATGAAAGTTATTCAAAATCTGCGGATTTAAATTGCCAAATGAAACCGGAAGCTGAAACACTTCAAAAGATGAATGAAAAGAATACATTTCCAAAATAATCTGTAGATTCGTATTTTACTTTTTATTTCTCCGTCATTTTAAATAAATGGAAGAGACAGTACATGGACAAGAACAGTACATTATCAGGGACTTGGACATGCACAAGTATAACTATAGACAGTGAGCAGACTATGGACATAAAGCAACAATACAGAGTCAATAAATGGTCGGTCAAAAAATATATAATATTTGTTTCTCCTTTAATTTTTGATTTTATTTTAGAATGATATCTGAGTGAACCGAGTTATACACGGCTTGTTATAGACTACATTATAATATCATTAAAGATTAAAGGCTGACTAAACGATCCTGGAGGGGCAGAAATGCGTTCACATTTTGCTGTTAAAAATGCATGCTGCTTGAAGGTTCTACAAATTGGTTAGGATGTATTAAATGGCTAATTGGTCCATCAGAGACGTGACCTTTCGTCAGTTCTCAGGTTAAGCGAGGGGCTTTCTGGATCCTGTGGCGTGATTCCTAGCAGCCGCTCAGTGAGGCTTGTTAGTGCTGTCTGTGTGCCCGCTGAGCCCCGAGGTGACCGCCAGCTCGCCAAAACAACACTGTTCCCACACAACCCTCCAAATTGTCAAATGGAAAATGAGCCAATCTACTCCTACAGTAGTTTAGGATTACCTGGAAAATCCTCTGTGTACATATGTGTTGTTTGTTCTTTGGGAGGGATAAGGTCAGAATACTCTACTGCACACCTAATGCCTCTGACGTGACAAAGCCAGTGCTTCAGGGGAAACTGGAAGGATACAAGTTTTTGTGATTACTCATGAAAACGTTTTATTTTACTGTTCAGAAATGTTGTTCCTCCGCTACAATCTTCCACGATATCCATGGAGAGGTGGTTTTAATGTTTATAAAAACATGAAGACATGACTCCTCTAAAGTTACTGACATTTATGTGAATCCACAAGTTGAATCCAGAAGTTAATGTATACATTTAATAAAAATGAAACTGTCCATGCTCAGGCAGGACGATCAATGCATTATTTTCATAATGTTGAAATATTAGGAGGAAATTAGGATTTATCTCTTCCTTTCTGCATAACATCAGAGTCAGACCTTCACATACACTAAGTATACACTACAGTAAGTATACACTACTTACTGTAGTTGTGGCTTTTTGACATAATTTGGTCCAATTTGAGGAGCACCTGTATTCATTTATGAGGCATCGGACTCAAACATTGTGCCTTTTTGTTTTCTGACATGGAAAAATCCAAAGAAATCAGCCAAGACCCCAGGAGAAGGATTGTGGACTTCCACTGGTCTGGCTTATCCCTGGGAACAATGTCTAAATGATTAACAGATGAACTGTTAATCTTTATCTGGAGGTGGAATCTAACCCAGGACCTTCTTACTGTGAAACACAAGTGCTAACTGCTGCGCCACTATCTCCCAGGAATACAACTCTTTCTGCGTAAAACAAGAGCAGACATCATGAAAAAGAAGATAGTTTTTAAAACCAAGACAATCCAAGACATCACCAATTTGAGCTTTGGCCCACAAACCTGCCCACAGCTCTGTCAGGAGGAGTGGGCCAAACTTCCACCAATTCACTGTCAGAAACTTGTGGAAGGCTCCCCAAAACATTTGGCCCAAATAAACTGTTCAAAAGTAGTTCTGCCAACTCCAATTGTGTCCCTCCAATAATTTGATGTTGTGAATAAATTTTTTTACTTCGATTAAATTTTAGGAAATGTGAAAATATTGGCAGGATTCCATGGAAAGTTCAAATAATCTCTGTTAAAATACATTGTGGAAGATTATAGCTGAAGGGACAGTATTTCCATCCAAAAAAATTGGAGGATTTGTTTCTCCAAGACACAATTGAAAACCAAAAAATAAATATATTTTTCTCTGTCCAGTCAGTGCCGCGCCGGAATGCACCGACCCCTTTCCAGTCGAGTCATTGTGCGGCGGTTCTGCTTGTTAGACTGTGATTACATAAGTGCGGCGTTAAACGAGCTACTATTCAAATGAGCTGCTAATTGGCGCATCTGTTAGCGTGTGGCAGTGGCGGGCGGCTGAGGGGACTTCTCATCTGCTAATTGTTACAAACAGGTAGCAGATGCACGTGGCTCCATGAGGCCGGGCCCAATTACAGCTGGAGTGTTTAACCGGAGGCCAGCTCAGGCAGTAGAGCGATCTGCCCCGGGCTCGACAGCACAGAGAGGGGAAACGAGCCACTGATGTCTCCAGCCTCCAATGTTTTTCTAACTGTCGTGTTTTACTGGTTCAGGCACAACTGCTGCTGATTAAATAAGGCTGTTGTCCTTGGCCGCGCTCTGTGGGCTCTGTGTTGGGCTGTGCTTGGACTGGCTCATTTGCATAAAACTTACTCAGAGTTTTAAGTTGATACAAGATCCTTATTTGTCTACTTTTGTCAGTGCTGTCTCGGCCATTTGATATTAATTATTATTTGATGAATTTTATGTTATTTGTACAGTCAACCTGATACAAATAGACCTTTTCCATGAGGAGGAAGAGATGACGCCAACTCATGCTTGTCTTTCCATGCCTCACTGCCAGGCTCCAAAAGTAAACTTAATCATTAGAGTTGTGGAAGTTGCCAGATTGCAGACAATAGTGGAATTTAAAAAACGCAAAGGTTTAGTTTACAATTTGACATTAGTTTGGAGTTTGTATTTAGTGTTGAGAAATGGTTTGAATAATGTTTTTTCAATAATCACAATAGGACTGAAGCAATAAAAGTCTCATGTTTGTTATCATTGTGTTTGTTTTAAACTGTGCTGTGTAGGGCGGCATGGCGGTCCAGGGGTTAGCACATGCTTCAAAGTGTGTCCCCTATCACTAATAACATGAACATTTGCTCCCTTCTCTGTGGAGTGTGAGACAAATGCCCACAACAGTTGTAAAGCACTCTGTAGAAAGATCACATACTCACTGTAGGACTGCACTGAACCAGACTCATGCACTTGAACATGATCTATTTCATCTAACTGGTGTTGGTGGTGTCCAGAGCTCCACATGGGTGAGGAATGCACTGGATAATTAGGTCCTGCTTGTTGACTTCTCAGTCTGCTGTGGACCTTTCTCCTCTGGGCTCAAGTGTCAAACATTTGTGTGATTTAAAATTAAACCAAATGTTTCACTTTACAAAAGGACACATCAGGCTCATTAATATTCAAAAGAAGTGCATATGAACCGGCTCTTGTTGTTTTTGTTCTTGCTGTTCTTACTGTCCACAGCGTGATCCAAAAGTGTGTCCTGGTGCGTGGGCAGTGACGTTGTGTATTTTTCAGGTGAACATCCTGGTGGACACGGGCAGCAGTAACTTTGCGGTGGCGGCGGCTGCACATCCTTTCATCACACACTACTTCAACACGGCGCTGTAAGCACACGCAGCCCTCACGCGCGGGCCGCACACGCAGCCCACGCACGCATCTTGCACATGCAGCCCGCATTTGCAGGCCACACTCGTAGCTCGCACACGCAGCTCGCACACGCAGGTCGCACACGCAGCTCGCACACGCAGGTCGCACACGCAGCTCGCACACGCAGGTCGCACACGCAGCTTGCACACGCAGGTCGCACACGCAGCTTGCACACGCAGCTCGCACACGCAGCTCGCAGACGCCTTATGACCACAGTTGAGACACACATGTTGTACTTAAATGGGATGAGGATATTTTTACTTCCTTTGCCATAACAAAGGACTATTTACTTGGATAGCACAATAGCAAAGTTAAACTTAAGTGGGGCTGGGTGATAAAACAATAATAATATATATCCTTTATAGACACGTTATCATTAGAAAATAGGGTCAAAAAAATAGTTTACCTTGTTATAAAAGTGATATTTAAAATGAAAACAAATCTATTCAGCCTTATATTCTCCTGGTGTTTATTTAGAAGAAGTAAAAAAAAAACAAGTTGTATTAATAATTATCGATATCGACTGATTTGAAGCATCATGATAGAGTTTTTAGCCATGTAGCCCAGCCCTTAACTTAAGTCAAATAAAAATGCTATTAAAAATGCTAGTAACCGGATGAATCATGTTGTTTGGGATAAGAACCTATGGAACAACATACATTGTATCTCCAGATACAAGACACACACACCTTCGTTAATCTCACTCAGCCTCTCTCCCGTCCTCAGAGCAGCTGACGCAGACACTGTGGCCAACATGCATTCTACAAGTTGTTGCCATTTTTCTGTTAATTAGATTAACAAACAATGACTCTTCTCCACCTTTTCCTTTTGTCCACGTTGTTTAGGTCGAGTACGTACGTGCCGACAGACCGGACTGTGACGGTGCGGTACACCCAGGGAAACTGGGAGGGAGAGCTGGGCATTGACCACGTGTCTATCCCCAAAGGCCCCAACGGAACCATCACCATCAACATCGCCGCCATCTTGTCGTCACAAGGTTTCTTCCTCCCTGGGATCAACTGGCAGGGGATACTGGGCCTGGCCTACCCCATGCTCGCTCGAGTAAGAGCAACATTTACCACTAGACACGTAGTTAAATACAGAACCATTGAATTGTGCCGAGAGAACAACCTCCCTCCAAGATAATGATTCTTTCGACTGCCGGTGCGCACAGCCCACAGTCGTGCATATTCCTCAGGAAGAGATTGTATACATTTCTGATGTCTCTAGATTTATAATGGAACAATCCAAAGACACATGGTTATAGCAGTCCCTGTTCCTCCACAACAGAGGGCTGTGCACTGGACCAAGGTGTTGGTCATGTTGAGAGATCTTTTCTTTCTTTTGCATTTTAATAGTTATAGTCTTTGTCATAGGTTGTTTTTCATATTTCTATATTTAGGTTTGGCCTATGAAAAAATGCATCATATAGTGCAGGGGTTCCCAAACTTTTCAGACAGGGACCCCAAAATACTACAAACCTACAAACAAATGGTTTGTATCAATTAAACAATGGTCTGAATAGAATTATATAAGAATGATTACATTGCATCCAAAAATAATTCCTGGACCGTCCTGGGGTCACAGCCGACAGACTGTTTACTGCTTTAGCATTATCAATGTGTGGTTTTATCTATTTATGTAGCTTAACCATGACAGAGAATGAGATCAGAAGGAAACTTATATGTGTAGAATCAAGGACTCGCATACGAGTAATGTTCCACAATCCCACACTCATTATGTGTGATGATGTCTGTTCACTCAGATTGTTCTCCACTTCTCCGTGAGCTCTGTTTTAACTTTGTGCAAGTGATTTATCACATATCTGCATCAAGGGTCTTGCTAAATGTGCTTTGTTTCTCTCAGGTTTGTTTATTGTAATGTTAAGTCGTGTGTCTTGTGTGTTATCAGCCAGACTCTTCAGTGGAGCCCTTCTTTAACTCAGTGGTCAAACAGCTGGGGATCCCTGATGTCTTCTCCCTCCAGATGTGTGGAGCGGGTCTGTCAGCCAGCAGCTCGGTCGAACCTCTTGGTGGAAGTCTTGTGAGTATTTATTCTTTAAAACAATTTACTGATAGTAATGCATTCGTACAATGTATGCCATTCTGGAAAACCATGAAGTGCCTTTCCTGTGTGTTGACTGCCTGTTTTAGTCTGGTGGTGCCATGATGCTCCAGTTCACATATTGAAAGGGGTGATTATTGAAGGAGTCTTATTCACGAGTGAGGGAAGGAGGACAGTGTGATGCCAACAGTCTGATAGTGAAAGTATAATGAACGGAGATGTGTGACTCTGTAGTGAAGGGAGAGCTGAGTCCAACTATATTACTGCCCTCTCCTTTAGTCTTGCGCTTTGGGAAATGGCCGAAAAGACAAGATCATAAATAAAAGCGCCCAGCATGAGTTTCCTCATATGGTCGTCAGTCACATGAGATGAACTCTGAGTAGAGCTCCTGCTCCTCCACATTGAGCGGAGCCAGCTGAGCTTCTAGACATGTCCCACTGTGAGGGGGCCCGAGGCACTGTGAGGGGGCCCGAGGCCAGCAGAGAGACACTGTCTCTCTGCTGGACTGGAAACGCCTCAGCCTTTCCCAGATGAGCTGGAGCCGGAGTGCATGGACGGGGAACACTGGCGACTCAGATTAGACTGCTGCCAAAATCCAGCCCCAGAAATGATATGAATTTGACCAAATTGCTCAAATACATACAGTTAAAAATCATACACTGTAGAAGTGTGGGCTTAGCTGACAGGGCATGGCCTGGTGAAGTAATGTAATATATAATTGTTATGTCCATCTGATCCTGGCGAGAGCAGGTCTGTCGCTGCCATACGGTCTCTGTGGTGGTGTTGGAAGGTTACAGTGGCTCAGGCAGATGGACATGTTGGCTGAGAAATGATGTAAAATCTATTTTTTTTTTCAACATTGACTTGAAAATGACTGTTATTTGTATCGTTTTTCTCAGATTATGGGGGGGATTGAGCCTACTCTTTACAGAGGGTCAGTGTGGTACACGCCGATCATAGAAACATGGTACTACCAAGTGGAAGTGTTGAAGCTGGAGGTCGGAGACCAGAATTTAGACCTGGACTGCAAAGAGGTACATTAGTTAATATAGGGTTGGAATTAAGTTTCAGTACATTTCAGTGTTCAGATGTTTTGAATATTTAACGTGATTAACTCTTTTCAGTACAACATGGATAAAGCCATAGTCGACAGTGGGACGACTCTGCTGCGACTGCCGGTCAACGTGTTCACTGCAGTAGTGAGTGCTATCACACGCAGCTCTTTGGTAATTCCATAATTCTGCTTTTATTACATCCTATTGACATGGTAGTAGCTCTATGCAAATTTAGCATTTTGTCCCTTTTTAGATCCAAGACTTTTCTACGGGTTTCTGGGATGGCACTAAACTCGCCTGCTGGTTAAAAGGAGAAACGCCGTGGAGGTTTTTCCCTAATTTGTCAATCTACCTGAGGGCCACGAACACCAGTCAGTCGTTCCGCATCACCATCCTGCCTCAGGTGCGTTCATATAGACAGATACTGTATAAGGACAAACGGGGCTTTACCCAAAACTATAACTATGTGTGTAGTTGTACATCCAGCCGATCACAGACGTGGATGGGACACTGGACTGCTTCCGCTTCGGGATCTCTGCTTCAGCCAACGGCCTGGTGATCGGGGCCACTGTGATGGAGGGCTTCTATGTGGTGTTCGACCGCTCCCAGCAGAGACTCGGCTTTGCTCTCAGCAACTGCGCAGGTCAGAGATCAAACAACGGGGAAACTGAAACTACAGCGACCATGACCCCTTACACATGAGGTTAAACTAAAGGAGCGATATGTAAAAATCTGGCCAAAAGTGGTACTGCAGTCTCTCCCACTCCCCGACTCAGGTCAACAACAAATCTATAACAAACACCTTTTCAACAAAGATAGAAATCCTGGTTTCATTCCTTGTTTTGTCGTTAATGATTTGAAAATCATTAAACAGTGGAGGGCGGGACATCGAAATGAAAACAATAACAAGATTTAGGGGCTGTAAAACTCATTTAGAAATCCAAATATCTCTGAACTACTGTTATAAGTTAAAGAAGTATTTGAAAAGAGCATGTTTTTTTAATGCTTTTTGACAGATTAGAGCCCTTTTAATGATGACTTGAAAACCTTTACATATTGCTACTTTAAATGAAATTGTTCACAGTGTATATCAAAGACTTTGTTTTTTGAATGCAAAAATACTGCAACAACTTAACTAAAACAGACTGGGAGAAAATCTGCTTAAAAAATTGGCAGAAACAACTAGAAAAACAACAAATGTAATGCACTTTTTCAAATAACCTTGATTTAATAATATTTAGTAAATGGTACGACTACAAAGAAAATATTTGCACAATAAGAAAAACGGTGAGCTTCAAGTCAACTTTCTAGGAACTGTAAGTAATAAAGTTGTTAATCGTCCTGTCTGTGACACATGTCGCTCCTAAGCACTGGTTACTGATGCAATCCACCTGCTGGAGTTAAACTAGAAACCCTGTATGACTGCTTATTTTTGTCCCTGGTTTCTTTTCGATGAATGTGAGGAGTTATTTTCTTGATTGTTCATTTCTTTTCTTCATATAAAAAAGAAGGGCTAGCTATTGCCTCCAACTCACCGGCAACCCAAAAGAGGCCCTTGTTCTGCTCCGATTGCTGCTTGAAAATCGTAGACATCAATATAGATAGATGGATACTTTATTGATCCCCGTAGGAGAAATTCAGGTGTCCAGTAGCAGCAAAAATGAAATTGATCATTCTAAAAACATAATGAACAATCAGCAACAGCCCTTTAGGTCACAGCAGCAGAGGTGGAGTAGCCTTTAGGTGGAGCAGGACGGGTCACAGCAGCAGAGATGGAGTAGCCTCTGGGTGGAGCAGGACGGGTCAAAAGGTGGAGTAGCCGCTTGGTTCGGACCATTTTCTCTGCTCTCGTCCAAAGTAAAATGCTAATTCATTAGCATTTTTCAAAAAGTTAGCATTCTTCCAGTGGATTTTCACCTGATCCACTTGGTTCGGACCATGAATCCTCTCTGCTCTGGTCTGGACCAGTGTAAAACCATGAACACTGAACTGCAGCAACATCTCAGGCAGAAAAAAGCAAGAGCTACTTAGGACTTGTCGCCATTTCCAGGCGCATCGTTTAAAAAAAATAAAAATAAAAATAAAAATAAAGATTATTGCAGACATCATTGACTTGTACATGTGACCTGTTATCTGGGGACATCCACATACACAAGACACAGATGTGATTTAAAATGAAAATAGGCAAGGCAAGTTTATTTATATAGCACAATTCATACACAAGGCAACTCAAAGTGCTGAACAAAACAAAGCATTAAAATAATAAATAATCACAGAAAGTTGTAGCACAGCTAAACAGAACTGTCTTTAACCTGGTTTTAAACATTGTCAGAGAGGAGGCCTGTCTCACATCTTCAGGAAGACTGTTCAGGATTTTAGCAGCATGAATCTGAAAAGCAGCCTCCCCATGTTTAGTTCTGACTCTGGGCACTAACAGGAGTCCAGCCCCTGTGCTCCTCAGAGTCCGGGCTGGTTCATATGGGACTAACATGTCACTAATATAGTTTGGTGCGAGGCCATGGAGAGACTTGTAACAAGCAGAGCTGTTTTAAAGTCTATTCTCTGAGCCACAGGAAGCCAGTGCAGAGACCTGAGGACTGGACTAATGTGGTCGTACTTCCTGGTTCTAGTCAGGACTAATATGGTCGTACTTCCTGGTTCTAGTCAGGACTCGAGCTGCTGCATTTTGAATGTACTGCAGCTGTTTTACAGCCTGTTTGGACAGACCTGTGAGCAGGCCATTGCAGTAGTCTAACCTACTGGAGACAAATGCATGGATAAGAATCTCCAAGTCTGCTTTAGACACTATGTTTTTGATCCTGGCAATGTTTTTTAGATGGTAAAAAGCTGCTGATGTTACTGATTTGATGTGGCTATTAAAATTTAAGTCTGAGTCCAGTATTACCCCTAGATTTCTGACCTTGTTTGAAGGTTTTAGGGAGAGAGACTGTAGGTGACAGATGACGCTCTCTCTTTGTTTCTGGGGACCAAAGACAATCATTTCAATAGTATGTTTGGTCCCTTTTAAGAAAAATACAATAAATAATCAATGAGATGTGATAGGGCGGGTCACTGCCGGGAACACACATGGCTTAGTTTTGTCTCAAAGTTACCCTTCCCGTAACTCCGGGGGTTTCAGCTCCCGTTGGCCTTTTGGATGAGGTGGCGAGGCATGCATCAATCTCTTTTATCAAAGCGAGCAAACGGCGTACAGTGGCACATCCTTTAATACGGTGAAGCCTCCAGACTGAACAAAGACGAGCGTTGTTCTGTGCCGCCCTAAGAACCTTGGAGTCGGCAGAATGTGACTGCGGTCTTGTGATATCATGGCTGCCAGCTACAATTGCTGTCATGTCTATTGTAGTTCTGTGGGGTTTTTCTGGTTTCGTTCTAATCGACGTGATTGGTATTTGGAATTTTTTTTAATCTTATCTTAGTGCGGTGTAAAATCTCTGGGAAATGCACTTCCGGAACGTGAGAATGGGGCAGGCTGCTTTATAAAAGAGCTTCTCTGTGTTCATTGATCTTTCATTTCACACTGCTGGTATAGTGCTTCTATAGTCACCACTGCCTTAGGTTATGCAGCGGTTCTCAAAAGGGGGTCTCTTGGCCATGCCGTCCCTAAGACTGGTGTTGTATTTCATTGTTTATTTGTCACAATAACCATTTTTGAAGGACAATTGATATCTTTGTTATTGCAGTAAACGAAAATACTGAAACAATGTTATGCCACTGATGTAAGTGCATTAGTTTCTTTAGGAAGAAGGTAGCAAGAAATTGAACAGCAGAATCTTAGCATTATTGAACCAGATAAAATACATTGTTTTATATAGAAAATGACAAACATGTCTTTTGCAAATAAAATGTGCAGCTGATAAATATTGAGGCCCAAAATATATAGTGGCATCCCTCACCTATTGAACAATAAGTTAGTCTAGACTAAGCATTTATTTTTATTGTTGTTGCAATTAAAAACCACAGTACCAGTCGGGGTTCAGACATACAGTGGAGCACACATGTATTGCATACGATTGTGCAACTGCTCCCACTTATCCTTTGTCCTACCCTCGAATCAAAAAGACCTGCCACAGATGATTAAATGTAGGAGAAATATAACCTAAATAAGGGTCCTAAAGGGTCTAAATGACCCAGGGCTGGTCAAGTAAAAAAAAAAAAAAACATTCAGGTCAAAAAACATTTAAGGATATTTTTCAATCACTGTGGCGGGTCAATTTAGAATAGATGACTTTGATTTTCCTCATCGGTAAACTTCACCTATGAGAGACAAAATAAGAACAAAATCCAGAAAATGGTCTGATTTTTAAAGAATTAATTTCCAAATTTTGGTGGATAATAAGTATTTAGTAAATAACAAAAGTCAACCTGAATACTTAGATACAGGGCGGAACGGTGCCTGAGTGGATATCACTCTCGCCTCTCAGCAAGAAGGTCCTGGGTTTGAATCCCGGTCGGAACAGGGTCTTTCTGAGTGGAGTTTGCATGTTCTCCCTGTGCTTGCGTAGGTTTCCTCCGGGTGCTCCGGTTTCCCCTACCATTTAAAACATGCACACTAGGTCAAATCCTCCAGCTCTGGTCCTGACCAAGCCGAGCATCAACATCTGGAGATGGGTTCCCGGGCGCTGTTACTATGGCGACCACTGATCCTGACGTAAGCCTTAGGGCATCAGGATGGGTCAAATGCAGAGGATTGAATTGCCCTGCGGGGATTAATAAAGTGCATCTTTATCTTTATACCTTGATCTCTGTCATTGCCAACAAAGAGTATATAGCAAACATTGTCTTCACAACCTTTTTACAGACTGTTGCTGGTATTTTGGCCCATTCCTCCATGCATTTGTCTTCTCGAGCAGTGATGCTTTGAGGCTGTCTTTGGGCAACAGACTTTCAACTCCCTCGAAAGATTTTTTGAGGGGTTTAGATCCAGAAACTGATGGGACGGTTTCTCCCAATCTCACGATACATGGCCCTTAACATTTGACCTCTGTCATCGCCAACAAAGGGTATTTAACCAAGTATGAGGATGGACTTTTGTCTTTGACTAAATACTTATTCCATGATAATATGCAAATCAATTTTCTGGATTTATTTTCTAATTTTGTCTCTTAAAGATGAGGTATCCCTGTGTTCAACATTTCAGGAAAGTCTATTGGTCTTTAAAACAAACATTAAATGGCACAAGCTAGAAAGTATTTTTAATAATATCAAACATTCTTGTTCTTTGTAGCATTTTTAGAGATGTCACTGGTGCTTGGCTGACAGTACAGAACATAGTCAGAATGTGACTTTTACTAGAATTAAACGTCTACTAGAAATGATGAATTATCCAAGGATTTACCCGGGATTAGCCCAGAATCAAAGCAATAAACAGACTTTTCTTTTCTTTCTCACTTGAAAGATGGTCTTTGGGCCGGCTCAGACGGCCTGGCGGGCCTGATTTAGCCCCCAGGCCACAATGTGAATAGGTCTGTCTAAGAGCAATGCGTATGCCACACTGGAGGCCTGTAGATGAGGAACTGAAGCAGCTTGTTCAAACAGAGACGCACAAGAACAAGTCTGCTTTTGTCTCTTCTAATAATTAAGAGAAACAAAACAACTGGTCTGTTGTGTTGGATCTGCACTTGTGTCCACACACTTTATAACAAGTCTTACACAGCCCGCTTCAGTGCACAGCAGGGTTTGTGTTTGCATTTCCACACATTTGGATCATAGAAAATGAATGCACGCTAAGTCGACCACTCACCCGTGAATGTCAAAGAGGGTTGGCTTTAATACGCTTTGCTTTTGCCTACTCCTTTTGGGCATCATTTATGTATTTTATTTTTATTATCTCTTGCTCTACTTGCCATGCTGATCTGTACCTCAATGTCCACCTGAAACAAAGACGAACAAACAAACGAAATCATCAGGAAGCTACAACAGACCAACACTGGGTCAGGAACTCAGACCCACATCAGAACAAATCACTGCTCAAACCTGCCCACACTTAACGGGTTATTTTAGCTTTTTATTTTTGTTCCATCTTAACCTGTCACTTTGTTAAGAATGTTTGTTGAGTATCCAAAAAAGTGCTATATAAGTAAGATATATTATTTATTATTATCAACCACTACCACCACTGTAGCAAGGGCTGTCAATCCAATCCGTGCAATCGGGGACGCACACACACACACACACACACACACAGCTTTTAATAGCCGGAGTTCTGTAAAGTTTTATGTTTCATGAATATGTATTGTCCCTTCCTTTCAGAACAGACCACAGCTGACTTTATAAAACATTATCTTTTACATACTGAGACTAATTCTACCCCTCTTTAAGATAAGATATTCTTTATTTATCTCACAAGGAGGAGTCACATTTGGCATGGATAGAAACACTCAGATTGTGCAAAAAAAGGGAGGAAATGTGCAAACATGTTAAATGCAGGATATATTATGTACATAAAAAAGTGGCAGTTTAAAAGTGGCTTTCTCCTGGTACTGGTAAAAAGGGCAGGCTGATTTATATACATTTTCCCTTGATACTTGTGACACCATATATATTGTCTATGTTATCTAATGATCAAAGTCAGGGCAGGTGCAATATGTGTCCTTTTTAAGAACTGATACAATATAAACATCTAATGCATGTAACCGTTCACAGTGAGCGGGGGAGTGGCGCTCTCCGAAGTCGCCGGGCCCTTCTCTGCGGCAGACGTGGCGGCCGACTGCTCCACGCGCATGTTCAAGGAGTCGGTGATGTGGGTGGTGTCGTACGCGCTCATGGCCGTGTGCGCCCTGGTCCTCATCATCCTGCTGCTGCTGCTGGTGCTGCCGTACCGACGCAGGCACCGCTCGGACGACATCACAGACGAATCCTCGCTGGTCCGAAACCGCATCAAATGACTCAGAGGGAACTCGCAGATCCACAAGGTGTGCGCCGAGCAGAGTACCACCGAATCAGTGGAGAAGGGAGTTAGCCCCAGTCCACAGCTGTCTGGTCCCACAGACTCAAAACCTCACGTAATCACTGGTCCCCTGGAGGCAGATGTAGAGACTGGCGCTGCCTCGCAAAGGGAAAAACCACCCTGAACGTCTACTGCACTCTTCATTACTGCAGAACTACTTTGTAACTGATAATAAATGTATTGAAAAATTCTTGTATGCTTAACACCTGACCGGACAGCAATGTAAAAGTGTATACAAGATGCTGTGCCAGACAATGGTGTAGTCGTTCTTATGATTGTTTATTTATTTATACGTATTCCTTGTTTTGAAGGAATCCCCACAGTTCTGTAACATTTCTAGGAACTTACTACTGCAAATTCTTATTTGGAAAAAATAAGAATCATTTGTGGGTGAAAGTTTGGAGCCAAGACTTGCCTGAAAAACAGATTTTGAAATCTCTGCACTGAAAGTAAAAATATGTTTTAGAGGAAATCTGATCACTAACGGTACATTTATGCATTCTCACTGCAAAGACATCTGTGGTGGTAGTAAATATTCTAAACTGCTCAAATGATCAGAATCAGTGGCTAATCCTGAGTAGAAATATTAAAGGTTTAACCATTAATAAATGCAGTTGTTCAGTGGCTTGAAAAATGTCACGATAAGACCACAAACATTAACATATTTTTTATGAAAGACCAGCACCAAGTGGTAGACCACAGTCAACTGAAATGATGTGTGAGAAAGTATTCATGCCACGAGTCCAGAGGAAGAGCTTAGACCTCCACAGCTGAGCTGCTGATGCATGCACTATTCATGCTCTACACACAACTGTGGGAAGTGGTAAACACCAAACAAGTGGAAGAAGGTTCTGTGGTCAGACGAGACCAAAAGTGAACTGTTGGCCTGAACTCACTAGAGCTATGTTGGAAAACTAACTCTGCATCTGAACTCAGCAGAATACCTTCTCATTTTGATCTTTTGTGTCTTCAAATTTGAAATGGTATTGAAAAATTGTGAAAGCCCAACACTATTGTACATCCTGTGACAAGGGGCAGCATCATGCTGTGGGACAGGGCGAGTGTCAGAGCCGATGTGAAGGTGGAGGGAGCAAAATGCAAGACATTCTGGGAAAAAAGTTGCGAAAGACTTGACTGGGGTGGAGCTTTACCTTCCATCATTTCGTGAAACATTCAATCAAGATGCCAAACTCAAGAATATCTAAACTGCCCATAAAATTCCCCCATCTAGAATGATTACGCTTGAGCTGTTTTGCTAAATTGAATGGGCCAAAAGTACAGTAAGTCTGAAAAACTTCCACTACAAAGCTAACAGAATCATGCCCCAAAGAGTTCATCATGGGTTTGTTTTCACTTAACAAATGTTACTTTATACAACAGTGTCTGTGTGGGCGTGTCCTTTGTGCTGGTCTTACACAGAATGGCAATAACATCTCTTCAAGTTTGTTGGAAAAGAGCATGGGGTATAAATACTTTTGCAAGCACACTGTAGATATTGGTAGCAGGACAAAAATATATATATAATGCAAGAGAACCCAAACTCAATGTTTCAATTGTTTTAAACGTTGTGTTACAAGTTTGACCACCTCCAGGCCATTGTAAAGAAGAAAGTAGTTCTTTGCGTGGAAGGGACATGGTGGCTACTGCCCTCTGGTGGAATAGAATAGAACTGCATCTAATTATTGGCACCTTTTTACTAAAGGTAACAAACAAATGAATGAATGTGCATATGCCTTTGAAGTGTTTTCCATTTAAATTTTAATAAATTATATACATTAAACATACATCAACACAGTACAAAACGCGTCCTTCTTTTGGAGAATTAGTCATTTTGATGCTTCTGTAAGAGAAAAATAAACCTGATTTATTTCACTGTTCTGCTGAGACACAGTAGATCATTCTGTCATCTGCAGCACCTTCATCTGAGCGTAGATCCAGTCCATGAAGAATGTGACATCACCGTAAACATCGGGTTTATAGTTCTCAGTGCAGTGTCTTCCCCAAAGATTGTCCCCGAGTAGCCACCATCTCCCATCAAGCAAGGAGACCAGGGGCCCGCCACTGTCAGTCTAAGGAGACAGAATAAATAATGTGTATTTTACTGAGTCCACAAACAGCAACCAACGGACTCAAAAAGTCACATTGTTTGTAGTTTATAGAGAGTATTGCATTTAGTCCAAAATCCTTGATGCTGATAATAGTACAAAGGCTAAAATGCAAGGGGAAAGAAGATTTTTTTTTAAAGAAAGACGAAAAAGGAAAATGTCCAAATGTTTTCCCAGATCATTATTTGACAGTGATTGGATCATTGGCTGAAAGTTTAAATTACAACCAAGCAGGAGCACACAAGTCTCCACCCATTTCCTCAAGTGAGTCCAGTCTTAACCATAGACTGTAAATATTAACGCCTATCTCCGCTCAAACTAATGTGCCTCCACCTTTGCCTTCTGTGGGCTTTTTCAAAATGGCCGCAGTGGCAGGAAAATGTGGAAAAACACATCTGAGCACGCACTAGCAAGCACTAGCCTCGTTCGTTTGATGAGTCCAAGAGCCAACTTTTGGACCATTCTGTAAAGACGTTTTCTTGAGGAAAAAAGACGCCATACAAAAGCATTGGGTAATTCTCTTCCCGGGTACACCCCCACTGGCCCTAGAGTGGTATTACAAGCAGGTCAGCGCACATGCTCATGGACCTTTTGGAGCCAGGACTTTCCCCCACTGGTCTAACCCTGAAGACCCGAGGAAATGGGAGGATTCTGGTGGGCTCTTGTTCAGGTTGGAATGAAAACCCTCCAGCCTCTCCAGCCCTTTCTGAAACCGGTTTGACAGCCCTGGACTAGATTCACAAACCCTCCATATCCTGATTCTGATTCTGATATTAATCTTATGTCTGACAGTCTTTTGTACTGGCCAATGTCATGCATACGTTTTTGAATATTGTCGCGACTTCGAGACACATTTATGAGAAAGTTAACCCTAGTTGATGCTGACACAGAAGATGTGGAACTTTGTGACAGTTTTTGCTTCATGTGACTTAGACAAATGAAAGTTACCATAGTTACCAGGAAAGATTTGTCCTGCATAATATTAAACTACAGGCTCTTTGTTATGTTATGATGTCACGAAAACACAGAGCATGAATAAACATCTACTCCCTTAGTCCATATTACGAGATGGAAATGTTTGGAGAAGGCCCATGGATCTATTATATTAATTAGAAGGTCTCACACGTTGCTAGTTGTGTTTACACAGAGGGAGGAGATGGAATAAGGTTTGGTGAGTCTGACCAGGCAGCGGTCTGTGGTCGGAGCCTTCTCACTGGCACACAGCATCTGCTCCGTCACTCGGCCATTGTAATCGAAAGAACACTCTGCACGGTCCACGAGTGACACCGGAGCTTCCAACAGGCTCAATACATCTGGGAAGACAAAAACAGAAAAATACTGTATTGAATTAAAGGTGATGTCTGTAACTTCAATTTTGTTTCAATGGAGATTACAATATTTTTGACCATATGACTCTATGTAGTGTCATTTCATGTGACCCTCTGCCTTTGCCAACCCTAAGTAACAATAAACGATACATGCATGTGAAAGCCAAATCCTGTTAGACTTATGAAGCTAAGCAGGACAGGGCCTAGTTAATACTGAGATGGGAGACCTCTATGCACAACAATTCGATCTAAAATTGAATGACACGCCAGCACACATTTGCGCAACTTATTCTTCAAAAGAATGTATATCCCAATGCACTGCATGGATATGGATTGAATTTTTGTCATGAATACAAAAATAAAGTCAGGTAATGCAGCTTTAAGTCCTCTGAGATAACTACTGTTGAGATTCAGGGCGATACAAGAATACATTGAATTGAATTTAACTAGAAAGAGCTGAAGTGGCCTTGAGTCTTACCTCCAGTTAAGTTGTAGCCAAACTTTGTGATCCAGAATGATTGTGAATGTGCCATGTCCAGGCCCGCCGTTGGAAGGCATATAGGTCGAATATCATTAGAACCTGTGCATCAATAGACCACAAAATTCAAACATTTATTATTCACTAAGCAAAACAAGTGATAGGTCGTTTAGAGTTTGATGAGACTAAAGCTTGAATCACCGCTTGTGTCCAGAGGATTTGTCAGCCTCATCAGAGCAATGTCGTTCTGCTGAGTGACCGGGTTGTAGTCCTGGTGAGGGATGACACGGCTCACGCTGTGGGCTGGACTGAACAGAGTGTCCAAGTCCCCCACCAGCCCGCCGTACACCTGCCAGCTCCCGGGGGCCGAGCGTCTGAGGAGCAGAGGAAGCCAACCACCACAGCTCAGCAATAGTACAAATAAACTCTTTGGTACAAGTCTGGTTCATTTCCCTCTCGTTACCAGTGACTGAAAATGTAAAGGGAATTCTATGTCTTGTATTTTGTTGAGTATTTCTTTCATATCTATTTGAAATAAGGATTTATCTTGTTGATGTGAACGATCATTTTTCAATGTCAATGATATTTTCCTGGTTAAGTCCACACACTGACCACTGACCATAAACCAAGGTAAACATGTTTGCCTTTATTATTTACAGATACTTTACAGAAACTTTACATTATGCCACCAATTTCAATGAAATGGAGAAAATACTGTAGAGACATTATTGCCCTGTCACAGATACAAGTATCACCATTTATATGTTTTGAAAAATGCTAAATGAAACAAATGGCAAAAAATACTGAAAATGATGCATATATGTATATTATATTGGAAAAAAAGAAATACAAACATTTTATTTGACTTTGACATTTGAGTTCACCCAGCTCCATGTGGGAATGAGTCTTCAGGACAGACTATAGTTACTTACTTACTTATAGCCTGTGGATATTGTTAGCAGTGTATAATATTTACAGTCTATGGCAGCCATTCCCAAACTCAGTAACACCGAGGCCCCCTTAAAAATCTGACGGGTCTGCGTGGCCCCCCCAAAATAATAACCAAGAAGACAACATTAAGAATAGGCTCTTCTGGTTATTTTATTTTGGGGAAATAGCCTCTGCTACAAACATTGTAATACAAAAATGATTACAGTGGATTATTCAAGTCAAATAATGAACACAAATATTTTAATATTACAAACAAAACATTATAAATTTAACATTAAATAATTATATATGTATATATATTTTTTTTTTATGACCTCCCGCGGCCCCCCTGCAGTACCCTCGCGGCCCACCAGGGGGCCGCGGACCCCACTTTGGGAGACACTGGTCTATGGTATAGGCCTCTGCTTGAGTCTATTAGACAGACTGACCTGAGCACACAGTGCGCTGCCGTGAGGATCCAGTAGGGGGCGATGAGAGCTCCTCCACAGCGGTGTGTGCCTTCTGTCTGCAGACTGAGCTGCCAGGGCCATGAGCCCGGGGCCGCCTGCTGCCTGCGGCTGGAGTTCACGCCAATGCCACAGTCTGACACAAGAGCTGCCGTCAGAAAGACTGCACACTATCTCTGAGACCTGTCTCTGCTCTGGATCTCACTTAGAGCTGTTGTTTGTCCCAACAGAAAGTTAACAATGTGCTGTCTTCATCTTATTTTGCATTCTTCTAAGAAAGAGCCCTGTGAGTCACTATTGACGCTTTGGGCCTAGTGATAATGGGAGATGGTAGTCTCCTATTTTTTTGATTTTTTTCATTTGGAACTAGTGATTTAGGAGCAAAAAACGTTATGTTGATTTCACTAGTATAAAAGTTGTGTAGCCCGGACAGAAGTCCTTCTCGAGCTCTAAAAACCTACCTGTACAATGCAAAGCCACCACACTGTTGTCTGGGCAGGCATCACTGCAAACATAAAACACGTATTTAGATATTGTCATTTTGGCTTTGAACTATATCCCTGAGTGTTGACTAACCTGTACATAAGCTGCTTTAAAATGAAAGTATCAGGTTTAACATTAGCCTTAACAACCAGAAATCCATCTGTATCATTCGATGGCAGCTCTGTTGATGTATGATACGTGCCTCTGATGAAGACAAACATTCCATTATTATACATTATTATTATTATTATAAACCTGATGTGTCCTGGAGCTGCTGCAGAGAGCTCACTTGCTGAAGCCCAGGCTCCGACAGCTGGCCCTGGCCTGCCGCTCGCTCCAGCCCCGGGCACACACCGTCCTCCAGCTCCTGCTCCCGGTGCTGTAGATCTGGAGGAGGAAATCTGAGCCATGCACCCGCACTGCACACAGAATCATGGGAAAGAATCAGAAACGCCAAATCCACACTCTTGAGGATTCTTTGCACAAAAAATAAGTGGTGTAAATCAGGGGTCTCCAAACTGTGGCTCAGGAGCTATACCAGTAGCTCACCACCTCCTTTCAGATAGCTCCCCAAAAGGATTCAAGATTTTAACACATGATCCTGAATGATTCCTTTTTGAGTAATTACATGTCTAAAACTATAAATATTTTCATTAATGCGGGGATACTGTCGTTGTAATGGTATATTATGCATGTGTGCTGTTATCATAGACCTCAATTTTATTACAAATGCAATATTTATTTATGTATCGCATTTCTCAGACCAAGGTCACCCAAAGCGCTTTGTAATGTTTTCGTAGCTAAAGAAGTAGTTTTCGTCCTTTTCTGTTTTTATAAAAGTAGTTCTGGTAGAAAAAGGTTGGGGACCACTGGTGTAAATGATAACAGAACAATGCAGGTTTTAAATGTTTTATTACAAAGGTTTGCCAACATTATTGTTACAAAAATCACTCCATACATTGTGACACAGTAGTATTATAAACTGTGTATTAAGGTATTATTTAGGTCATGTTTATTGCATGTTGAAAATGTACAGCAAGTTAAAGCTGGGGTACCTAATTTTCAAACCACAAAAAAATAACATAAAATCAATCGCTCTCAAAACAATTTTCTTCCATCACTAGTTTTCACATGCATGTACATTAGGCCTCCGTTGCATCTTTAGACCAATTTCTTTCCGACAGAACCGGGGTAAAGATACGAACACCCTCATGTCAGCCAATCAGCTTGCAAATGATCAAATAGTGGCTCACAGGGCGAACAAGTACGCACACGTTTTAGCACGCAGTGGTTTTTTGTTTAAATGTTACTTTTACAAGACTCTTTCTATTGTGATAAATAAAATAAAAATGAAAGTTAGGTACCCCAGCTTTAAGGTAATGTAAAGACGCCCCAGCAGGAAAATCTGTCATCTGCATTTGAACCATCCCTCCAAAGCCGCTAGGGCAAACTTTTCAGTCAGGACATGCCAAAATGTGAGTGAAATCAACTTTTGATCCACTTTTTGAATACAATTTAAGAAGTAAATCATTCTAAATCCTCTCATATGTCGTGTTATTTGACCTGATTTTCCTTAATACAAATTCTCTGTCTAACTATTGGTGAAATACAGTGTGACGTATTAAAGGTGATGTCACCAACCTAAATTGTAATAAATTTGTAATTGTATTTCACGGGGTACAACGTATTTTTCGACAAATATTATATAAAACAGTCTGTCCCTTTGGCTTTAATCATAACCAATAAGAATTGCTGGAGAAGAATAGTTAAACCAACAATGACTGATTAATTTTGACCAATCAGGAGGCTGCGGGGGTGAGCAAGGGCGGGGTTTAACCAGTGCTGGTCTTAAAAAGTTTCACTCTTTCTGCACAATTTGAAAATAAATATTCATTTTAAAGTAGCGATATGTAAGATTTTCATGTCAAGTCATCATTAAAGGGCCCTAATCCGTCAAAAGGCTTTAATAAAATATGCTCTTTTCAAATACTTCTTTAACTGAAAACAATAGTTCAGAGATATTTGGATTTCAAAATTAGTTTTCCAGCCTCTAAATCTTTTTATTGTTTTCATTTCGATGTCCCGCCCTCCACCGTTTCACCAATCAGAAAGTCTGTGATCCAGGCGCCAGAACTCACCGCGTGGAGCTAATCTCACTGGTAAAGTACCATGTGGCGCAGAACTAAAAAAGGTCTTGTTATGATTCTCAAATCATTAACAACAAAACAAGGAATAAAACCAGGATTTATATCTTTGTGAAAAAGGTGTTGGTTATAGATTTGTTGTTGACAAAACTCTTGTCTATTCAGCTGTTATGGTCCCAGCTGGATTCGTCTGCATATCTGGCAACCTGAGTCAGGGAGAGTGGGAGAGGCTGCAGTACCACTTTTGGCCACATGTTTACATACTGCTCCTTTTAAAACTAACTTGAAAAAATCTCATCCCTTTGTAACTTTATGAATACAATATGTAAAAAGTAAACACAAAAATATAGGCTGGCAAAAGATTCAAGGATTTTGCTTTCAAATTCAGAAGGCTATACTACTTTTTGGTAAATGCAGATATTATCAAATGCATTCAACAGATACCAACTATATGGATCCTCCCAAAAAGTAACAATGTAAACGTATGTAAACGTGGATGCTAATTACCACAGTGAGCTTCGTCCTGGCCCCCCCGGCAGTCCACCACCCCGTCACACCACTGAGACTCCCACACACAGCTGCCATCTCCGCACTGCAGCCCGTGGACACAGGAGGAGGAGACTGAGACACAACAGGCACAGACAAAACCCAGTGTTTCAGGATCAAATGTGACGGTGGTGGGTGTCTATCGTTCAGAAGGTAAAGGAGTACTCACAGTAGTAACCCAGCAGGATGGCCACGATTATGAGAACGACCAGGAGGCAGCACAGGCCTGTTATCATCACGTTTAAGCATTTCTCTTTGGAGTCTGCAGGAGAGAAATGTTTCCGTAAATGAGGCTTTCAAATAAGTAAGTAATATTCATTTAAGTAGCTCCTTTCACAGACCAGAGTCACAAAGCCGTTTACATTTGTGGGCATTAGTTTCTCACTCCACACAGAGATGGGAGCGGGACCTAAGCAGACATGGGGAGAACGTGCAAACTCCTCTCAAAAAGGCTCCAACTGGGATTCCCAAATATTGCAGTATGTGGACAAACTAGGAAATCAGAATTTAACCAGGATTTCATGTTTTGCTTTTTATAGTATTTAAAGGTATGTGGGAGGATTTTCCCAAATTTGAGGAAAAAACCGCCCTCTCCACTTTTTTAACAAATCTTTCTGGACTTATTTGACAAACACGTGTCACCAATAGTTTTGATGATCCACCCGGAAGTAGAAAATCCTCCAAAATACCTTTAAATATCGTTTGTGTGTGACCTGTCAGGAGCCCTATAAGACATGTGTCAAACCTGTGGGAGCATTTTTAGTATTACTAATATTTTTTGGTTAATTATTCGTAACTATCATGATACACAACAGCATCAATAATATTTTATAACATAGTTGTTCCTAATTTTAGAGAACATTTACTGAATAACAATCCAATCCACTTTATCTACAGTATATAGCACATTTTAAAGAACAAGTTTCCAAAGTGCTGCACAGAGATAACACATTTAAATATACAGGATTGCCAGCATCATATATTTAAAAAAAATAAAAAAAATAAACTTGCATTTTTAATATACCGGTATTCGGACATTTCAACCCTAACACCTTAGAAATAGTAAAAATAAAATAAAAACAAACAAACAAAAACAAAACATAAAACAAATAGAAACTGAACTAACAAAAAAATCTGGCAAATTGTACCAAAAAATAACCAAACTTTTGTCCGCTAAAAGTAATTATTTTGTTAAATCCCCTTCATAATGTAAAAATATAAAACATCAAAAATCCACAGATGCAAAACATGAACTCTAACAAACTTTCCCCTGAGAAAAACAGTTTGGGCTCAGAGCAAAAAACAGATTTTAGACACCCCAGGTCTGAAGGAACTAGAGATATATCGATACATATCAGTCTGAAGAATATTAAAATGCCATCTTTTTGGGGGAAGCGTCCAAAATTAGCTATTTATAATGACTCATAATCCTCAGCAGAGTTAATTTACAGTAATCACACAATCACAAGTCAACACAGAGACACAGATAAAATGAGTTGTTTTTTTTCTAATCTCTCAGCCTCAGATCCAGGACAATAGGATCATTCAAAAAACATGAGTCAATCAGAAAAACACTGAGAAAGTCAACAATTAAATCATTATATCATTAAATGTTTTACAATCTCAGAGGTCGATTGTCTGCTCCGATGCTACTGTCAGGATCTGAGGTTTTGTTTTTATTATTGTAATCTTCTGCCACATGTGGACCAGTAATGTCTGCACTAATAAGACACCCCAAGATACCACTTTAACAGAATTGCAAATTAATCTGTCACCAACCATTTTCTTTCTTTTTTGTTAGATTTTCCGTTATCCTAGTTTATTTTCTGTATCCGTTTTTATATTTTTTGAAAACAAGGAATTATCTATACCTTTTGTTTGTCTCCTAAGTTGTTTGTGCCTTATGAATTTTGTAAGAATAATAAGCTTTCGTATTAGATGCTGCTAGAGGCTGCTCAAAAAAATTGTAAAAATCTAATGAGCTTATCTTGTGAGTGGTCTAGTCAAACAAGCACTGGTGAGAATTGAGTATGTGTGAGTAGAGGCAGATTTAAATCCAACTTTCTATGAGACTTGATGGTACCTTTTCTAGGGATGGAGGTGGTTATTTCCGGCGGAGGCAGAGGCTAAGCGATGTGGTGCACGTACTGGGGTCTGACATCCATCCGAGTCGGGGGTCTCTTCTGGGCAGACACCAGACTGCAACCCAAGTCCTCTTCATACTGTAACATATCAACCAATAATCAGCTCAAATACATATATATATATATATATATATATAAAAGTACTGTATGTATGTGGCACTCACCAGTTTAGATGCCATTTCAAAGATTTAGAATATTCCACAAAAGATTGCCGCAGTTCCTCTTCAGTTCAACGTAGCATCTTTTCTATCTACTGCCGGTCTCACAGATGGTTTTAACCCGTCCTAGGCCCCGCCTCCTCGGACCTACTCCCCGCACTTTGATCACGGCTTCAGAAACTTAGGAAAGATACTTGAGAGCTGGCAACAGTCTACATGTTGTGTGTGCAGGTAAACACATGGAGCCTCCCACAGCAGGTGAATGAGTGACAGATGGAGAGGATTCAAATGAAGCAACTCACATTTGTCAACCATAGTTTCTCTCGACTACAGCAGGTCCAGGGGAGCTCAGAAAACTAGAATATTGTTCAAAAGTTCATATATTTCGGTGATTCAAGCTAAAATATTAAACCAATAAATGATGTACATGCAGAAGCCTTTGTTTGTGACACGTTTAATGATTATGGCTCACAACCCATGTTCAAAATATTCTGATTATTAATTACGTAGGAGCAAAAAATTTCTGATCTACATTTTCTTTTTGACATTATAATTTTTGGGATTTTCATCTTTACATTTGGGAGAATAAAGTTGAAATTAAAAACTTGAGCAGTGGTGGAAGTAACGATTCATTTTCATTTTTACTTGAAAGTTAAAGTTAATTTATTTGATTATTCTCATTAAAGAAGAATCTTCTTAAAGCTCCGGTACATTACTAATAATTTTTACATCTCATTTCTTGTAAAAGTCTTCATCTTATTGAAACACATGCTATTATTCCTGGCACCAGCCGCATGCATAAGCCAGACCTTTGCAGCTAAGCAAGACAAGACCCAGTTAGTGCCCCGATGGGAGACCCCTGAATGTGCCACAGTTGGGCTGCTGCAAAGTGCTAAACTGTTGTTTCTTAGGAAAGACACCGCGTTGCCAAGAATGATTCTGACGTGTGTGAATAGTTGGTAGTGGTCCGAGGGGCTGATGGCACAGACCGGTAGCCAAGACTCATGAATTTTTGGCCTCTATGAAAACTATATGGATTTTATACCAGCTGTAGTGAGTACGCCGCTCAGAAAAATCTAACAAACTATTAAAATGTAAATGATTGTTTATTTGTTGTTTGTATATGTTCCTTTAATTTGGGAACCAAAAGCAGGTCTCGAAAATACAGACCCCAGATCTCAAATGTGTAATTACCAACTTGAGGTTTCTTTACTTCTTGCTTCTATCCCACCTCTGCTACAGTCCAATACAAACAGTAAAAAGTACTTAAGAATAAAAGTATCATAAGGCATTTTATACATTCATAAGGCATCATTGATACAGAGAACCAAACACACAGAAACAGTTGAACGATAAAGATTTTGTCTCCAAAGTGCAAATCTTGGACAAATGTGTGTGACCTTAACATGGGAAAGGAGACTGCATAATTTCATGTTTAAGTTTTAGACAACTACTCATCACATAATGACAAAACATAAAACGCTGTGTACATTCATCTGGTCCCAGTTGGTTTGAGCTGGATTTTAAGAATGAGTGTTTTGGTCTTTCCATGGTCTTCGGTTCTAGACCCAGGCCTGCCATCCCGGGAACAGGCGGCTTAAGTTCTTTGGGTCCATGGCTTGTTGAATGAGCAGGTTGACTTGTCCCCCCACACTGAGCACCGTCCCCTCCTCCACTCCCTTCAGCTTCTCCTGGAGCCTCAGCAGCACCCGCTCGGCCACTTTGTTGTAGCTCTGACTGTCGCTGGAAAAACACAAAACGTCAATTAGAGTCAACAATATAAAAAGTCTGACATGGAGAACTTTACATTTTTACCACATCTTATTCTAAAGCTTTTGTAATCTATTCTGCAGAGCTTTGAACTGGTTTGATCAGGTTTGAGATGATTTCAAAGGGAGTCTTGTAACTCGAACTTAAAAACAGTCATTTTAAATAATGGACTCACTTGATGAAATGGGTGGAGTCTGGTGTGCTCCTGCTTGGTTGGAGTGAAAACCTGCAGCTACACAACCCTTTGAGGACCACGTTACATAGCCCTGATCTATTCCATTCAATTCAATAAAATGTATTTATCACAACAGCAGACGTCTCAAAAGGACTTTATGAAGTTGTTGAATCCTCAGAATCAGATCAGAGAATCAAACAGTTTGTTATTATTGTATTTCCTGAGTTCAGGGGCTCATAAATGTCCTTAAAAGTCCGACTACGTTCATAAATGTCCTAAAATGTCCTTGGATGATACTGTATAAGCACACTAACCACAGAACAATGTTTACATGAAAACATATCGGTTTTCCTTCACTCTTTTGAATGTACCGTGATCTTTTATGATTTGAAGGCCTTGTATTGCTTCTATCTGGTTTTGTTCAGCACTGTGAGTTGCCTTGTGTATAAACTGTGCTAATAAAATTGCCTAGTGCTTTGTAAATGGGAGAAAGCCTGTACCTAGACTTGCGCTGGTTGTCCATGTCGTCTGCTCCCATAGTGGAGCTGAGAGTAGCATTGAGCTCCTGCTGCTCGTCGTGTTGGAGGTAGAAGGCTTTCAGAGGGTTCATGGTCCAGTCAAACAAAGGGTCGTACAACAGCACCTGAAGGACACAAATCAGCTGTAGATTTACTTCAAGTCCGAGGACGAGGGAGATCTGTCAGTGTTGCTGCTTGCTCAACTTGTAATTTACAGCTAAAATGTTCAGTGTATGAGTAAAATATAGAACTTTGTCTAACCATGATCTATAGGTGTCAAAGATTATATACGTTGCATACTTCTTTACGCAGAGGAACATTTTAAAACCAGCTTTTCTACCTCAACAATAGTCAGCAAAGCCTCTTGGGAGCTCCTCATCACCTCCATGGTCTTTTCACAACACCTGCGCACAAGCAAAATCATCAGTAAATACCGTTTGGATTGAATCAGAATCTTTTCATATGCATATTTGTTTATTATGTTTAAGACACACAGGTCCAGGATTAAAACTAAACAAAAATATTAAAACGTTATGTTAAAAAACTCAAAACTGAGACGATAAATACAGACAGCAGATGAAAGAGTTCAAAGTATGGCTTTAAAATTGTTGACTGATCCAATCTAAATGTTCCCAGCTCTGTCCAAGTGTGCTGCGGACTGAAAACAGGTACAGACAGATCACCACACACGGTCCTAAAGTCGAGAAACCGAGACATAGACCGTGTGGAAAAGGATCCCAGTAAATCCACCAAAGACCAGGTCAGATATGGATTAACTGAATAGTGTCAGGTTGGTCCTATATACAAAGTTTCTCCAGTGTGAGATCAATATAGTCTATCTTTTCTGAAGTTCAACTGGTTCAACTGGTGTTGTTACAACCCTAAACTTGGCTCTGAGAAGGGTAAAGGAAATGTATCAGAAACAACCAAGTGTAATTGTAAGTAAATGGCCTTTTATTTTTGGGGCAGAAAAGGTAACGTATGGTGCAAAACTTAACAGTCAAAAGGAGAGACAAAAGTCTTCTATCTGTTGGTACAAAATCAAAGTTCTTTTAAGGTCTCAATATCTATGGAGCTATTATTGTTTCAATAATATTTGTGTGTGCGTAAACAGATTTGTGTGTGCGTAAAAAGATTTGTGCGTGCGTAACCAGATTTGTGTGTGCGTAACCAGATTTGTGTTTACGTAAAAAGATTTGTGCGTGCGTAACCAGATTTGTGCGTGTGTAAATAGATTTGTATGTACGTATCAAGATTTGTGTGTGCGTAAAAAGATTTGTGTGTGCGTAGAAAGAGTTGTGTGTGTGTAAAGAAAAAAAAAGGTACGTTTTACACACAAGTTTTTTTTTTTACACACGAATCTTTTGACGCAGTCCTGCCTTCGCAGATTCGCAAGTGTAACTTGGACTGTGTGCGTGCGTAAACAGATTTGTGTGTGTGTAATTTGACATTTGTATCTGTAGCAGAACAATCTGTGTGTAAATAACCACGTTGTACGAAGAGAAGAACGGAAAAAAGCCTAAGTGCTACGCACAGGCTCTGTTTTACACACAAATCTCTTTTTGACACACCTCTGCCGCTTAGCGTGTGTCAACAAGATTCGTAAGTGTAATGTGGTTGTTCTAGCAGTACACCAGCAGATGGTGCTGTTGTAGCTGGTTATTACCTACAGGCAAGCAAACCAAAACCTACTGCCTTGACAAGACATACTACCACAACGTGGTTATTTACACACAGATTGTTCTGCTACAGATACAAATGTCAAATTACACACACACAAATCTGTTTACGCACGCACACAGTCCAAGTTACACTTGCGAATCTGCGAAGGCAGGACTGCGTCAAAAGATTCGTGTGTAAAAAAAAAACTTGTGTGTAAAACGTACTTTTTTCTTTTCTTTACACACACACACAAATCTTTCTACGCACACACAAATCTTTTTACGCACACACAAATATTGATGCGTACATACAAATCTATTTACACACGCACAAATATTTCTTTTACACACACACAAATCTGGTTACGCACGCACAAATCTGGTTACGCACACACAAATCTGGTTACGCACGCACAAATCTGGTTACGCACGCACAAATCTGGTTACGCACGCACAAATCTTTTTACGCACACACAAATCTGTTTACGCACACACAAATATTATTGAAACAATAATAGCTCCATAAATATCTCCCAAGAGCAGAATACAGTACAGTGTCCCAGGAACTTGTACAGACCTTCTAAAAACTCCTTCCACACCGGTGATGCCCATGCCGTCCACTATGTCGCTAGAAAGCCTGAATGGAACCGTTTCTGGCGTTGGGAGGATTTTCCCCTGCTCAAAGGCAACACCTGTTCACACAAAACATATTGATACACGTTTATATTCTGCTTAACACACAGAAATAATACATGATTTTAAAGAAGTAAAAAAAAAAACATGATGAATCTCTTTGTACCTAAATCAATATGCACCAGTTCAGCAGATTGCTCATCGACCAGGATGTTCTGGATGTGTCTGTCCCCCAGACCCACGATGTATCCGACTGAACCAAAGAACAATAATGGTCAACGAGACTAATGTTTGTATTGCGATGTCGGAGAGTGTCACTGTCACCTATCGAGGACGTAGCCACACTGCGGGTGTAGGCCAGGCGCTTCTCCATCCACACAGCGGGGTCCAGAAACTTCTCCATGCAGAAGTATCTAAAGACTGGCCTGAAGTTCCGGCACACCTCCAGGAACATCTGCAGCTTCTCATCAAAGGCCTGCTTCTGAGTGTCCTGAGTATATTATCATTAACTTTTGAATGCACTGGAAACGGCATTAAGTCCTAAGTGTCTCTGAAACAGTTGTAGTTTTGTGCTTTACAATTTTTATTTGTATTGCCTTTTTCTACCTGAGATGTTGCTGCAGTTCAGTGTTCATGGTTTTACACTGGTCCAGACCGGAGCAGAGAGAATCCATGGTCCGAACCAAGTGGATCAGGTGAAAATCCACTGGAGGAATGCTAACTTTTTGAAAAATGCTAATTCAGCGTTTAGCATTTTACTTTGGACTAGAGCAGAGAAAATGGTCCGAACCAAGCGGCTGCTCCACTTTGTGACCCGTCCTGCTCCACCCAGAGGCCACTCCACCTCTGCTGCTGTGACCTGAAGGGCTGCTCTTTAGAATTATCAATTTTGTTTTCTTTTTTTGCTGCTACTGGACACCTGAATTTCTCCTACAGGGGATCAAGAAAGTATCTATCTATCTATATATGATAGTCAAACATTATATCTTTGTTTTCACTTTTTAAACTGCTGTTGAATTCTGCATCATTGCTCGGTTTGGAAGCCTGTCCCTGGCAAACAAAAACAGACTTGGTGGCCTGGTTGAAGTGGCCAGTAAGGTGTCAGCGAGAACTCAGTCCAGAAAGGCCAATTCGATCATTGTTTTTTTTTTTAACGTTGACCCTCAGGACAAGCTACATGTTTAGGGCTTCTGACAAAAAGGTTGGGAACTACATTTATCCCAACATCTGTGAAGCACCTTAACAACACATAGCACTTTATACAAACTATTGCACTGTACAGCCAATTTGCACTGAAACTGTGTTTGTGACATCCAGAGTATTCATGGTCTGAACCAAGCAGAATAATGCTAACAAAGCATTTAGCATTTTACTTCGGACCAAAGCAGAGAAAATGGTCCGAACCAAGCGCCTGCTCCACCCATGCTGCTGTGTCCTGAAGTGCTGCTGCATTTTATTATTACTCTTGTTAGCCTTTTAGAATGATTAATATATCTGTTTTGTTTGTGTGAATGGATGTGTTTCTGCTGCTACTGGACACCATCTATCTTGTTCTTGTTATCTTCAATGTTGTGATTTGACTGCGTCTCCCTGTTTTTCGATAATTTTTTGCGGCAAAACCAATTTCCCCTTGTGGGACGATAAAGATAACTTTGAACGTAGACTTTGAGATGGCTTTTAGGTTCTTCTAATAAGACAATTAAAGCAAAACAAAGCTAGTACTGCTTAAATACCTGACATGTTTCGGCGGTACACTTCCGCCTTCATCAGAGGTGACACGTGGTGGTGTGACGCGTCTCTTATCAGCTGTTGTTGCCGGAAGCAGTCAGTCTGACAGATCTCACAGATCCATCAGACTGACCACGTCCCCCGCCACGCTGTGGTCTCTGGAGAAGTGAATCCCAAGTGTGAGCCAAGGTGAAGGCCCCCTCGTCTCTGTTGATGGTCCGTGTTCCCCGCTTCCTGATTCACCTTGGCTCACACTTGGGATTCACTTCTCCAGAGACCACAGCGTGGCGGGGGACGTGGTCAGTCTGATGGATCTGTGAGATCTGTCAGACTGACTGCTTCCGGCAACAACAGCTGATAAGAGACGCGTCACACCATCACGTGTCACCTCTGATGAAGGCGGAAGTGTACCGCCGAAACATGTCAGGTATTTAAGCAGTACTAGCTTTGTTTTGCTTTAATTGTCTTATTAGAAGAACCTAAAAGCCATAAACATAAGAAGACAGAATGAATTTTCTACATTTAGACTTTGAGACTAGATTGTCATACCATCATCTTCCTGCGGCATTCCAGGTTGGTCCAGTCTGTTGGCCGGAAGCGTTTGTGGGCTCCTTTGACGGGGTCGGCCAGAAAGTCCCCGATAGGAACTGTGCCAGAACACCACTCCAACACACCACTGCGCTGAGAGAAAGGAACCACCTACACACACACACACAGACAGACAGACAGACAGACAGACACACACAGAGACACAGAAGACACACACACAGACAGACACACACACACACACACAGAGACACAGAGAGAGATACACACACACAGACAGACAGAGACACAGACAGACAGACAGACACAGACAGAGAGAGAGACACACACACACACACAAACACAGACACAGACAGACAGAGACACAGACAGAGACAGACACACACACACAGAGACACAGAGAGACACACACACACACAGAGACACACACACACACAGACAGACAGACACACACAGAGAGAGAGACACACACACACACACAAACACACAAACAGACAGACAGAGACACACACACAGAGACACACAAACACACAGACAGACAGACACACACACACAGAGACACACACACACACACACACAGACAGACAGAGACACAGAGAGACACACAGACAGACAGACACACACACACACAAACACACAGACAGACAGACACACACAGAGACACACACACACACACACACACACAGACACAGACAGAGACACAGAGAGACACACACACAGAGAGACACAAACACACACACAGACAGACAGACACACAGAGAGAGAGAGACACACACACACACACACACACAGACAGACAGAAACACAGACAGACACACACACACGCACACACAGACAGACACACAGACACACACACACAGAGACACACACACACACACACACACACACACACACACACACACACAGACAGACACACACACACACACACACACAGACAGACACAGAGAGACACACACACACACACACACACAGAAGTTACAAAGTTAAACAGATAACAACATTTCTCTTTCTCGGACTAACGGACCAACCTTGTATCGGCGGATGTTGAGTTTGCGTTTGCGAGTGTCACTGTTCCTCTGCAGCAGCATGGAGCACATCCCGAACACCTGCTGCATCACCGCGTCCTGCCGCAGATCGTCCTGACCCTGTGTGTGGTCCGTTTTCACATTACTATGATTATTATTATTAGTGTACATTTACCGTTCAGTGCAAATCAGTGTTTTTTTGGCGGGAGTTTTTTCAAGTCATTTCCTTGATGATCCAGGACACTCCACATTCAACAACATTTATGGACATTGGTCTCTGCCCCTTATGTGCTTTTTTATCATTGCATTTCTTGTGTTTGAACTGATCTGTATTTTGGCGAATTTAACGGTTTAACTTACTGTTGGGATTTAAGACAATACAAGAATATATTGAATTGAATTTAAAGACCTTATGCCGGGTTTGATTTATTTAGAAATACAGTTTTAATACCATTTTATATTAGAAGATAACTAAAAAAGGTTTCAAAATCAGTTGTTGTTTTTTTTTATCTGATCCCCCCAAATCAAAATAACCCCATAGCAACGCCCTTAGAGACGAAAAAACTTCACAGCCCTTGGTGACGTCAGAGTGGGTACGTTTCAACGCTGTAAGTTGTTTACAATTTGGTATTCGTTCTTTTTTCGCGGATATTCAAGATGACAAGGCCGTGTACAGCGAGTATGATATTACTACTACTTTATAACATTATGTTGTCACTGAGATAATCCAGTGGTTGTGTCGATGCACTGCCAATCCAGAAACTGGGGTTCAAATCCCACCTCAGACACATTTTCACTCTCAAAACGGCAATTTATGTGTAGTGAGCAATTGTCACCTGTAGAGGGCAGTATTGTATTGGGCATCAGTGGAGAGAAGAGAGAAAAGGCAGTCCTGTGGCATAGATCCATGGTTTTCAATGCATGGGCGTTACCCGCTATGACGTCACACACAGGTTAGAGCATAGACAACCTAAATTCATGAAAAACACGTTCTTTTTATAAAATATAGGATTTTTTTTGCCAGAATCTATTTCAGATCGACATTGTCATGTAATTTTGATATCCACTATTTTTTTTTTTTAAATGACAATCGCTGTTTTAACATTTAAAAGACTATTTCAATTGTAAGTGGTCCATACCCTTTACACAGTTACATATAAATATCAGTTACATACAATATTTAATACCACTATATACATTTTACAATATACCCTATGTAACCTTTTGGCTCCATGTTTTAAATGTAAAAAAAAAATACACAAATATGTATGTTTATTCTTATTTTCATTATGATGTCTTTCTTATCTGGACCTTGTGTCTGTAATAAAGTTTAAATAACACAATGCTATCGCTTAACAAATATGCAGGACTCTTTTCAATATGACAGAGCTGAGTGGTGAGAGTGAATAATTAGCCTTTGAGTGGGAGAAAAAAAACATTTCCAAAACAGTTCACACAAAAAAACACTCAAAGAATGTTCTCTGCTCAAAAGGTGTGAAAGAACAGTGGAAACTCAACAAACCTCTTGTTTTCACGACAAAAGCAGGATTAATCATTAGCAACGAGCCAAAGGGAAGTGGAAAAGAACAGGACTCCAGCGGGCCTGGCCTCACATTAAATAACATCAGTACAACTGTGGCTTCAAAGAAACATGTGTGTGTGGGTGTATGTGTGCGCGCGTGTGTGTATCTGTGTGTCTGTGTGTGAGTGTCTGTGCGCGCGCGTGTGTGTCTGTGTGTATGTGTGTGTGTGTATGTGTGCGCGCGTGTGTGTATCTGTGTATGTGTGTGTGTGTGTGTGCGTGTGTCTGTGCGCGCGTGTGTGTGTCTGTGTGCGTGTATCTGTCTGCGTGTCTGTCTGTGTGTGCGTGTGTATGTGTCTGTGTGCGTGTGTGTGTATGTGTCTATGCGTATGTGTGTGTGTGTCTGTGTGTCTGTTTGTGTGTGTGTGTGCGCGTGCGTGTGTGTCTGTGTGTGTCTGTGTGTGTCTGTGTGTGTGTCTGTGTGTGCAAAAACACATAAACCAGTGCACTTGTTAAAAAATCCAGGTTAAATGAGAATGAGAATCCCAGAATGTTCCACACACTCACTTTGACGAGCTGCCTCCGGCTCTTGCCGTCGGAGCCCACACAGTCGATGATTTTGGGCAGGTTGACTCCTCCGGCCAAGTGATATTGTGGAAGAAAGCTGTTAATGGTGACGATGTCCTCATAGCAGCCAGTCGGGTCCACCTACAAATATATTTAACATTACGTTTTAAATATAGCAAGATCAGCAAACCAAACCTTTTCTCTCTACAGTTTGGTGGATCACTTTTTGAGTCTACTTGAAGCTTGGAACTGAAATCTACCTCCTTGAAACATCTCTATCACTTGGTTTGAGGCACTTTTACCATCAAACTGCATCTCAACCTTGTGGTAAAGGCCTATCATTAAATAACTAAGGGTTAAAAAAACATTATTTGTGTTATTAGTTCTCCTTCATAGAAAAAAAAAGAAACATGTACATTGTCTTTTGCCATTGTTCACTCATTGAAGAAAGCCAACAAGTAAAGAAGCAAGTGGTCAGGTAATGAAGTCTAACGATTGTCAATGAAACTGTGGACCGTGGTTCCTGACCTTATCACCAGTGGGGGCGGGTCCCGGCTCAAAAGTGGCCAAAATGACGTGCGACATGCTTACAATACCACCCCGGGCCGATGGGGGTGGACCCGGAAAAAGAATTAGCCAATGCTAACAAATAGCATTGGGAGACCTCTCGAAAACGTCTTTACAGGATGGTCCAAAAGTTGGATCTTGGCACAAAGCTCCGTTCCACATGTGTGTCAATGCTGAGGGGGGTGATTTTTTTTGGACCAGTCTAGTTTATACGCTGTGAATTTTTGAAGGAATTTGTTAAATGAACGGGGCTTGCGCCGGCTGACGCATGCGCGGATGCGATTTTTCCATAGACTGTATATATTCAAGTTATTTCACATTTTTCAGCCCCCGCGGCCATCTTGAAACTGCCCATAGACCGCGGAAGTTGTGGCACATTAGTTAGAACGTCGGAGATAGGCGTAACTACGTCCGTTAATATTTACAGTCTATGCTTATTACCCTGGGTACCCCCTCGCCAGCGTAGACAGAAAACAAGTCCACCCTGTTGCTAAGTAAGTAAGTCATCTTTATTTACATAGCGGCTTTCACAGACCAGAGTCAGCAAACGTAACATTTTCCATTAAAAACATTTTTTGCAAGGACAGCAGTGTGCGGGAACCACTATTTTTTTCACACAGACCAGAGCGAGTTACAATTGTGGGCATTTGTCTCCCACTCCACACTTGTTAAGTGCAAAGAAATCGTTCAGAAATCAAGGCTGGGCTGTCAAACATATTTTGGTTTGGCCCACAACATTTTAGGCTTTACTGCATATTTCATAACTCAATCTAATCTATTAATCTATTAAGTAGAACTTTTGACAATAACACGACTTAAATTTAACTTGACTTTCTGTTTTTCCACACAAAATGAGCCTGAATGAGGCATGTGAAAAACTATGAATTTTCATGACCGACCACAGAGCCTCATTAACTGGTTGAAACCGGTTAACCGCGTAGTTTAAAATATCCCAGGTTCTTTGAAATAACAGCGAGTGACGAGCCGCGTCTCGCAGGTCTTCGCTAAAGTTAAAATACAAATGATGTGTGTGGAGCTGATGCCAAGGACCATAAACACAAACATGTTCCCATATGGTTTGACTGGAGCAGCGTTTTTGCGAGGACCCTTTGGACACCGTGACACAGAGGAGCGCGACAGACCGGTATGTGTGTGTACAATACATGTATGTGTGTATGTACATGTGTAAATGTAAGCTCCAATATAGTTCTGACCTGCACCAGTGTGCAACCAGTGGCGGACTAGTAACAGAGGGGAGCGATAATGCGTGTGGATGTTACGTATCAATGGAGGGGAGGGAAATGTGTGTGTGTGTGCGTGTGTGTGTGTGCATGTGTGCGTGCATATGTGGTGCGTTCGGCATGAAAGTCGGCCCGGAGATAACTAATACATGGGCGCACACAGCTAGATACGGACCCGCTCGTCACATCGTGCGAATAGGGCTTAAAATAGCGTTATGAAGAGACCTCCCCTCTCCCCCTTTTTCTTTTTTTAACCGACAGCTTTGACCGGGTAACGCTGTGACGGTCAACCACCGGTTAAACGGTCACCGATTTACATCCCTAGCCTGAACAAAAACCAAAAGTAAAAGCACCAAAAAGTGATAAAGGATTGTTATGTCTGCAGACTGACAGACCAATACTCAATATAAGTAATTGCATTATGTGTTCAATGCATTTCTTTGCTCTGGATTTTTAACTCAAGCAAAAATGAAACTTTTATGATAGTTTCATTTTATTATATTTTTGTGTTGTGATTTTGTAATGTCTGGAAAGCACTTTGTGACAGTCACGTCTGTTTTTTAAGATGTGCCAGATATATAAACTTGACCTTGACCAATGTTCAGAACAAAGTAAATGATGTGGTTGTTTTCGTGGCGTTATAATGAAGTATAACATGTCACGGTAGCACATATGAACCTCTTATTATCCATGTGTTTTTTAATCTCTTCAAGTACCCGCTGTAATACCCTGATACAGAGCTGTCAGCTTCATTTCCACTTCACCTTGATCTCCATTGTCGGGATTGCAACTTCATCCAAGTGTTTAATTTGCATGATGGGCTGGTCTGCAGGAATGGGGATAGCTCCTAATAAATAAAAAACACAATTAGATTCTAGACGTCGAGTTGAAAGCAGAAAAGGTGTGATCAGATGTGGGTTTGCTTCATACTTTTCTCCGTCTTGTGTCGATTGGCGTCCATGTACGCCAGCGTGATGTAGGCGTCACACAGGCGCTCCATGTCCTGGATCATCTGACCTCTCTTCCTCCTGATGCCACTGATGACTTTGAGAGCCACGTTGGAACGCTCCTGGGTCAGAAAAGAAACGTCAAACGACAGAAACGTGTCATACTTTACACCAGGGGTCTCCAACCTGTAGCTCGGAAGCCACCAGTAGCTCGCCACCCCCTTCCAGGTAGCTCGCCAAAGGATTTAGAAATGTACGCATCAAATAAAATACTTGATATTCCAGAAATGCACTCACTTTGTCACTAGTAACAAATTTGCAATGATAAATAAGGACTGTTCCCAATACCAAGCTTATTCTCATCAATATATCGCCAATTTTTTTTTTTCCCCCAATACCGCTTAAAGGAGTAGCTCTCTGCCTTTATCGTTCCAGGAAAGTAGCTCTCTGGGCGAAGGTTGGAGACACCTGCTTTACACCAATGGGAAAGTGCCAGACAGTGCACCTTACCAGGTCGAATTGTGATGGTTGCCGTGACGCCGCCTTGGATAAGCGAGATCTGCAAAAGTTCTCGTCTTTGTTGGCGTTTACCAGAGCGAAGATGATGAAGAGCGTGTGATGAGGGTGCTCCAGTGACGAGCGGCAAATCAGCTGTAATAGCAAAGGAGCGTGTATGGATACGGGCACAGCGCAAATGTGTCATGAGGAGATTCTGAAGCGTTACCTCACTGAGGACACTGTGAAAGCCCACGTCTTCGCTGCTGCCGTTGGTCAGTTTGGTTCCCATTCGAGCTGCCAGCTGGTACATGAGCGGCAAAAACTTGTAGGAGGGGATTTTCTTTACGCCTTTCTGCATGTAGGGATGGAGGAACAGGTTAGAGCCGGATTAGGACTAAAAAAACATAATCTGCAGGGTTCACGGAGCAATTATAGACATGTTAGAACAAAAACAACAATTTAAAGTATTTATTTGTCTCCTCCCTTTCTTTTTACTCTTCACCAATTTCATAATTCATACATAATGGCCCAGACAGTGAGCAGAGCATTAAGGTGAAAGCGAGGCAAGATTCAGTGAAAGCCATAGCCTATAATGTTGTCCATGTCCCTGTATTGCATGTGTAAGATATGTATATTTGTTCTAAAAGTTGTTCAATTCCACCCAAAAAGTTTTTCTAATTCAGAAAAAAAAAATCAACAAATCATAATTCACCACCAAACAGAGCAGATTTGCCACAACCAAGACAGCATTAGAATATTCACTCAGAAAGAGAGACTGACTTGTTGTTCAGAGCTAAAATTGCACAGTAAGAATAATGGCAATGTGAAGGCCTTGTATGGCTCCTGCTGATCCCCTTCCACCTGAACCACCAGGATCACAACAGAGCGATGGTGTAATTTGTGGGGTACAGAGGACACAAAACTAAAGACAAATTTTGGCTGAAAAAGGTGTCGCCATGTTTGTCATATTTGTGGTGAACAGAAGTGAGTAGTGACCTTCATCATGTCGTTCACGTCCCTCTGGTCGGCGTTCTCGAGCCATAGCGAGGCCAGTCTGAAGACCCAGGTGTCGTGCTCTTCGCCCTGCTCCAAACACTGGATGTAGTTTTCCACAGCTTTCTGCAGGAAGCGCTGCCGGTCGCTCTGCAGGTTGGACAGAGCCTTCTGGTCCAGCTCCAGCTCCCTCTGGACTTTCACTGTGTACCTTTGAGCATAATTATAGCATTTAGCGGCCTGGTTTTATCCTCCCATTTACAGCATATAAAATAAAAGTCCATATTAACAACAGAAAGCAGCAGTTTACATTCTCTAAAAAGACAAAAGTCTAGTTTGAGACGATAATAAAAAAAAACTATTGACGGCTCCTCCATTTCCCTCTCCTCAGGTAAAGAGTCTGCCTCGTCACCTACCGCCTCGACTATTGTAACTACAAATAATAAATAACTCCCTCTTGTGTCCCTCAAAAATCCCTTCATAAACTCCAACTGGTCCAAAACACAGTCTTGTCACACACACCCCCTCCATCAACCACATCACCCCTGTCCTCCAACAGCTCCACTGACTTCCATCACTCACCGCATCCAATACAAAATCCTGCTCCTCACATACAAAGCCACCCACAACCTCGCTCCTCCATACCTGACTGACCTCCTCCAGATCTCCACTCCTGCCCGCTCACTCTGCTCCTCCTCCTCTCTCCTCCTGGTCCCTCCTCCTCCTCGTCACCTTCAGCTGCTCTGCTCCCCACCTCTGGAACCCTCTCCCCCCTGACCTCCGTAACACAAACTCACACTCTTCAAATCCACCTCAAAACGCATCTGTTTAGACCTAAGCCTACTCACTAACATCATAACTACACTAGACCATCCTATTAATATTCCTATTGAATATGTAGTACATGTATTATCCTTTTATGGACAATAAATGGCCAGAAGATAAATTTCATTTCTGAATAGTTTAAATCAGTGTAACAGGCAATCTTTTCACAAATAATATTCATTACAGTGTTAGCCGATTGTAACTAGCCAAAATAACGTACATTTTTCAAAGATTTGCATTCTATTGTATTGTTCAACGTGTTGTGTAGACTATGAGAGGAACCAGTCTCTTTTATAAATAGCCAGGAGATGAAACCCTTTAGGTCAGGACACCTAGAACACAAACCTGTTGGATGTGACTTTGCGCTCTCTCATCAGGTCCACTTCCTCTTTCGCTTTCTCCAGCAGAGCCTGCTTGTTCTCAAACTCTGAGGAGTTCATATATTTGTCAATGCTCTGGTATTGTGCGTCAGAAAAGCGGGCAAGAGACAGAAAGGCTTCTGTCCTTTGACTTTGCAGCCGGAAGTCTTGTGCTCCAGACTCACCCTCAATGACCTCCACTGCCTGGAAAACACACACACGAGGCACCACCAACATGAGATCACACATTTCATAATCAATTCTGTCAGTATATGTGCTAAGTTTCACTCTAGATTCCTGATATGTTGTTACGTTATGTTATGTTGTATGTCCATGTTTTAAATAGAATGTACGTTAATTTGTTTTATACAGGAGTTTTTTTTCTCCGCCAAGCGACAAACTTCAGACCAAATGAAGCCTTTTGGCAGTGTTATAAATGAACAAATACACAATAAAAATAGTTTACCCTCTCGAGGTACTTCTCCAATACAACTCCAGGACTTTCCAAACAGGTTTCTGCCAACCAGGTCCCACACAGCCTCAGACACTCACTGAAGACCGGAACAAGCGCAGGATTAAAATCCACCTTCAAAAAGCCATAATCATGGAATTGACTGAAGAAAAGCGGCTTATTGTGTGTCCAAGTCTAACCTTCTCCTCCAAGTGCTGGATCATCTTTCTGAGCAGACCCAGAGCCAGCCCCGTCTCTCCTTTGGCCCAAAACACCTGGGCCTCCTCCAGTTGCCATGAAAACATATAGTTTGACGTCCAGGATCCACCACTACTGTAGCGTTTCATTTGGAAAACTGCACGCTCTGCTAACTAGAAGAAATTACGAGGATACGACCGTGAACCATGGTCTGTAAACATGTCCACAGACATTAGAACTATCAGAGCTGCACCTGTGTGTTTCCAGCCCTGCGGGCGAGCCGGCTCAGCTCCATGAGGTGCTCAGTGAGGACCGAGCTGACACACTGCACACTGTCTGCCTCCTGCTGCAGGGACAGCAGTGTCTGCTGCGACACAGAGCGCACTGCCAGAATGGGCTCCACTAAAGAGAAGTCACTGTCCACCAACAGCTGCAGGTGCTGCTGCCACTGGCTGCAAGCCTCTCTCAGACCTGTGTCTGAGAAGGGTCTGGAGGAGGAAAGAACACATCATTATCAAAATATCCAAGAACACATAAACATATGAAGGTTGTTTCTCACACCTGGAGAAGAGATGTTTTACACTCTCCAGTTCTCTTATAGTTTGCAGATTCCTCAGAGCTGGATATAAAGAAGACACCGCTTCTAGGCTGCCTCTGCACAACTCCTCCACCTCTGCTCCTCTGGGGAAAGACGCATGTTCACAGGGACCATTTCAAAGATTCTAAAAAGTGAAAAATCCATAATGAACTACCGAGCCTCTTTGATGTTATCATCAAACACTGAGAAATCCTTGTCTCTTAAGGCCTGCAAGGCAGAGTACACAAACTCATGGAAGCCCAGTTTGGTTTTGTCACTCCTAGAAATATAAACCCATGAGAAAGAATTGAGAAATATATATTTTATAAAAGACAAAATATTCCTTGAGTTAAGTTTAAATAGTGAAGACATCGATTCACTGACTTTTCTGGAATGTCAAAGTCCCACTGAGTGTTTCTCCAGGCCGCCTGAAAGCGCAGCTCTCGGAGCTCTTCACCCCACTCCACTCCTTCACTGTCCAGGCCCCTCATGTATGTGGACAGTATACTGCTCAGACCAAAGTTCTGTAGCCCCTGCAGGACGCATGCCACATTCAATAACAATAGAATAATAAACATTTGTTTTCACTATTAATACACGTTACTAAAATACTCACCTCCACAATGCCCACTTGTCGAATGCCCTCAGGCAGAGAAGAATGAAGATCATATGATGTCAAGGCCTTACCCCACAGAGCCTCATGCTCATATGTTCGAATTCTAAAGAAATCAATTACGAGGTATTTATTAAGACGTTTGGATTATGCCCAAATGTATATTTAGATTCATCAATTCAGAGTGTGCCAACTGAATCCATGCAAAAAGATAATCATTGTATGATAATATATACAATGTAATCATCAAAAAAGGTTTGCTTGTGTTGTTTTACCTGGTCAAAGGACTGGTGGTGGTCTCCCCTCCACAGCCGTACAGACTGTCTGGTTCCCCAATGCTACGATACACTTCTATAAGCAGCTCCTGAAATACATATATATTATATTGTGTCACTGTTTGTTTTATGACTGTATATAAGAGTTCTCTTGCGATTTACTTGTAAGCTGATGTTTGAGTCTTCCATGCTCTTTTCAGTCAAGCTGGAGATGGTCATGTTCTGACTGCTGTCGTCGAAGTTGATTCTACGTGTGCCTCTGGGTCTGTTTCTAGAAGAGAAGACATAGGAAGGACAAATGTTAACCATGCATTTGTGGCGTTTTTTGTGGATAAATTATAATTAGAGTACCTTTTATTGTCCTCCAGGTTGGATTTGATTTTATCTACATAGATCTCGGTGTAGAGAAGAGCGGTGAAGTGAGCCGAGCAGGACTGTGCAGCTTTGGCCACCTCCAGGTAGTTCAGGTCCAGCCAGAAGTTTGAGTGACAAATCGTACCACAAGACCTGCTAAAACACATAATGCACTTGTAATTTTAAAATGCTTCAATGACAAAAAGGATACAATAGAGTTAGGGTATTATTTCAAACATTACTTGTCAGCCTTCATTTGATGTCTTAAATAGTCAATAACGGATAACATAGTACGCAGAGAGGCCTTGTCATACAGGCCCTGACTTGCAACATCAGAGACTGAAAGGAAAAAAATACATTTTAAAATACCATATATTACCAATCTAAAGCCCTAACTTCCCTTTTCAGGATGTATTTACCTGGGCTAGAATTGATAGGTGTGGCTGAGCGGCTTGCTCCTGCGGCACCTTTGGAGAAGAAGTTGAAAAAGTCCTGAATGCGCAGTGACAGAGTTGCTCTCCATGAACCGCCGAGTTCCAGGTCATCCTGCAGCACCGAGTGGACGATAAGCGGCAGCAACTTCTGACAGCAAGACACCTTCACCTGAAAGAGATACACATTGGTCTCAGACAAAGCACAACCTTCAAACACTACACTTTTTTGAACTATGTATTTTAGTAACCTGCACTTTTTTTTTTAACTGTATATACTTATATGCAAGCTGTATGATTGTATTTTCAAGGACTACAGATGGAAAGAAGCAGGTACTAAATCTGGTGCAGTCATCTTTTTAACACAACTGCACATTGCCCTTAATAAATTCAACTTAAAATTAAACATTCCAAGTAACATTCAATTCATTTCACGACATTCTCACCAGGCAGAGCGGTCGTGTCAGCAGCAGCGCCTCATTCCTAACCGCTCCACTGTCCAAAAGAGCCGTGCACAGGGAGATGAGCCAGGCTTTGTGTCCTCCTGCCTGAGGAATCCAGAACTCCGGATTCTGCAACTTCTCTCCAGCCTCCTTACTCTGTTCTGCACTTACACCCAGCGACTAAGTAGAGAGAGGAAATTCAATGATGCCTTATTATAATAGGACACATTACAGTATCGTTTGAGATCATGAATACTTGATTTGTTTGTATATACCACATACCTCCATCTTAGCCTTACGAAAGGGGTTAAGGTAGGCCAACATTGGGTCTCTGTTGTCCTTATATTCTTCCCAAAAGTCTATTCCACAGCGAGATGCCAAAATATTCTTTGCGCAGTGGGCTGAGGCCTGTCTCACGTCAATCCTAAAACAGAACAAATGTGTTGTTACAGTGCTCTAAAGAAAACTATCACATGTAGTAGTATGGATAGAGTACCGCTGGTCGGTCAGGGTGTCATTGATGCAGTTGAGAATAATGTAAATATACTGAGAGTCTGAGGAACTGAAGACGGAGGCGGCCTGATACACTGGATCTCTGCCATGGAGCAACGCTGTGGTCCACAAGTCGACAGGACCAAGCTCCCCAAGACAAGTCCCAGCAGCCACTGAAAACAAAACACTTTCACTCTAAATACATCAAAACAAATCATACATAAATCATATAATATTCAGGTCAGATTTTACCAAAGATGTCCATTCCTTCAGGATGATTTGCCGCCAACTTGCAAAGGTTAAGAAGTGAAAGAACTAACTTCACCAAAGCGCTGTCTGTGTGGTCCGCTACAGAAAACACAGAGTATTTACAAAAGGCACATACAGCTTCATATCTTCAGGAGCGTTGAAAAGAAACATACTCTGACACTCTTTGAGGAGCTCTTTTACTTTGCTCTTGTTGACCTGCAGCTGCCTGGTCAGCTCCTTCACACCCTCTAACCGAGTCAGAGGCAAAGACTCGCACGGCGTCACTGACAGAAAGTGTGCGATCTCCTGAGAGAGTAGAAGAAGTTTGTAATTGAACATGTTGCCTGCTGGTATTTGTTTCTTTACCTGTCGGAGAGTAAATGTCCCACTGTTGTATTTGAGCTTCTGTTGTACCGTCCTCAGCTCCCTGAACTCTGGGAGATCCGGAAAAGAATCGAGTTTGCAGATGGCTCCTTTCAACTTCTGAACATTATCAATGACTAAAAGCCGAAGGAGACTGAGAACCTGTGACAAACAACACAACATTTAGAATTAATGAACATATTAATAAATATGTGACTAGTATGGACGCACTGATCCTGGTTTTTATGTCTGATACCGATACTGTAGCTTTTAATATCTACAATTGTAACAAAATGAGCCCAAATGTGTATTTTATAATGATACTGAATAGTAATAGAAACTACTTTAATATAAATAAGTTAAGTTACAGTAATACTCTATGACATTTTGGGTTAACATAAACTCACTTTTATGAAATTTTCAAATGTGAGCACTGGCCTCGCTCTTCCGCTCGCCCTCCCCGCACTCACGAAGCTATCATCCCCATTAACCACCCCCACCCCCGTGTATGGATATAATATGGATTGCATATTTGAACGTGGCGTGACAATAGAATGATAGAACCGGGAAGCGTGGAGGAACGAGACTGTCTTTTGGCTGTTTCGTTGAGTAAGCAGAAACCGGTGACGGAGACACGGGACGTTTCAGGTTAGCCTCTGCCGCTTGTTTACCTCAGCTGTCTGTGCTAACCACAGACCTGTGGCTTTTCTCAAGAAAGTGGGGGAAATGGTCCGCTGTGATTGGTCACAATCTGGACCCGAAACACATTCTCACCCTTGTTGCACAAAAACTCGATCTAAAATAAAATGACAAGCCAGCACAAATTTGCGCTACTTATTCTTCAGAAGGACGTGTATCCCAATGCACTGCATGGATATGGATTGAATTTTCATAATGAATACAAAAATAAAGTGAGGTAATGCAGCTTTAACAGTAAATAAGTTCAATAGTAAATAATGTTTTTTCATCAACAGAAAAGCCAAATCAGAGTATCGGCCAAACCGATTCCTGATAGTAGTAGTAGTAATAGTTCCCGTATCAGATCAGATATCCAATACCAGAATGGGGTTTATAACCAGTGTAACGTGACATGGAGTGTTGAAAGTGAAAAGAATGTGAAAAGAAAATATTAATATATTTTTTGGGCTTGTGTTTGATTTTCTATCCAATACAATTTATGAGAATGACTTCCTATTGTTACTAAAGGCTGCAGTGTTTCATTCTTGTATTAGTTTCAGCTGGTGGTGTGCGTACATGTGATTGTTTTCAATGAAAAGGTGTTGAGAAAGACTGCAGTGTGGCATCAGTGCTTCCCTAGTGACGACCCTGATCTAACATCCTTTACCTGATGAGAAATCCTCGGCTGGGTGGTGACTTGCGCTGTAAGAGTCCCAACAATGACCTGTAGGTGGCAGTCCAAAGCATCGTCACAGAACTGAAGAGATGCTTTACAAACCGAGGTCAGCAGGTCACAACAGAGAGCAAGGCTGCGGCCCGACACCTCATCGCACTGCTCTGGCCTTCACACAAACAAACAAATCATTTTCCGTTACTATTTGGATTTGCAATGTTCAAATAGTCAGTGGTTTAGTGTAAAAACTCACTGGCCGTTGATGTGATGAATAAGTGTGTAGATGATGTCTCTGAGCACAAAGGCCCAGGCTCCTCCCAGTCCATCTTTGACCTCCTTCAGCAGCAGATTCACAAATAAGTGGTACATCATCAGGATGCGGTGGCGTTCGTAGTTATTGGTCGTCTCCGCAGCCCGTTCACACACAGACAGCAATATTCTTTGGATTGAACTCTAGAATGACCAAAACGAAGTGAGAAAAAAAAACTAAAATTGAGCCTCTGCTAGTTTTATACAACGCTAATGTAGCTCACTGGGTTTTTGGACAAAATGGCCACCAAGGATTTATGGTTGGCACTGTGGCACTTGCTGAGGTATTCCAAGGTTGCTCTAATGACATGAGACGTAAAATGTGGAGGGTTTGGTGCAGGATCCAGTTCCCTAAAAACAACATATTTACTAAATATGAATGGATGTATGTATGTATCCACTGCACATAGAAAAGGTCTAAGCACCCTTACCCAGTGAAGCTTTTCAGGTCACTTCTGTCTCCATCAGCACCACTTCCTTCATACAAAGTCATAAGCAGCTCGACCACAATATTGGCCAGATTACTGTGGATTAGGTTGTCAATTTGCTGTTGAAAATAATCACTGTATTATGTATGGGTAGGCCTACATGAGACAATATACAGAATGGAGGTTATAAATTACCGGTTTGCCCAGACAGTTGGGCTCCTTGAGCAGGTCGTACACTCTGTGGGCCTTCTCTCTCTGCTCAGTAACCAGAGCGTCTTGACCAGGAAGAGCAAAGTATGGCAGGATGTTGACCATGATTTTGGGGAAGCAGTCAGCGAGCAAGTCTCTCCAGTCCTTGTCCACACACCTGCTGATAGACTTCACCTGCTCAAAGTCCTCCAACAAGACCAGGTGTGGGACCAACACGTGATAGCAAGAGCTTCAGTAAGGAAAAGTAAGAAGTTATTACAGAGGCCAAGTAACGTATAATAAGGACGAAGAGGGCAAATGATCTCACTTGTAGAAATCCTTGACGGTGTTCTGATCTAGAAGGGTGCTTGGAAATGATCCCAGAGTGTAGCGGTCATCGGACTGCCGCAGCGCGAGCCACTCAGCGACCAAGTAATGCAGATGATAGGTAACCATGGCTTTTACGTCTTTATAGCCCAACTCTTTGGAAACGGCACACAACATCTGGGATAGAAACACACACATTGGGAAATAAAAATAACCTCAAGACATGCATTTTAAAGTGATATACCTGTTTAATCATCTGTTCTTCAATATCATTCTCCTTGTATGATTGCAACAAAGCGAACAATGCCTGTTTTTCACAAACTGGACTACAGCACAATACTGAGGACAGGGTCTTTAAAAGAACAGCTTTACGATTGAACATTTCATCTGGTTTCTTCTCCGGACAAGTGCGTCTCTGCAGAGGGCAAATAATACATGAAATTAGACTTCCTTGACAGTAACATCAACATCACACAGCCCACCTGCAGCCCCATGGCCTCCTGAGCCCTGAGGTAAAGGTTTTCAAATGCTTCCTGCTGCGTTTTCAGAGGTAACATTTTTAGATCATTTGGTCTTGTATCTACAAATAACCTGTTCAATGAAAAATCACATAATTGCTAAAAACTCAAATCCAAAAGCAGACAGTAAAATAGTGTGAAGCTTGACCTCTCAATTGACAAGGCTACCAGCATCCGGACTTGGTGATGTGAGTCTGCCAGGTGAGAAGGTAGAATCACTGATACTGGAAGGACTTCCTCTTTAACAGTCAGAACGGCCCACTTGCAGCAAGGATCAGCCTAAATTGGGTAAAAAAAATATTATAAAATTGGTATTAGACAACATAGTTTTAATTATCTGTGAATTTAAAAACAGTAAGAAAGAATCGTACCTCTAACAGTGCAACAAGGCATCTCACCAACGCTGTGCGGACTGTGGCCATGCATTTCCCAGTTTGGCTGAGGAAACTATAAAAGAACACTTGTGGTATAACTTTATGAGTCAAATAAACGCTGGCCTTATAATTAATAAAGTCTATGCACTTACCAAAAGCCAGACAGCACCTGTAGTAAAGATCCATGAACGTGTTTCATCTCTTCTAACGAGTACCGAGTTCTGCCTAAAGATTGGATTGAGGGCTGCAAAGCTAAGAGAGCCGCAGAACAAATCTCTTGGTCTTGGCGATAGATTGAGCACAGGTCTCTACAACATTAAATACATACTGTAATGACTATTTAAAATAAAATCTAAAATAAATAGAAACAACAAGGCTACTTACGCCAGAGGCCTGAGCAGAGAATCAAACTCCTCTGGTGCGAGAGAGTCCACAGCAGGAAGTTTTGTTAACAGAACAAGATACTACAAGACAAAAAGTATTACCTATTGGCATTGTCTTTATGCTGCATTAGTACTCACCATGTGGAGGTGTAGCGCCTTACTGAAGTCTATATGTTCCAGAAGAAGCAGCAGCCTGCGCCGCACCTCCTGCGGTTTGAAGAGCAGGCCAGGTACAACGGGCACGGACCCACACGCACACAGGAACTCTAGGATGGGGAGAAGAGCCTTGTCCTGCAGAGTCAAGCTGTCGTCGCCTAATGGACATTTTGCACCTAAGTCATGGCACAAAGTAAACATTAATTTAAGACGTTCAACAAACGACATAGCAGCATCCGCACCCATTATGAAAGCTTAACGATATTGAATTACCAGGCCCTGTGGAGTTGTCCGCTTCTTCCTTTGGTCCCTGAATACCACTGGAGCTGCTGTGAGGAGCTTCTTCATCCTCAAATAAGTCTGCTTCATCTCCGTGTTGGGTTCTCGTCAGGTTCAAGTCATCATCCATGAGATCATCCTCCTCCAGACTGACCCTCTTGGAAACACTGCTCAGCTGTGACGTAATAGTTATAAGGATTGTTATCTACTGTGTCTAATGTTTTTGAGTTAAATTAAAATGACATATTTACTAATGTCATTTACAAATAAACTTCACGTAGTACTTAAAATTAAAAGCATTGTAAGTCCCCATAATGCAGTGTAGAATGTATCTTTATGTCTGTTAATTGCAGTTGCATTGTACCCGTTTTTGTTTTGGAATATCCCAAAATGAGACTTACCAACAACTTGCAGAGGTCAGAGAGTTCAGCAAGGAGACTGCCGGGCAGGACCATCATGAACAGACTCAAGGAACTACAAAATACATGGTTCTAAAAACAAAACACAGACACTCAGAACAAGCATAGACGCAGACATACAAAATGATACTTTCTGCTGAACTGAGTAAGGACCTTATTCATCCTTTTGGCAGCTACAGCACAAAGCTTCATCACACATATAAGTGTAGACAGAATTCCTTCCTCTGACAACTTCACTTTCATGTTTGAAATAAAACCACTGAAGTCCTGAGCAACAGCCTGAAGAAAAGGAAAGGCTTAACAACAAATAAACACATAATCATCAAAATGTATTCAATATATATTATTTACTTTTGCTTTTTGGAAGAGTGGAGAGCGATAAGCCTCCTCTAGGGTCAGGAGTCCAGTGCCAACATACGCAGCTAAAACACAGGTCAGCAGACTCAGACACCGCACCAGACACTCTGGGGGTGTGGACAGGGACTGCAGAGGAGAGGCTGTAAAGTTAGGTCTTATAATACATCAAATCAGCGTATAATGATCACTTACATCAGGTGAGTAGCAGTTAAGGAGATTGTCAGCCATGAAACTTAAGGATTTCTCTAACTTAGCTCTGGGACCAGGAAGAGCGGTGAATTGGCTGTGATGTGTTTGATTTCTCTTTCTGCCACAATGTTCTTGTTTTTTAGACCAGACACTGCTGAAGCTAAACTGCATGAAGAGCAGCTCAATTTCATTCAATGTTTGTGTATCGGGTTTTACATAATCCTGATTGAAGGCACTATTATGATGAAAGAAGAACAATTATGGTACGGGCATAAGTCAACAATAATTTGAATCCAGCCTTACCTCTCCATTTCATCGCAACGGAGGAGATGCCCGAGCCCAGCCCTGGTGTCTTTAAAGGTTAACGATACTAAGATACTTGCGGCAGAATATTCAGGGAAGTCTCTGTTCATGAAACAAACAAAGAGTTATACATGTAGTGTTTTTACTTTTGAAAGAGCATACCTGCAGATGATGGGGTGAGGCCTGGAGCTGTCCTCAAGATCCTCACTCTGGTCACTCATTAGAACCCATTCAATTATAGAGTCCTTTAGATTTGAGGCCTCTGACACATCCAGCGCTCCTTCACTGACCCATCCTCGAGTCGAAGGACAGACTTTAGGAACAGGCCAAGTCACCAGGGCCTGGGCCAAACACAGAGCAGCACTCCTGTGCACATGAGCAGAGATAAGACAAAAGAAAAGATTCCACTTAATAAAACTATGTCACTCACGGTGATGGTTTACAAGCTGATCCAGAGAAGAGTTTCCAGAGCTCTTTGTCCATATGAATTAGTTCTCCGTGGACAATGGCTGCGAGCAGATCTAGACTGGGGTTCTCTGTATGGGGAGAACTGACCCCCCTTAGAGTCACAGACCAGACTTTACACCACAGTCTGCTCAGCTCTGCTCTGCACATAAGAAATCTGCCAAAGTTGTTTGCCTGACAGGAGGCCACTTCTTTCAGACAGCGGAGCACATACAGCCCCCTTTCACCTCTTCGCGCCTCAGCCAGCAGCTGGTAAAGCACCGAGAGCAGAGGAACGAGCTCCTGAGCAGGTACCATGGACGGGTACTTGGATACGAGTAGTGCAGTGATCTGCAGCCTGAGAAGTAAACGATGGGCAGCAGTTTATATAAGAATAGTAGGGAGCATAATCTTTGTATTCATACTACAGTAATAGCACAATAAGAAAATATAATATTCTACCATGGAATAATATCAAAGTCTTTTTGCTGAGGCTGCAGATGATCCCGGAGGACCTCCCAACTCAGTTCTATGCGACGTCGCTTGCTGGCTGCTCCTTGAGTAGGACTTCCCATTTGTGTGGCTCTAAACATGGCTTGAGTCACCTCCAAAGACTGGACATGATCCTCACTGAAAAGCTAAAAAGAGTATATGAAAACCTCAAACTGTTTATGTGGTCTTAAGTTAGATTGTTTTACCATGTGACAAATATCAGCCGCCAGATGGACTAGACTGTCTTTGAGGGCAATATTTCTGGTCCCTGTGTGATATTTTCCTCTGCTGCCAATATCACTGATGTCTCTGACCAAAGTATCATACAAGCTGTACAAAAGGCTGCGCCACTTTGGCCAGTCCTCTGCATGTGCACCTGGAGACACAATACACTCAAAACATTCCAAGACATTCAGACATAGACTCATAATAACATGAGGCCTCTAACCTGTCTCTTGTGTCCTGGCCCCTTTTGGATGGTGAACACAGATTTGTAATTGACAAAACTCCACTATTTCCTCCTTGAGCTGGGCACTTGGTCTCATATCTGCCCAGAGAAACAGCAGTGGAGGGAAAAGCTCTTCCCCCAGGCAGCACACCCTCATTCGGGAGTTCATGGATGCAGATTTCAAAAATATGTTTAAAGCCGAGACGAGGTGCTCTATAACACTCAAGTGCTTCTCCTGCCTTAAATCAGAAAAAGAGAATTGCTGAGATAAAAACAACACACATTTTTGAAGGGTGATAAAATAAAGTGATATATACATTTACCTTGCATTCAGAAGTGCTTTGGGAAAAAATGAAAACAGGATGTTGTCGTATCCATCAGTCTGCATGCAGCATCCTTGGACTACAGTATGAATGACTCTACTAACCAAAACACGATTGATCGACTTGTTTGATGAGGTAAGCAGATCGCAATAAAACTCCAAAATAACTGAGAATCACACAATCAGATGAAATATATTAGATAATGAATGGACTTCAGTTTCAAAGCTCATGGACTCACTGTGCCACTGCTGGGAGGTGATGTCGCACCAGTACTTGCGGACAGAGAGTATGTCCTTAACCAATAGGCTGCTGTAATCTTCACCATAGACTGAACAGCTGTAGGAACCCTGCAGCACCTCCATGACATGCTTTAGAAGCTCGCTGCATTTCAACCGAGGTCCGCCTGTAATATCATGACAACACTTTACAATATGGCAAGTGAATAGGGCTGCAAAATATGGGGAATTTTTAAAGATGGAAACTTGGCTTGGCTCTTCATTAAGTTGAGGCAAGTATATTTAAGAATAATCTTGACTAAAAGAAACAGATGCCCTTCAAATACACTTGAGTATCCAGGTTATTCCTCACATGCACATTACACACTGCGATTGAGACCACGCCCCCTACTGGTCGTGTGCCTCCAACACATGTTTTCTGAAAGACTGGACGAGACTTTTGAGCCCAAAGCACAAGGCTGTTGAAGGCACACGTTTGCGCCTGTGGACTAAACAATGTGAAATATTGTTTCCCAGAGTGCCCAGCCACTCTGCGGAGGAAGCTCATTTCGACCGCTTGTATCCGCGATCTCGTTCTTTCGGTCATTACCCAAAGCTCATGACCATAGGTGAGGGAGGGAACAAAGATTGACCGGTAAATCGAGAGCTTTGCTTTTCGGCTCAGCTCCCTCTTTACCACAACGGTCCGATACAGCTCTGACTGCAGACGCTGCTCCCTCTTTACCACGACGGTCAGATACAGCTCTGACTGCAGACGCTGCTCCCTCTTCACCACAACGGTCCGATACAGCGACTGCATCACTGCGCACGCTGCACCGATCCGCCTGTCAATCTCACGCTCCATCCTCCCCTCACTCGTGAACAAGACCCCGAGATACTTGAACTCCTCCACTTGAGGAAGGACCTCTCCGCCCCATCTTAACTTCTCATGGTAATTCACTGGAAACGTTTAAGAAATTTAACATTTCGTTTAACGTTTTCCTCCCCTTTGCAACCCTACAAGTGAATTAGTAGATTTATGTTCAACTCACGCTTATTTGCATATCGAATGAAGAACTTAATCAAACTGCACATCTCAGCCATCTTCTTTTTACGTGTTGCCAACGTTGTGGAGGCGACATTGGTCTTGCTCGACTGGATGCTCTCCGTTTCTCTCTGGACATAGCGCTGGAGAAATCTGGTGTAGACAAATTATGAACAATGAATGGCAGTTTCTTATCACATTCATATAATTGACATGCATAAATAAATAGGAGAAAAATACCTGAAAACAGCATCCCATGTGAGCTGCTTTGAGGCTTTACTTTTAGATGAACGGTCCAACTCCTGCACAGTGTCTGGAGAGCGGAGAAGTCTTCTAAAGCGTTCCGCCTCTTTCTGTCGAATGAGGCAGAAGTGATATAGAATAATTGTACATGTTTTCATCTGATAAAACACTTTGGGCCTCAATTATCAACCCAGGTGCTGCTGTACAAGTGCAAAACAAAATAATGTGTGTACTTTCCCTTGTTTACTTCTAAAGGACATGTGCGTGATAATTGTCTGTTTCATAGCCTTATGATGAGAGCCCTGAACCTGGACTCTTTTACCTGCACCAGCGGACCGGTCACCCCTGGCCTGGAATAATGGGCTGCACCCCCTCCCCGCCTGGGAACTTCTTCAGTCCAGCACCACACAGTCTCAATCGTTGTTCTACAGCCTCAGTACTGAATATTTGGCATGTCCGTCTGTGGCAGCAGATCCCCCTCTCAAAGTGAGCCTCCCCAAGCTTTCTAACTTTTTCTACACTGGGTTTTTTAGAGTTGTTCCTTGTTGACATCTATAGATATCTATTAATTAACATTTATAAACATTGGTCATCCCGCTCCCTATGAACCAATGGCTCCTGTGTTTATTATTGCATTGCCTGTGTCCGCACTGTTGGATTCTCTGACTGTTGTTGGCGAACCGACAACTTTGTAAAGTCATCTGAGACACCTGCTGTTGTTATTTAGGGCTATAAAAAATGTACAGCCCAATTTAGAATTTAATTTAATCAAATTTGTTTTTACCCATTTTAAGCAATGCGAATCATTTTTTCCCTGTGAGCAAACGCATGATAATTGCAGCCCTTGGTTAGAATAATATAGCATGAATATTAATAATATGCAAATTACTTTTCTTTCTGTGGCTTTGTCACTTTCCAGGCCTCTGCAGCACACCAGGAGATCATGAAGGGCCAGACTCATTGTGCACAGCTTTCTGAAAAGTGGGAGACAACAGTGTGTAATTAATAATGTCACAATTAAAACATGTTATTAGACAATATACAATGACAATAGCAGTAAAAAGAAAGTAAACCATGATTAAGAATATTGTTCCTACAGACATCAAACCCCAAATAATTGTATTACATTTAGTTGTTATCTTTTCCATTGGGCTGAGTGAGTGAGTGTCTCTCTTTTTCACTTTTATGTGTGTAAAAGCTGAATTAAAGACGTGGCAGAGGCAAACAACCATGTGAAAACTAGTGATAGAACCAAACTGTTTTGAGAGCAAAGAATGAGTTAGATGGATTATATGGCAATAGTGCAGTGACATTATGCGTGGATTAAAAAATAGCTACCCTTAAGACGAATGAGTAGCGGAAATATGCAGTAATTAACCATTAAATGGGCGTATTCAACAATATACAGCTGAACTGTTTCTATACTAGGAAAGAAATTGCAAACATCTCTCTGTCAATGCAAAGAAAACGTGAAAAGGATATATATTGAGCCCAAAAGTAATTATTGTGACAGGGAAATGTTCTACACAGTATAGCAACTTTAGCAGGTCCATGAGGTGCTGTTCAATGCAATGTATTTTCAATGTAATTTTGTGCAGCCCTAAATCACAACAGCAGTCTTGTCGGAGGACTTTACAAGGTTGGTGATTCGCCCACAACAGATCAGAGAATCAAAGAGTTCTAACACAACATAGGAGCGTCCATACACACGCACCAACATAACACTGACCTTTGCAACTTCTGCCAACGCTGCTGCAAGAATTCTCGGCTGGTGTTAAGCCCAGGGATGATGAGGTAGCGTTCAGACAGCGTGCTCACTTCAAAACAACTTCCTCATGTTGACGCGCAACCATCACACCAGACAATTCCCGCCCCAGTCCTCTGACAAGCAACGTCACTTCCGGTCCGCGTGGCCACACCAAAGTGTCCATAAACGTGCCTATACAGTCTTCAAACGCAAATGTACGCCTATATATCGCCCACAAACACAGTGTAGTGTGTGTATTGTTGCTATTATTATAAATAGTATGTACAAATAGGTGTAATATCATTGTAAACACGTGTTGGTTGGACTACATTGACCATGAGCCTTAGCCAAAATAAGCAGTCCACTTCCGGGTTGTGCATCTTGAGTTCCCCGCCTTTTAACAAGCAGCGGTGTCCTCCAAACGGGTTGACAACAATACAGCTGATTCTCCTGCTTTTTCCACGGACTTTTACTCGCTTTACACACGTGAAAATATGTAGCCACATCTTTAGCATAGTTTATTTATCAAGACAAATATGTTAAGATGTTGCTGCCGTCAGACATAGCACGGCTTATTTTGGGTGAGTAATGTTAGCCAGTGTTAGCTAAGCACACAGCACAATTGACATGTAACAACTGTGCTATTGTGCTCCATGAGGTTTCTGTCATTGGCTTATCTGTTTATAGAGAAATATAGTGTTTTTGTGCAATCTACAGGGTATCTCCAAGAAGAAGGGTTGTATGACACCAGTCGAGCTTTTATCCACGAAAGTCCAAATCTGAAGGAGTATGCAGAACACAGCTCAGAGGATGGCACTATTCCTGCTTGTGTATTTGTGAGTCTTCAGCAATTACTGTAAACCTATGCATATGAACGCGCCTGGTGGCTTTAACATGTGTGCGTTTGTTCTTCTGCAGTCTATTTTTGGGAAAGGATTGACTACTATCTTGAATGAGTATGTGGCTGTCAAAACGAAAGGTCAGACATGTTGCACCAGGTTTACTAACTTCTGCCCAAAATGTAATTCATGCCTCACATCCAGTATCCTTCTTCTTTCCTGGTCTCAGAGTCGAATCACCAGGTGCCACCCATGATCTCATCTTTGTGGAAAAAGCTAGATTTTACTCTAAATCAAATCAAGTAAAATTTGCTTCAGTTATTTGGTTCTTTTAAATGCATTTGCTTGTGTACTTAATGCTTACTACTTCTTCTTCTTTTATAGATCGCTGCAAAATTCCCCCGCATTATCAGCCTGTCAAAGGAGTAAGTTTGAGAATTCTCCAACCTGTTGTTCTGGAGTTACCAGTAGATCTATTTTTTGCCCAGAATCACAGCAAAAGTACTTTCACAGGGCCTTACAGAATTGTTGATTTGCCCACAGCCAATAAGAGAATCAATAATTGGAACACATAATTTGAACACTTAAGAAAAAAGACCAAAAAAAACACTTTTGGTCCTTAGGATAATCTGTTAACTGCTATCCCATCCTTAAGACTCCACTTTTTCACTTGCTTAACTTTTTGAAGTTGTAAATGGGGTGTTTGATAACAATCAAAGCTACCTGTGAGTTAATTACCTTTAGACCATGAAAAAAAGATATGAGATATGCCATTTTCGCTTTGTATATACAGTGCTTAAGAAAACGGTCGGAGAACATCGATTTAAAAGCTATTGTTATTTTACCTAAACTAACTTTCTTATCTTCAGTGCGTTCTCGTGTCGGATTGGCAAACATCGCCCGACAGAGAGCGTTATCAAATCCTTCAACTGGAGTCGTGTGCACAGGTGTTTCTGAGAGCTTCTCTATTGTCAGCCCTGCACAAACTTCTCATTGTATTCTCACTCATTCAACGCCTGTAAGTAACAGCAGCGCCCTCAGACCAGCCCCCTGCAGTGCTCCACAGCTGCAGAGTTTTGAGTCCAATCGCCTCCAAGGCACACCAAGTAAGCTGTACAATTATTACGTACATGTTACTATTAGCTTGTTTGCGCACGTTACAACATTGTGAATTCATGTGTTTTGTAGGAGGATCTCCAGTCCATGTCTCTGATCATCGTCTAAATCTTGCACCAACGTCTCCTGGGCGAAGAAAGTGGTAATACATTATTTATATTTCTGTACAAGTGCAATTTCTTGTTGCTTGAATTGTCTTTATCTGGATTTTATGATAATCCTTCATATTATACTTTCATTTTCTGTTTTGAAATAAAGGAAGAGAACTGGAGCGACTACTGGTTCTTCGAGACCTGTTTCTGTCAGTGGCACTTCTCTAGAAGAGGAAACGGAAGAGACTGTTGATGAACATTTCCCTGTAAGTGACTGCTCTTTATCATGTAGTGTATAATAAAATAAATGAGTTTCATTACTCATCTTTTGTTTTTATATTTCCTCAGCAACTAGTAATTCAAAATGCCCGTGAAAAAATATTAGGGGATAGATCTTTGCAAGAAAAACTGGCTGAAAATATCAACAAAATTCTTTCTAGGTGAGGTTTTAAGTTGGGCTCTACTGCTCTTTTGCTCCCGTATGGGTAATCTAACACATATTTCCTACGTTAGCGACCCTACGCCTCAGTCATCAAAAGCTGCTGCACATATTGTGGAACCTGATCAGTCCATAGACGAAATTCTCGGATTGCAGGTTTTTTTACTAATACATTCCAAAAGGACTGTTTGTAAAAGTTATTATTGTTTACATGTGTTTGTATTTGATACAGGGAGAGATCCACATGAGTGATGATGCCATTCATGACATTTTGGAACAGACTGAGTCTGACCCAGCGTTTCAAGCCCTCTTTGACCTTTTTGAATGCAGTGTGTACTTGTATTTTTCTCTTTTTAAAACCAGACAAATATTACTGGTTTTCTATGTCCTTTTAGATAAAACTAGATCAACAGACGTGGAGTCAGCAGATGGAGTGATGTCCAGCCTTTCAGAAGAAGGAGATTGTTCTGCAGCTGGACCATCATCTGTGGCCAAGCCCAGTGAGGGCATAGATTCAGGTGTGTTTTTGGCATCAATCAGTGACTTAGAATAAATGCTATCCTGATACACTTTTATTTAATTCTGTGTAATTTTTACAGCTGCTCCATATGAAAAAACATGTTAACTAATAACAAATGTGACCTTTACCTCCACCATGTTTTTTGAATTGTATTTTTAGGATTAGATTTTAACTCTCTTGCTTACATGTCGCCTCCACGTGGGTCTTTGAGAGTGCTCCTCAACTGAAAGGCTTTCGTAGTACCTTGGACTGCGATATAAAATCTCACGCGAGATGGCACTAAAAATTACACAGTGTGCCTTTTTAATGAATTATTGATGCTAATTCTTAAAATAACTTTTCTCATTAATCCCTTTGTGCATTTAACGCTCACAATATTATACCAATTTTTATATTATCATTATGTTAATGTATATAATGTTTTGTTCTCCAGGTGCGATACCAAAAGATTCCTCTGATACGGTCTCTATGAAGGCAAAAGCTGTGATCAACCGTCAATCAAGGAAATCTGTCCCTGCGTTGAAAAAGTCTACAATTATCCCATTGAACAGACACTCCAGAATAGAAAACAGCTTTGCAAGATTGTTGGTGCTGCAAAATAGTCAAGAACTACAAGAAAGATCGAAACGAACTGGAAAAAACCCACACCCCGACAATATAACTCCAATGGACATTGATGAGCCTCACGCTGCAGTAGCACCCAGCCCGACAAATATTTCCACCACACTTGTCACCTCCGCATCTGGTCCTGTTTCTTCTCATTCTAATGTTACATCACTACCTCCAATTACAATGACCTCCATGGTGTCTGAAGTGTCTAACCTAATCAGACAAGAAGAAAACAAAGTGGCTGAACGATTTCCTGTGCCACTGGTGCCTACCCTAAATGTACATCAAAAATACAATTCAGCTTCTCCACATCCTGTGCCGATTTTCTCTCCATCTTTGCAACAAATGTCAAACTGTGCAGGACAAACACAAATTAGTAATCCGGTGTCATCGGAACAGTCTGAAAACTTCATGTCTTCCCCCTCCACAGTAACCTCAACCATGTCACCGTCAACCAATTGTGTCGCACCAACTTCTTCAAACTCACCAGTGTCTGTTTCTTCCTCTGCATCAGTAAGGACGCCTCCTTCATCCTCACCTACTGCTTCTACAACTGGACCGAACGCCACAAACAAAACTGGTGCCGATCCCAGCAATGTAATGTCATTGCAAATCATTATTAGTGACAATCAGGAGGACACTGCTGCCAGCACAGCCTTAAATAACAGTGTGCCCAGCTGTCCTGCTGAAATAATCCCCACTATCTATCTGTCCTCTCCTGCCAAATCTGTGGCTGTCCCTGGGACACCTAAGTCTAGTCTGGACGAGACTGCTCATGCAGTTAGTTGTCTACAGCGGTCTGAGTCTGTGATGGCATCGCCATTGACTGGAACCTCGCAGCCTCAGCAGAGTTACTTTATTCAGCTGCCGTTTGAAGGGGCTACAACTGCGGCCGCAAGCTACTTCATTGTGGCCGAGCCTCCTCCAGCAGACGGACAGCTCAGACCCAAAATACTACCAGCTCCTGTTTCTAAAGGACAGGCCATTGTCCCGGGCCAGTTTGGTGTGACGCCACAGACTCAAGGATTCACTACCGGTAAGTGGCATCAGAATATTTCTCAATGAATGAAGACATTAGTAAATATCAAATTCAATTACAACATGTTCTTTTTTAAGGATCAGCCCTCCTCCTGCCATCACCAATGAAACCTATGATGCTTCCATTGTCTGTTATGGGTCAGAATGCTTTGGGAAATGTTCAAATGGTGCCTAATCAGGTAATTATTATTACTTGTGCTTATTGTTTAAAATGACATTTGGTGAAAAATCCCATCAGCAGCATAAACTGAAGTGTAGTGTCGTCATGGAATTTACTGAAAGTAGAGTTTTCAGATTTGTGTGATATTTTTTAATGTGTTGCCTTTATAGCTTGTTGCCATACCAAACTCGCCAGTGATACAGAAGAATAATGTACAGCCTTCACCGGCTGGATTTGCTGACCTGTCTACCATATCAAGTAAGTTATTTTAGCATTCATATACTAAAACACATGCTTTAATTATCCCCTTTTTCACAGTTAAGGATAATTATATCTTAATTTTTCCATACTTAAGGTTCAGATTTGTTAGCAGTGTCCTCTCAAAGCCCAGCCCAAAGTGTATCATCATGTGCCAGCACGGGTCACAGAAGGATTCTTTGTTTTGATTCTTCTGGAGTCCCTCAAACAAGCAAAACCGGCACATCTCAGGCTGCATCAAGCTCACAGTCTTTACCTTTGAAATCCCCGCCTACAAAGCCTGCCATCCTCACCAGCAAGCCCAAGAGGAGGATAGAAACTGTCAGGTGTTCAGCCTCAACAACTCAACAAAACCGGAAAGATGCTGCCAAAAAAGGCTCCCGTAAGCAAGATTTCAATGTGTCTACTGGTGAAGGAAACATAATTGACTTGACAAAGACACTAGAATCCAGACGCAAATCTTCAGAGAGAAAACAAAATCATGACACAGAAGAAGATAAGAATAGGGAAAAGGACTCTCGCAAATCAAGAACATTATCCTCTGACTCATCACAAAAGTCTGCGAGTAGAAAAGAAAAAGAAGCTATAGATAGATCCAAAACGAGGGAAGTTCGCACTGACAAAAGGACTCAGGAGAACGCCAACATAATGGCTAACAAGGAGAATGAACTTAAGGGGAGTGGTCCAGAACAACAATCTGCATCATCATCCTCATCTTCAGCACCTGCACAGTCCAACCCTCAGACCAAGGCATCAAAACTTCCCTCAAAAACCAGCGTTTTGGCCAAACAGGCTGCCGAAATGCTCCAGGACATCCAAGCTATCAACTCCCCAAGAGACTTAAGCAGCCAAGAGGAGTCTGGTAGTGATTGTACCAAGACTCCTATAAGAACAAGGAAAGGCAGAGAGGCTGAAGGAACCCCAAGACATCTGATGCCAGCCAGCACCTCAGACTTACCCACCTGTAGCCCTGCGAGTGAAGCAGGAAGTGAAAGCAGCATCAACATGGCAGCACACACACTCATGATTCTGTCACGAGCTGCACTGGCGAGAACCGGAACTCCGCTGAAGAATAGTCTGCGTCAGGAAGGGTCAGGGGAACAGTCTCCCACTACCTCCAAGGTGACCAAGAAACGCAAGCAGACGTCTTCAGCATCCAGTCCCCCGGCAAAGAAAGCGGCAAAACGGACACCGAGCAAGAAAAAAGTGAGTGAACTGGGGCAGGCCACCTGATTTTCTTTAATGAAATTGTTTCTTTTCTAAAGTGTCTGGATGTGTATGAGTCAAAGTTTTCAAAAAGTGCTTTACAATTCATGAAATACAAGCCCAAATGCTAATAATGCAAGAAAAAGTAGAAAAAAATCACTATTACTAAACGCTTATTCACAAAGTAGTTTTATCACCACATACTATATAGAATATTAACATGTTTTTTTCTTTTACATTTTAGGAGCGGAAGAAACTAATGGAGTGTTTTCCCCAAGACTTGGATGTGGATAAGTTTCTGTCATCTCTACATTACGATGAATGACGTGAACATTAAAGGACTTTCATACCACCTTCTTAAGTTTCTATCCAGGAATAGAAAAGCCATCTGCTCGTGCTTGACTGGTCCTGCACTCCGCCTTATGAACCGATCGGTGAAAGTGAAGTCGTCTCTGGTGCTGGCTGCTCTTATCCTGGCAGCAGCTGAAGTACTTTTCATCCTCTGATATGACATTTCTTTTGGAGAGGAGCTCAAATTTTAGATTTATATTTGGTCAATATTTGACTGGAGTTTCTGAATCCATCTAACAATAATTATACTCACTTAGTGATGGTTGAGTGTTTGGTTTGTTTTCTACGCTGGTGAATTGGTCAAATGTGATGAAAACATTGTATTATATTGCGTCTGAACAATGATGCATTTTAAGCAAAGGACCTTCTGATTTTGTTGTTTTCAAGAAAACATTGTAATAAATTAATGGAGCACTTTTGTGTATTTCATCTGTGTCAATTCATATTACTCCTTTTTATAATCTTTTAAAAACAATGAGAGGATCATATTGCAGTGTATCATTCGTCGTAAAATTTCAGATTTGTGATTTTTTTTTTAGATCCATGACAGTGACCTGTTACTGATGGACGAACTCATTTACTGTAGTTTGTTGGATCTGGCAACAGCCGATTGGTCCACTATTTTCAATCAGCGGAACTACATTATTGTTAGAACTTCGAAATAAAACGGGACACAGAGAAAAAAAGTCACTGAAAAGGTTATAGTTACAGATAAATACTCGGGGAGGAGGCAAACTACTGCATGTTGTGTGGACTTTCTCTCCTTTAAAGTGTCAGCACGCGGTGTCAATCTTGAATGACACGCTCTGAACTACTCTGTGATCCGGTTTATCGTGATCCGCATTCGCTTCCGGGTTTGCAGGACAAGCGAGAGGTATGCTGGTGATTTAATTTATACAAATGCCGCTCCGCTTCTTGGTTTAATCGGATTATTGTCCAATTACGGGTGTTCGTGTCGAGAACTCTTTCACACATCGCCCAGAAAGTGAGTCATTCCATCAAGAGTTGAAGATTATCATATTTTTTGTCGTTTCCGTGTCCTACTTGTTAGCTTAGCACGTATGCTAACCGGTTAGCATCTGGTGTCAGTCGCGTCAAATTCTTCGCATTTAATCATTTCACGTTGGACCAGTATAGTGTATTTATTGGTATGTTTCAGGCACGTGTTTGAATACACTTGTAAATTATTATTTTCCTTCTATTTGTAATCCATAGCAATAACTAACTAAATGTGGGGTGCCAAACTCTTGTTATGTGTTCATAGAAAATACATGTTGTTTGTCCCATCAGAAAGGGTATTGTAAAAGTAACATATTGAGGGGAAAATCAGACCTCAGTATGGTGTTTTCATCTGACTAGAAACAAATATTTACATCCTAGTGAGTCACTGTGAGTCACGATTTTGACGTTTTGGGCTGAGGCTGTGTTGGCCCTGGCCCTGAGTGATCTTCCCTTTTAACTTTTTCTGTCCCGAAAGGCCTATCCAAAGATGTGACTGAGCCTAAAAAATCATGCATGTGAAAAATAGATCTCCAACCAAACTAATTCGAGACCGATGAACTTGTTAGATGGATTGTGTTGCTTTGTTCATTTGTGGACTGAAAGCAAAGTACCCCAGCTTAAGTGAATATGGAATTTCCAAACAAAAGCAAGGGTTTATGGATTTGCCCCATAGATTGTGATCCCTCTGAACTGCCCTCGCATGTCATAAGAACGATGCATTATTCTATGTAATCTTCTTTCTTAACTTTTTTCTTTCCATTTGCAACCAACAGTTTCTTGACATGGCAGCCAATGGGGCCAGTTGTGATCAGTCCCAGAGACGTGCAGGGTCGAAGGACAAACAGAATGGAAAGTCTACAGGTAAATTTACTGACATTTTTGTGGCCTAGTGTTCCTCCTGACTTTGAGCCTGATTGCATGTTGTGATAAGTGCATCTGTATGTTTATGCAACACTACCCTTTGACCTGAGTGGGTTGTTTCGCTTTTTAGCATTAGCTAAGAATGATATGGCTCAGGAGCTTGAAGTCAATTGTGTAGGATTACCAATTGTACCTGAAGAATGTGTCATAACTAATTTAGAAATGATATCTCTTTCATCTCCAGAGTCCATACAAAGAGACCGGCGGCTTAAAGAGAAAGAGGAGCGTCTCTCTTTGGTTCTATGGAGAAAGCCTGTCACTACACTGCAATATTTTCTACTGGAGACACTCATCAAACTAAAGGAATTGGCCGTAAAGTAAGTAAAAGTATCTTTAAAAGAGTGGACCAATACAAAATGGAAAACAATTATATCTTCTTTTTCTGTGTGTGTCCATCAGGCTTTGGCAAAGGCGAGGTGTAGTGCTCTTATTTGTTGTTGTCTGTTCTCTCTTCTCCATGGCCTACTCTACAGAGGGTGGACACCAGGAGGTAATGCATTGTTGTGGATTTCTTTGGCTTAATTATCAACTGTATTGGCGCAAGTCAGCTGAAAGGTCAAAGATAAGCCGGTGTTCTTTATCACAAGCTAAGAAAAACATGTTAGCTATCAATATTAATCTATTATGTATTATTGTGTTTGCTTTATCAATTTTTAATGCAAAAAAAAAAAAACTTGTATTATTATTAACCCCTCTCAGTGCAGCCTTCATCTTTTTATAATTTAATAAACATTGAGTCGTCTTTAAAGATGAAAAGCCACTGAAACGATAATTAGGGTTTTATCTTTGTTTACAGTTTTGTTCTTCATCTCCTTTGCTTTTACAGTATGTAAAGTTCCTGGAAAAGAAATTTCTTGTGTGTGCCTACTGGCTAGGCCTCGGCATTTTGTCCTCAGTAGGCCTTGGCACTGGTCTACACACGTTTCTTCTTTATTTGGTAAGTTACTTCTTATGAGCTCATTAAACACTTTTATATGGAGTTCAGATCCATCATCATCAAAGAGAAGACATCCAACACTATATTAACACATTTTATTATGATAAATATGAGTTAAATTGGTGTTAGGAAGCAGGGTTTATTTAGAGCCGTCCATACTCACGTGTCACTGAAACCTTCTTCCTTCCACCACTGCTACGAGGAACTTGATTTCATGACTTACATGTTTCCATCTTGATATTGGTAAAGGTTGCAGTAATGTTGTGGTTTGATCCTGATGACGTGGCTGAGTTCCCTGCATGTGGTCCATCTGCCCTCACCGTTTCCATCAGAATGCAACAGCCATGTGCTTTACATAGTTGTGCTGATGTCACAAAATCCCATTTTATATTGAGGGTAACAATGACCTCTAGTTTTGAGCAAGATTATTATTAAAATACAGTTGGCCGTTTCCAATTGTTAAAAGTCAAGCTCAATAATGTGTAATATAAGCTTTGTATGAGTTGAAATGTTATTTGTCAAATACTTGTTTTCACCATTATGTGATTTCCTGGATGTCACTCAAGTTAATGCGTACTTAATATTGAAAATCAAAATATAACATAAAATGAGAGTTATGTAATATGTATAGATTTGGCAGTTGCTAATGGTGCGAGTAAGTAGTGCTCTTAAATTATGCGAGTTTTCTAACATGAACTAAACTCTTGCTTGTTATAACACAGTATAATATAACCACAGTGTTGGTTATTGTGGGAATTATAACTTTGAAGAGATCAATAACAGAGTCATACATTTATTGCCCACATGTATAGTCAGTGATGATGTCGCCCATAGCCAGGAAGTGATCTTTTCATCGTAAAACCCAATTTTCCCACCAGCTGAGGTAAACTCAAGCCCAAACTATTTCTGGCCATGAGGATGAGCTCATCATGAACAGGGGAAGGGGATTCACTCCCAGTGAGATCAAATTATTCACACTGCCTTGTAGACCTTTCTTACTTAGATGCTTGATCAGTGCAGTAAGTTCAAATGTCAATTATGCATAAAAAATACACACTTTCTTAGATTTATATTGGTACTAGTTATATTTTTAGGGGTCACCCTTGATTTGATTCTCTGCATGAAGAGATCTTTCTAAAAAATTAGACCCTGCGGTTTATAATCTGGTGCGGTTTATAGTCCGGAAATTATGGTTGTACATCTTTTCAGGGAAGTTACACTTTTTAGCACAACTGTTTCTAAAATATTTATTATCATTGTCTTCTTAATAAGTAACATGGTTAAAAACATAGTTTAAAACTCAGCAATCCATGATGTAAGTCAGGTGTGGCAGTCAACACAGCCCAATAGTGTGCAGTCCATCTGCTCTGTCTGAATGACTCTCTCTGAGCACCTACAAAAGAGCTGCTGTTGTGGTTCCAGGTGGGCCACTGTTAATGAGACCAGGTGGACCACACTAACCTAATCTGAGGAGTGAGAACCTGCTTCGTGTCTCAAACTGTCTGACTCAACGTTTGTCTGCACTGTACACATTGTTATACAAGCTACATGTTGTTGTACGAAATTACTTGAGATCAGAATTTTAACATAAAGGCCTTTGGACATTCCTGAGTTATAAATAATTATAATAATTATTCATTTTAAACCTCTCAATGGTGCATTAGCATTGCTGAGCTGCAATAACTGCTCAGATCGGCTGACCACAAAAATAAGGCCATTTATAAAATTGGCTGATCAGAGTTGATTTTATATATCGGTGAAAGCCTTAACATCTGATGGGAGCATCTCCCTCACCCACAGAACCCATTTTTCTGTTTTTAATTCTTGAATATATGTTGTCATACCATCTCGTAGGGGCCTCACATAGCCTCAGTAACCCTGGCAGCATATGAGTGTGGCTCCATAAACTTCCCTGAGCCCCCGTACCCCGATCAGATCATCTGTCCTCCTGGAGAAGGCGCTGAGCAAAGCATCTCCCTCTTCACAATCATGTCCAAGGTCCGTCTGGAGGCCTGCATGTGGGTGAGTACAGGCTGCAAGACAAAGAAAACTCCAAAGATAATAACCATATTTGACTTGATATGGTGATTTGTGATTAGGGAGCGGGGACGGCCATTGGAGAGCTCCCTCCATACTTCATGGCTCGTGCTGCTCGCCAGTCTGGAGCTGACCCTGAAGATGAAGACTATGAAGAGTTTGAGGAGATGCTTGAACAGGCGCAGAATGCACAGGTCAGTCCACAACTTTCCATGTTTGACTTAATTCAATTGTGCTCAAACTAAATGGCCACTGGCGACTGATTGGTCTGCAAGTGTCATGTGACTTCAGTGAAGCTCCTCCCCTTGATTTCCAGTAAATCAGTTTGTCTGTGGGTGACTCACCCGAACCCTACTCCCCCTTTAATCATCCCTCGGGCTCTCTCTGATCCCTCCCTTCTTCTGCCGCTCTCTAATTTGAATGACAGGCTGTCGTCCTGTCAGGAGTTCACTGCTGAGATCAGATGCTGAGTCAGCACAAATCGGCACTGGCTTTTTGTTCACCACTCACTTCTCTGATTCTCAGATTTGACGGATAATCAGATCATCTTCTTTACTCAACACATTCAAGGAATCTCTTCAAGCAATAATTTGAAAATAACTTTTTAGACTGGGAAGTCTTATTTTAGGTGCCTCCTAATTAACCCTAGGCTCAAACTCAAAGTTGAATTTGAATTATACCTTTTAAAAAAACACTTTTGCATCCTTTTATCTTGGAGCTAAGCCTGTCATCTTTCTGTGTAACCACAGAGAGTCTTTATGACTCTATGGGATGAAGATTAGATAAATCTGTTAACAACACTGACACGGGATCCATGAGCCTAAAATAGGCAAGGCAAGTTTATTTGTTTAGCACAATTCATACACAAGGCAACTCAAAGTTCTGACTCAACTCAAAATAAAGTCCCAGTGGCCACTAACCCATTCTTTTACTAATGTTCTATGTAGCAACCATGTGCAAATGTGTCGGTTCTAAAAGTGTCATTTATTCAATTACCAACAAAAACATATCTTTTGCAGGATGTCGTCACGAGAGCTAAGCTCGGAGTCCAGCACATGGTCCAGAAAGTCGGATTCTTTGGCATTTTGGCTTGTGCCTCAGTAAGAAAAACTACATCTGTATTCTGTAAAAATGTGTTCCTTGTACTAATCTTAAATTTGTACTGTAGATTCCTAATCCCCTTTTTGACCTGGCTGGAATAACATGTGGGCACTTCCTGGTCCCGTTCTGGACCTTCTTTGGAGCTACGTTGATTGGGAAGGCCATTATCAAGATGCACATACAGGTTTGTTTGAAGTGACGACAAGAGAAAGATCAGTTTAGGAAGTTTTTAAAAAGGAACAAAGTAAGATTTTGATTGGCATGACCCTCTTTGAAGATGTTTGAAGTGTTCTGTTGAGTCTGCTGCACCAATGACTAATGTAAACTCAGCCAAGTCTATGTCTGAGTTGCACACACTAAAGCAATCTAGTGCTGGTGGTACCAGTGTATGATCTCAGAGCAGCGTGAGAGCCGGGGTCCTGAGGATGGAGAGTTTTGAGGAGGAAATGAAGCAGACGGCTGAAAGGCTGCGGGGGGGAAGCCCTTTGTCTTGAAAATCCTTGGATTTTACGTGTCATGTCCGTCTGATTTTGTCCTGGTGTGTATGTGTCATGAATCTGTTTTAACTTTCCCCAAATAGGTTTATTATGAGGGGTTTTTGGTACTCATACACGCATGAGTGAGTTTAACACTGGGAGGATCCTTTTTATCATTTGAAATCACCGTAAAACATTTCTTTAAGACTGAGTTGGCTCGGAGGGAAAATCCACTTTATTTTTGTGTTCACTGGAAATAAGTCCAGTGAAATTCAGGGCGTGTTTTTTGTTTGATCTCGTTCACTTTAACTTCACCAATTCTGGTTCACTCTGGGCAAAAAATGTCTTATTTGTGGGTGTAAAACCACCACACAAGTGAACACTTTTCAAACAGATCTCTGAAGCCATTTTTCCCCAAGTTAACTTAAAGTGTGAATATTTGGATATATTTGCCGTATTTTAGAGTTCTGAATGATTATTTTTCAGCTTACCAACATGTTTTTGTATTTTGAACAGAAACTGTTTGTCATCATCACCTTCAGCAAGCACATAGTGGAGCAGATGGTCTCACTCATCGGGTAAGTCTGGTGCAAAATACTCTTGTTTCTGTATATTTGCTGATTGTGCCCATGACGGATACTTCTCAGCGGGGGGCATTTCTTAGAGGCGCATATGCAATCAATCTCGTGCATTAGTGGTCAGGCATGTGAGGTCCCATTCAAACTTTGATGATGTGACTCACTGGTATCAGGCTTACCCCAAAGAACGCCATTAAAACCAGAGACTCTCGTCCTTGTTCAAAGTTAACACATTCTTCTGCTGCAAACAGTGACATTGTGTTATTTCCTAAATGTCATGCAGAGTATCATGAAGGCTATTCATTCCAATTGTATCCGCTTTATTGTCCTCATCACGTGTATATCGGCTGAGAACTCATGCATTATGCAGTGCTGGTCATGATTCACCACATTGGATCCCTTGGTGGCAATATACCCAAATGCAGTTATACATTTTTAACAGCATTTTTGCTAATGAGTTTCCTAAGGGCCGAATTTTGTTCACATTAAACAATAAAGTAACAATACAAATACTATTGAGGAGAATACTGTTATAATACATTTACATGTGTTACTGAAAACTAGTTTGGGCTGATCTGTGTGAGGCTAGCTCTTTTGTGTATGGGTGTTCTTTAATTTATCCTACAGATTTAATTATGAATATGAAACAGTCAATATCCATATGAGTCCCTCCTCCTGTGGCTGCCTAAAAAGGCTCTGATCAGATGTGCTTCCCCCTGAAGCTGCTGTATAGTGGTAAAGGTGAATGACATCATGTCGACTCACTTCCTGGTAGAGCGGCTGACATGGGCTCTACTAAGTATAAAAGGAGGAACTGTGGCCTTTCTGTTTTATTGGAGTGTGCAGCTCACACAGCACAGGAGCTCGCAGCTGCTGGACTTTCATATCCTCCTCTTCTACATGAGCGGGAGCGGTGAGTAATGTGTTTGTGTGTTTGAATTCTAGGTCTGTTCCCAAAGTCGGACCATCTCTGCAGAAGCCTTTCAGTCACTACCTGGAAGCACAGAGGAACAAGCTGCATCATGCCGGAGGAAAGGCGCCCGCTGTAAGTATAGTCATATAATCATTTATACGCTTGAACTTGGTGGTAACTTTAAGTTGGTTTAAAGAGAAAAGCTTTTGTTAAATCCAATTACTTCAGGTTATTTTTATACACTTATTTTAACTCAAAAATGCTTCCTAAATGACGAGCTATCCCCTTTTATTCAAAATGTTTGTGATTTACAAAGAATACAAGATAGAAGTTCTGAAATGTCCCTAACTATTTGGCCTGAAACCATGGATAACCTGCTGCTCCTGCCTTTTACAGGATGAGAACTGGCTCTCGTGGATCTTTGAAAAAGTGGTCCTGATCATGGTGTGTTACTTTGTCATCTCCATCGTTAACTCCATGGCCCAGAGTTATGCCAAAAGGCTGCAACAGCAAAGACACTCTGAGGAGAAAACCAAGTGAGGAGGACGGGAGGACTGTGGTGGACTGTTGCACTCCTCCGGCCTCGGACACAGAAGAACAAACCTCATCCATCGTCAGGGGCTGGACTCAAACCAGGCACAGCCGAGTGTGTGCTTCACGGGATGGATGTGACGGAAGTGTAATGTGTGTCTTTCAGGGTTTATAGCTCTTCCTCTCATCTCAATGTAGGTATGTGTAGTGCGATTGGTTCTACTGCTGATCTTAACATGTTACTTTTAATTTAATCTATTTGTTGACCTCACACATTAAGAAGTGGCCACCGACCCGCTGACTATGGGTATGGGCAGTGCCCCTCCGATGCTATGCCTTATGCAAGATGGGAAGGTCAAACTTCCCCAGATTATGTTCACTTAATACTTGATTTGTATGTCATTTTGTAACATTGTATGGATGGATCATGTGCTGCCAGGAAATGTGCTACGTATGGTTGTTTCAGGGTTTCTGTTCCCTCATTTGTTCTCCTAAAGCAGTGCTATGGATGGGGAGAAAATAGCAATATCAATTAAGCGTGGTATTGATGGTTTGCACATTGTGTAAATATCTTAACTTTTGACAGTGTGAGCAGATGTATTTCTATTCAACTGTTCTGTGTAACATAAGACAACCAAAAGAGGATGCATCATTGAAGTGACATTGTCCTGAACTCATGTGTCCCATTTCTCCACTGTACAGTAGGTTCAAACTTACGGGAAACATAAAATGTAAATCATGACACTTGTTTTTCTGTCTCATTTGGTCTTCTTTCATTTGTTATCTGTATCGGAATGTCGTATTTCCTCATAGTCCTCTCTAAGGTAAGTGGATTATCAGAAGTACTTGGAGCAGAACTGGGCCCTTTGTCTTCTCCCTGCATCAAGGCCTCTCCGCAGCAGGAACTGAAAACATGAGCTGTTCGGGAGCATGTCTCACAGTTTCCCACCCTGTCAGCTAGCTTATCTGACTGGTGTTGGCTGTTATACTGTTATGGCAACAGCAGTCTGTAAGCTGGCTGAAGTTTGGGCGTAACACAGCCCTGAGACAAAGCATTTTCTGTGATTAATGTGAATTTCTATTTTACTGTGATAATTATGTGAAGATTATAATAAAATGAAATGTAACTTAAATACATTGATTTATTTTTTATGAACACATTTTACATCAAATATACAGTGCTGCTACTAACAAAGGTGACGATAGCTGGAAATGACCTGCTCCAGCGAAGTGAAGCTTTCTACAAAGTCCTCCTCCGTGATGCCATATTTAGTGTATTGATGAACATAGGCCCTGCAAAAAAAGTCAAGCCATCAATATATTATCACAATCTCAAACTGCACTAAGCAAAACCAGCTTTGTACCTGGAGGCAAACATATTCCAAGCTTTTCCCACTATGTTATCCAGTGGTTGGAGCAGTGATTGACTATTGCTAACTAAAGTGGCCGATTTTTCATATTTATTGAAAGATACAGGAGACTTCCAAGCATTAAAAGCTTCATCTGATGGCAACCAGGAAGTGTAGAGAGCGGCTTCTTCAAAACTCCCTAAAGAAGAATAAACAAAAATGGCAAAGAAATAAAAAAAAAAATACTGTAAATGTATGTCACCTGTTTCTGCGCTGAAGACTTCTTTGCCTCGGAGAACGAGAAGATTGGCCAAAGATCTGTTAAAGTTGTGAGTAGGAAGACCCCTGCTTCGATCATAGTTTGACGGAGGTCGCACCTGCCAATCTATACCTAGAATACACAATGATGTCAAATAGTTTTGTGGTTAAATACAGTCTCGTGAAGACCAGACCTTCCTCCATCCTTGTATTTGAAACCAGCATTTGGCGGAGATGTTTCAAAAGTCCTGGCCAGGCGAAAGTGCTGTAAGCGATGGACGAACTGGGCATTTGAGGAATTGTGCAGAGGCTGAGAAGCTTAAACTCTGGATGGCAAACCAGGGAGCTCACCAGATCACCTACGAGACAAAACAGCCTTTAGATTGTGCGGCAGAGTTTCATTTGTTAAGCATTGCTACATGAGCTCCAGAATCCAGCACACTTTCTATAAAGCCATTATGCGTCGCACAAACGTGTTTTTCTTACATGTTTTTATTTTATTCTTTGAGAAAGTTTCAAGGCTCCACCTTTTGTCTGTTTTACATCAATCTTCTGAACTACCACCTCAAGGGTTAATATATTTATTATTTATTTAATCTTAAGTTCAGACACATAAGAAGGTCCATACAATACAAAAAAACAAAGCGACAACACACAAACATACAATATAGAACCATTATTTAATACTAGTTAATGTTATATTTCTGAATAAAAACTACAATTAAAAAAAGTGTCAACCTTTACATGTATATTGTTAGCTAATACTAGAATTTGGAAAGAGATGTGTGTTTTTCAGATGCCTCCTGGAGATTGAGAACGTCCCACCAGGAGGAGACTCCAGGGAAGACCCAAGGCCACACCGGAGGGACTTTGTTTCAGACCAGTTTAGAATGAGCTGGTGCTATGCTTAGACTGCTGCCACTTATTGCCAAGTCATAAAATCCAAACAAGAATCCCAATCCCAAGGCCTCAAAGCAGACAATACAAACTCAAAGTCCAAGAAGCGTTTTCGATTTAGTTTGGAGCAATTGGAGGCAAACACGTATCAAAGTAAAAATACATTCTATTACAAGGGACTGTATGCAATATTTCAATTTTAAATTATATCTACATCTTTTATATGCCCCCCAGATATTTATTTGTTAGGTTAAAATTAGCTGCTTTGGAAATTGTATCTATTTATTTACAAAATGTACAAATAAAAATACCAGTACAATTCCGGTACAAAAAAAAGCAAGGATGCTGTTGTTACTAAAGTAGTGGGTCTACATCAGTGCTGATGTAGACCCGGAAGAAGTCTCTAGTAACAAAAGTATAATTAAAATGACTTTTAGACCACCAAGAGTCCATATTATATACATATGGTCCTTTAGCTAAAATGAAATGTGTTGATAATAAAATGTAAATAAAACCGTCCGGCTTAAGTGAGTTACCTAGAGGGTTGCGGGAGCAGGTGCCGTGGGAGTGGGCGGTGAGTGCGGGCTGGAGCACGCTGCCCAGCTGGTGTGCGATCACGCGGTTTACGTCGCAGAACGTGATGTGTTTGATGTTGAGCAGTTGGCTGCAGATTCTGTGCACAGTGTCGTTCTCGTGCACCAGGACGGCATCGGACAGCCGGTAGAGTTTGGCCAGGGTCAACACCGAGTTGTAGTTCTGGACAATTACCTGAGGAGAAATCACACGTCCTTAGATCGTGCCTTTATGATCACCATACTTCAATAACTACTAGATGCTACGATATAGTTTGGACTTCAACATAGTCTGTACATATCGTCTGTTCTCTGCAATAGTGAAAGAATGTTTTTGAATGTGGTGGAAACGGCAGAAAGTCCTCAGTAGCTCTTATTTTTCTAGCTTTTTTCTACCTGAGATGTTGCTGCAGGGCCTGACTAATGTTATCTATTTTTAGAATTATCTATTTATTTTTACTTATTACTCCATCACCAGGGGTATTGTTATCGTCTCTGTATGTCTGTGGGAAGGATTCTGCAAAAACATTACTGGACAGAATGAGCTTAAAATAGGTGAAGAAAAATGATAGGAAGACACCCCCCCCCGATAAAAAGGGTCTAGTTTTTATAATAAAACATTATTTAGTATTTCTGGTATTATACAGCTTTACATCCATGTTGATATCCTCAATATTATTATTTATTGAAATAATTTTCTGTAAATATAAATAATGCACCACAATGTATAAACAAACAGTGGCATTTAAATTCAACTTTATAAAGAATTATCAAAAACCTTCATTATTTAATATGTCACCATTTTAGAGTATTGACTCAATTTCATTGGAGCTGCATAAAAAGTAGCTCTCAGCAATTACTGTCCCAAAAAGTAGCTCTCTGTGGGAAATCCTCATTAATTACAGCCCTGCCATGGGATTTCAAAACAAGCCCACCAGTCCTTTATCCCAAAGTTCTGCAGTGGACTTTGGACCAGCAGCATACCTCGCCCGTGCCGTAGGGCCATGTGAGGTGGTTGAGGATGAAGGTCTTGGGGAAAGTGTCCCTCAGAGTCCGGGTGACGTAGGTGCCCACTCCTGACCCAGTGCCTCCGGCCACACTCATGATGGGCAGGAGTCCAGCCAGACGCTCACAGCGCTCCACCTCTCTCCTCACCAGCTCCTCCACCGCCTCCTCGCTCAGCGGCCCGTGCACACAGAATCTACAGCAGCAAACCAGAGCGGATTCAACAGCCTCAAAGTCTGTATAACATTTACTTTAATCATTGACTGTGAATAGCTGTTTATATTATATACTGTTATTTCTTGTGTGAAATTTGTGTACACTGGATTTTAATAAATACATTTCAGATATTATTTATAATATAGATACTGTATAGAATATAGATACAGTTTTCGTTTCTGAAAAAACTTTATTACCAATCATGAAATCTTTTGAAACAATTTATTTTTATATTTTTTCAATTATGTTTTTTGTGTGCTGAATATTTTTGGTAACATAGTGCCTCATCCAAGTGTGCGTCTTTCAACAACTGACAGTTCCAAATGTTGTTCAGACAAAGTAAGGGTTAGTGTTATGTGTATCAGCATGTATCTGTCATTACCCGTTAGCCCAGTTGTTACCAGAGCCCTGCTTTTGACTGAAGTGGGATTTTTCTCCATATCTCCAATTGCCAGACTTCGCAGCCTTTGTCATACTGTGGGTGATCACTTTGGGCTCCATGTCAATGAGAACTGCTCTGGCCTCAAGCTCTAGGAAGACACACAAGTTCATGAAGCAGGCAAAGAATCACAATTTTTCTCACATTATCCGTACATTTTAATAGGTCTTTGTTTTTAGGTGTTAGGCCTACTTTATTTGTTGAAAAATAACAAATGTTTTATTTTAAGTCAGTGTTGGGCGTCGCTAATGGTTACTGGTCCAGCCACAGAGAAGGAGCTACAACATTTTTGAAAGTAACTGAAAAGGTTCCTACGGTGCAAAAATGCTGTGTAGGGATTTTAACAAGTGAACATATAAGTCAAATATTAGAGATTATTGAAATAGTTGTCAACTAATTGATCATTTGTTTTTGTTTTTTGTACCTTACTCACAAAGACTCACAAATGTTGAAAAGAGGTTTTATGACTGCAGAATGAAATAAAAATGTGTTTATAATATATTTTTATTTCAAACAAGCCAATGTCCATCCATCCATTTCTGGGTCAGGGGGGTGGCAATCAGAGATGCCACCCAAGTCTCATAGCAACAGCCCCTCACTGACCCTCTGCAGGTGGTGAGTCCACAGGAGGATGGTGCTCTCTGACTGTGAGCATAGCCTTGATCTTTCAGTGGGGGCTTTGGGCAAAGTCGGGTTAAGTGTCTTGCCCAAGGACACAACAACAGCAGTCATCAGTGGGAGTCGGTTGAGAAGGTGCAGAGGTGGGAATTGAACCCACGACCTTCTGACCTAAAGGCCAATGCTCTACCAACTGAGCTACTGTCGCCACACACAAGCCAGTGTGTTACTCGTCATCTCTATGAAGATGTTCTCTGAGCTTGAGTCTAATGTACAGAATACATTTAGGATCGATTCCTAATCAGAGTACTGTAGTCTGTAGTTCTTGTATATTGTGTTGTAGTTTTTAGTACTCGTATATTGTGTTGTAGTGTGTAGTACTATTGTGTTGTAAATGTAGTATAGCACTAGTGTGTTGTGTTGTAGTGGGAAGTACTAGTACTATTGTGTTGTAACTGTAGTGCAGTATTAGTGAGTTGTATTGTAGTGTGTAGTATTAATGTACAGTGCTTGTGTTTTGTGTTGCAATTGTAGTTTAGTGCTTCTGTGTTTGGTTTTGTAGTTGAAGTGTGGATTACTTGAGTGTTGTGTTGTAATTGTAATGTAGAACTAGTGTGTTGTATTGTATAGTGTAGTACATGTGTTTTGTGTAGTGTAGTGTTGTAATTGTAGTGTAATACTTTTGTGCTGTGTTGTAATAATAGTGTAATGCAGTACTTGTGTAGTGTTTTGTTGTAGTTGTGTTGTAGTGTGTAACACTAGTGTGTTGTGTTGTAGTGTCCACCTCCGCGTGCCGTTTGGTAGAAGAAGCGTTCGTGGCTCGCGCTGCAATAGCTTTTCTTGTGTGCCTCGCGTGCGTCGTTGCAGATGACGTCAAAGAGCTCGAGCCCAACTTGGTTCCCGCACTGTCCGAGCTGCACGGTGACCACGGACATGCTGCCGTTAGCTGCCCACGTATCGAGTATCACGTATACACGACTGAGCTACACGTGTGAGGCCGCCCTTACCTCCACCGGTCCTGTCCCGTTATTACAATAGATTCACGGTCCTGTCTAAAGAGCCGCTTCCATCTTTAAAGTGAAGCAGCAGGTGTGTCCAGCTGGCGCCACAACAAGTTCAAAAGTTACTTCCTGTTTTCAGAAAATAAATAAAAGGGATTCGGAATCAAAGGAATTCCTTTATATTGATATTTTTTCATAACAATACACATGTGTATACAATTATTATGAACTAATTGTTTTTTCTTAATAAAAAAAAACATTATTGAGTGTTTCATGAAAATGTGATCAGTTATGCCTCGTTACTATGACATAGATTGTGCGTTAGATAAGTAAATCCATAATAAATCAATGTAAAACGCCAAAGAATGAGCAGTAAATGCATGTTTGTAAAGGTCTGCTGAACATCAGAGGCATGATCCATGGTTACCGCCCCTCTGGGAACCCTGCACACTGCGCATGCTCAGTGTAGTAGCCGGTTATGGCGGCGGAGTGTGGTTGTCCATGAGGCGGACGCCTACAGTTTTTGTGGTGCTTGACAGAGCGGTACGAGGAAAATCCAAGTATGGCGGGGGTGTTTGACATTGATTTGGACCAGCCGGAGGAAAATGTCTCCGATGATGAGATCGAAGAGGTACCAAACACAGATGCGTCAGAGCTTTTTGCATTAGTTGTCAGAGCTACAACTCAGCTGCACAGAAGCCTGCTAAGCTTCTACTCAAGGCCTGCTTCTGCAGCTCCAGTTCCAGGCCTAAACAGGCTAAGCAACTTTAGCTGCAGCGGCTAATGCTAGTGCTGCAACAGGAGCATGACAGCTTCTAACAGAGCTGTCAAAGAGCTCACTCGGACGTAAACAAACAACAATCATACACTGTTGTCACTTCGGCTCTGATCGACTCTAGAGTCCTGAACTGCAGATGAATGTGTCCCATAAATGTGGTGTGTAACTCTTTATTGTGGCTGAATACTTGTAGACTAAACTGTTGCACTTTTCTTTTCTAGAAAAAAAACTATTCTGCTGTTGAAAGCTTTTGCATGTTTTTATACTTTATAGAAATACATTACTACAAACATTCGTAGACTCTTTAAAACTTAGTGATAAATGACAACAGGGTTGGAGTTTTGTTTCTTTTTGTTTGTGTCTTTCTGTTAAACGTGTTGCTTCATGTTTATGTGTTTATAGCAAACATTGGGCAACTCTTATATAAGCTGTTGCTTCTTGAAACACCAGTCTAGTGTATCCATCTCTCCAGTGGATATTTGTTTTAACCATTTTTATAGTAATAATCTTATATGCTCATGCTATTGTTTTTTTCAAGTCTGAAATCAATGATTTCATGGATCAATGCAGTGGATTTGAGTTGTAAGTAATTTTCATTGAAGCGAGTACACAAAAAATATTACACACACAATAATTCCATTACCATGTATCCCCAGTAACATGGAGGGCTGTGAGAAGATTGAAATATCTGAGGACAATGTGAATCAGGGGACAGAGAACATCAGGCCTGAGTGCTTTGAGCTCCTGCGAGTTCTGGGGAAAGGGGGATACGGAAAGGTATTGTACGCCAGAATTCTTTACTAACACTCTTGTCTTTAGTCCTCACCTGTATTAAACTGTTCAATTAATTCTCTGGCAGGTTTTCCAAGTCCGAAAAGTTGTTGGGGCAGCATCAGGAAAAATATTTGCAATGAAGGTTTTAAAAAAGGTAAGCCTCTTATAACATTTAATCTGCTGCAGTATGCTACTATAACACACACACACACACACACACGCTGTTTGGCAAGACAAATAAACATTACATTTCTGTCTGCAAATATTGGCTGTTCATGAAGGCTGTGGTTGGGTAAGGTTGTGCTGCTTTTTGGTAGCTTGCCATCATTGCCGCTCTATTGCAGCCTAGGCCTTGTCCTTTAGAATATGCTAGTTACAGCCATATATTTTATTCTGCTTGGACGACTGAAATGATATTGACTCTTTAAAGACTGAGCTTTTTCAAATAGTCTGTGCAAAGCTTAACATTATGTAAGCATCCGAAACTACTTAGGATAGCGGTCTGCTCTTGTGTGTTCCCCTGAAAATCTGTCCATACTTGCCTTGTGAAGGTTGTAAAGTTGAGAAAGGAAAATAATGTAGTCAGTGAGACCAGTTTAGACCTGTTTGGGGAGTGAAAAAGATTATTAAATAAATATTCAGAGGGACATCAGGTGTTATAGCCTATGTCCCTCTGAATAATTTCTATAGGCATTTTTTTTAACAAGAAAATGGAAATATGGATTAATTATAGGTGACAAATAAAAGTCTAGAGTCACTACACTAAGGTACACAAGGATCTTAATCATTACGCAATGCGTGTAAAGACCCAATAGGGAAAAGTAACTGATTTCTTTTACAATCACATTACACATTGCCAAAGAAGGCAGGGGGCAAACAGTCCAATAAAGTCTGGCAGTCTTGACGTAGCCGTGCTGTTAATTGACTTTACAGTTTTTTGCTAAAAGTTGCATGCTCATATCAGCAGCCATAATAGGCAGTAGCACAATACCAAGACGTACACTAACTAGAGATGGCATTCTACAGTTGTGTAGGGTCAAAAGCGAGGACCTACTGTTATTGCATGTAATCAAAACAATGTATAGATTCATTCAAAAGGAAATTGACCTTTTGCTTAATTATCTGCTTCAAACACGGATGCTTGTCTTCAGGCTATGATAGTCCGTAATGCCAAGGACACGGCCCACACCAAGGCAGAGAGAAACATCCTGGAGGAGGTAAAGCATCCCTTTATAGTGGACCTCATCTATGCTTTCCAGACCGGCGGAAAACTCTATCTCATACTGGAATATCTAAGCGGTCAGTCCACATAAAGTAACCCACATTTTGCCTATTTTTATGACCCTTATGTGTCACATTTCAGGCGGAGAGCTTTTTATGCAGCTGGAGAGGGAGGGAATCTTTATGGAAGACACAGCCTGGTATGCAACTTATACCATATTTTTTAATAAAAGCCAAACAAAAAAAACTATGTATGTGTTCAAAACTGAAATGTGTTTGTACAGTTTTTACTTAGCTGAAATATCCATGGCCCTGGGACACTTGCACCAGAAGGGAATCATTTATAGAGACCTAAAGCCTGAGAACATAATGCTCAACAACCAAGGTGAGTGAACATTACCACCAAGATTTTGCACTACATTACTTAAAAATGCGAGGTTAAAAACATGTTTGAATTGCAAGCGTCACTTTGAATGTATTTCACTTTGGGCAATTTAACAAAAGATATCTAATCGCAGTATGTTGTATAATGCCATGCACTGTCCTTAACTGAAATGAATAAATACATAGAGAAAATATTCATATACAAGTACCGTTTGCACTGATACATTGCTACATTGTGAAACATTGTGTCCTCTTGCTGCAGGACATGTGAAGTTGACCGACTTTGGCCTGTGTAAGGAGTCCATTCATGACGGGACTGTGACGCACACGTTTTGCGGGACTATCGAATACATGTAGGTAAAACGTACAACCGAGAAATACACATGGTTGCAGTCTTATCCATGTTTCTGATGTTTCAGGGCTCCGGAAATCCTAATGAGAAGTGGACACAACAGAGCAGTCGATTGGTGGAGTCTTGGTGCTCTGATGTACGACATGCTTACAGGAGCGGTCAGTTTCCACAATTATTAAAACTCCTATGCAAGAATTGTTTTTAAATCACATTTTTGTCTTTTAGCCTCCTTTCACTGGTGAAAACCGAAAGAAGACGATCGACAAGATTTTAAAGTGCAAGCTCAACCTCCCGCCCTACCTCACACAAGAAGCTCGAGATCTCCTGAAACGGGTATCGCAGCACTTATTTTAATGCATTCTATTTAACACACACACACACATTTAATTTATTCAATTTCTGCTTTAGTTGCTCAAAAGAAATGCTTCATCCAGGTTGGGTGCTGGGCCAGGAGATGCCACCGAAGTGCAGGTGGGCAGGATTACTCACACATGCATGAAGCAATCCAATTTAAACTTTGAGTAAGAATGAGGAGGTTTGAGGTTCTTGCACCTGGTAGACCTCAAGAGAATGTTGTGTTTACAGTTGTGTGATGGGTTTTTATAACGGATCTTCTCACCTTCTTTCCTGTAGGGCCATCCTTTCTTTCGGCACCTCAACTGGGAGGATTTGCTCGCTCGGAAAGTAGAGCCCCCTTTCAAGCCCATCTTGGTGAGTATTGGATACAAATAAACAGTGCATCTTGAGCCTGTTATAAATGCAATGAATCCTCCAGTGGTTTCACTTGAGCCTTGTTTTTACCCATTTTATTAAAAAAAATTAAAAAAAACAAGACATGAACTCCATTCCTAATACATTTTTGTAGTTACCGCTCTCACACTTACACATCATATACCGTACGTATGTTGGAGTCAACTTCAAGACCAGTGTTAAAGTTTCTAAGAGTTTACATTTCCTCTCAGCAATCAGCAGATGACGTGAGTCAGTTTGATTCTAAATTCACCAGCCAGACACCAGTGGACAGCCCTGATGACTCCACTCTTAGTGAGAGCGCCAATCAAGCTTTTCTGGTAATTGTCTACATTTCTATCCATCTATTACATTGGACTATTTCAACTAAACATAACTATTTTTTTAGGGATTCACTTACGTTGCACCATCTGTGTTAGAAAACGTCAAAGAAAGGTTTTCATTTGAACCAAAAATCCGGTCGCCGCGTAGGATCATGGGCAGTCCAAGAACACCTCTCAGGTACGCCAACAGGCTCCTTTGTGTAGATGGAGCATCTACTGAATACCTTGTTTGATGCAGCCCGGTGAAGTTCTCAGGCCCAGAATGCTGGACCCGGAGCCCCCTCCTCACAGGCGCAGGCTTCAGTGTGCCACAGCCCCCTCAGGACCAGGCTATGGAGGTGACTTCTCCAGAGCAGATGGACATGAGCAGCAACTCTGAGGCGTCCGCTCCTCTGCCCATCCGTCAACCTGCCGGACTTAACCCCGCTCAGATGAAGCAGCAGACCTACCCAGTGGTGGCCAAAAGGCCTGAACATCTACGTATGAACCTATGACCCACCTGCTGCATTAGGAGAGAATATCACTTCATGTCTTTCTTCCTTTGGTATTTTTAACAAGGCATAAACGAGGGATGTCACAGACAATAATCAAAAATTGCACATCCTTACACTACATTTACGGACAGCGTGGGGTTTTGTTAAACTCTGCGTTGCTGTTCAGCTAGCTATCTTAAAATCTTTATCATACTGCTGAGGTCACATGACCTTGGACTGGGAAATGAAGGGGAAATCCCAGCAATTATTCAAGTGCTTTGTGCAATTTGAACGAATGCCAGTATTTGCTTCCAGTGGGATTGGTTCCTGTGTAAGGTTAAGTGGATTTAATGTGAAAAAGACTGGACGTGTCACTTCAGAAATGGAGGGCTGGAGGGTTGTTTCAGGAGTAATACAAATTTGGTGCATCAACTATGGCGATCATAGACACCTAATGCCTAGTGAAGAAAATGTCCTGTTGACTTGGTAATTGAATCATCTTTGCTGTGCTATGATATTCTTAGAGGTGACACATCAGTCAGCTTAAGGCAGCTCTGTGCCCACTGAAACCCAGGCTGATGGTTGAGACGTGGAGAGTCCAACACAGGCCTGGCATGGATCATTGACACAGCGTTTGTCGCCAGTTGATCAAAACACGGAGCTTTGATACTTATAGCTGGGGCATAATCTTCCAGTCATTTGCATCAGCATTGACTTGTTTAAGGAGGAACCTTTTTAGAGTTCCTAAAAAGCAAGTAAATAATAAATTTGTTTAAATACTTGTGTGTCATTTTTACCCCTATGAATCCATTTACAGCAAAACTAGATTGAACATTTTTGAATCCAGATATGTCCCACTCTTTCTATGGTAAACTCAAGAACAAAACTCAAATGTACAGTTACCCAAAGAGAATATATTTTTCACTTATGAGTACAGCCACAGGTCCAACTCTATCTCAAAAAGGCACAATGTTTAAAAAGGCCTCGACTGCATCCAAATTCATTACATACTTCCTTCCTTGACGCTCTTGTCATTTGTGGCATGAAAAAAACATCAACAAAAGAATCTACGTTTGGTCATTAAAAAATATTTTGGATGCAGCCCTAACAATACCAGAGTCAAGACCAACACAAAATCTTAAGGAAAAAACACAATAACTAAGGTTGATAAATATAATTATTGATTTGTTGTGTACAGACGTTCTTGATTGAGATGTAACCGAAATAATAAGCTAATTTAACTTTATGATTATAAAAACAAATGCTTAAATGTAGGAAAATAATCAGGAGCAGTGAGGGATGACCCACAAGATCTTTAGCAAATTTGCAGCTGGACGACTTATTGAAGGGAACAACTGTTCAACATGAGGCCATTGATTGTTTCTGGTTGTTGATGGATTGTAGAAGTTCTCAAAGATTGATAAAGTCACAGAGCACTTCCTTAAGAATTTACTTGACATCTCCAAGCTGCAGGACTCTTTTCTTGCAGCCGCCTCATTTTCTTTCCAAGCGATAACCACCAGATGATACCGATCACAACACAGACAGCAGACTCCACGTAGTAGCCGTCCATGATGGTAAGACAAGTCCCGCCGCCCTGGACGCACAGCTGAGGAGGAAACATGCAATCATCGTTATCTATGCTTTGCTCAGCTCCAATTGAGGGCTCTGCTCATATCTCTTACCCCAGCGGCTTCGGACGTGTCACAGCTCTGTCCAGGAGCTCCCTGGCACTCCTTAGTGGTCAGTGGATCCACGAGCCACAGAGCTACAGTGGAGGGCCAGTTACCTCCCAGATTAGTGACCGTGTTCAGCAGAGTCATATAGGTCCCACCAATCAGTGGATCGCTCACTTTGGCGTGGAAGGCCATGCAGGCGACATACATACTGTACACTGCCACCTAAAGGAATAAGTACTACATTCATCTACAGATTCTTGCATTCATATTCTTCATGCTAATCTTTATAGAAGTGTACAGTACGTATGCTTCAATTTTGCTTAAAATGTAATCCCTCTTGGGTCATATTCTTTTGCATTCACAAAAGAAAATGTCTTACCTGATGTAAGGCGTAGCTAATAAGTATAACAGCATAGTAGTAAACTGGATATCCATGTTCATGTCTGACAAAAGGCGTCCACCACACAAGCAACGCATACTCCAACCCAATGAGCAATCTGAAAGACCCCACAATTATTCAACAGCATTTAGTATGTGTAATAATAGTTGGTTGTGTTGGGTTTAAATCCAACCTAAAGGGAAAGGCTTTGTAGAAGATGTCCAGTGGCCGGGGGCCTGCAGTGTATTTACTGATGATAATGGGAAGTAAGATCTGCAGGGGCACCAAAGGGACAGCCAACAAGGCTAACTGCTCCCTAGGAACTCCTTCTTCAACAAGCTTTAGACCCGTCACTGTATCGGCAGCAGAAAAACCGACCTGACACAAATACATAATATTCTAGTACACGTAAACAGAATAATTTAATCTCATTGGAAGGCACCTTTGCTGTTAGAAGCAGGACACAAAAGGTGAATACGGTGGGCATCTTGATGATAGTAAAAAGCAACTTGTAGGTTTCCATGACACCATGCCTTTCCTCTTCCTTTCTTTTCTTGTTGACATTTTCCCTTTTGAAAATGGCCACCAGTGTTGTGGACACCATGAATACCACACCCCAGAAAAACAGAAAATCTGCAAACAGAGATATTAGCACTTTGTAACACCCATTTATATTTTATTGATCCTCTCCTTACCTGATAATTCGACAATTCCTGTGCCCTTAGGCTCTGTCCTGAGGTATTTATTGCAGAAGTCTGCAGACTCTAATGCCAAAAAAAGCACATTACCAAGAAAATAGCCTGCAGTTTGGCCCACAGAGTTACATGTGGATGCATAGCCCACATTTTCTCTTGATAACATTGTCAGTGCCCAACCATCTACAGCTATATCCTAAAAAATAAAAACGACAAATAGTATGCATAGAAAGTGTTTACTTTCTCTTTTTAAATTTCATATATTACATATATACCTGTGTTGCAGCCAAAAAGGCCAACATGAAGAACACTGATGTTAGTGTTACGATATCAGGTCCACCTTCTTTCTGTAGCAGCCCATTAACCGTAAACGATAACCAGATCATGAAGATACCAAGAAGATATTGTGTTGGCACCAGCCATGACTTTCTGAAGTAAAAGATGGAATGGATCAATTGTAAAAGGAAAATACAAGGAAATCAAAGTAAAATACACACCTTCTCCCAAACTTTGTGCAATAGAGAGAATCCACAAGAGGTGCCCACACAAGTTTTAGACTAAAAGGCCAAAAGACAAAACTAAAAAAGGCTTGGTCTTTATAACTAACATTTTTACCCTGTAGAATAAGTGGAATGCTCCCAGCAAGTCCCAATGGAATCCCTTGCAGGACATAAAGAAATAAAAGCAAACTAATATTTCCCAGCTCTCCACGAATGCCTGCTTGGGGCCTGGCACGTCTCCCAACAGTACTTTCAGGCACTGAGGATGTAATCAAACCATCGGATTCCCCCTCCATTTCATCTTCAGAGGAGGTCATCTCCACTCTATTACTGTCCTTTAGGTTTTCAGAGCGACTGGAACCACCAGCCATCTTTCTCTGTCGTCCATTCTTGTGTGTGAGAAGATCTGAGTGCTCCATGTTTGAGGACCAGGCATCAGGCTCCATGAGCCCCACACCAATCTACAGAAAGAAGCACGTACATAACAATATATCAATTACATTTATACTGAACTAGGTAAGTTCGTTTCACTCAAAACAATGAGCCTATTGAATTATTTAAACGTCCCCATTCCATTGTCTCTGTAATGTGAGAAACATGCAAAGCGCGTCCCCGAACACAGACAGGTGCACCAAGAGATCGCGGACATTAAGAGAATAAATTACTTTTACCTCCACTTCCACCAACGTTTCAATTAGAAAACAAGACATGAAGGAAACATGCAACACAAGTCAAATCTCTGGAGATAGCATGCATACCTGATGATGGTGGAAGCAAATGAATCAACATGCCAATTCCACAAAATCAAAAGTAAGCAATAATTAGAATGTGTTTAAAATGCCACAAACCCGAGAGAACACGATAAACGTATGTTTTACATGGGTGTCTCGTTATTATAACACATCCATGATGTTACTACATAAACACCGGAGTCAGGAAGTGTTTGTGTGTAGCTCACAACTATGTCCGACTGCTTCTGGAGCTGACGTGTCCTATGACATTTACAAAGGTTCCGCTTTGTCATTACCACAACTCTGAAGTAATATCCCCCTTTGTTATAATAACGCTGTAGAAGGACATTAAAACTCTGTGGTATAATAATAATAATAATAATAATAATAACTAACGGATAACTATCATATATTTTAACACACACACAAATACCTATATTATACTGCTCATATGCATAGACTGTATCTCATATGTCAATTTGTTTCGGCTTTAAACTAAACCCTCAAAAACCCTGTTTAAAAAAACACAACATAATATTTAAGATGTGTGTGAAACATGGAATAACCATCAATTGGACCTATTGTTAGGATTTAGCAGACAGAGACGGATCGTGGTGTGCCAAACTCTGGAAGTTTATTTAAGTTTCTCTCAAGTTCCACTGGTTTACTCTGTTTCTTTTTCTCAGACAGAATAAAGGCAGTACACAGTTTATATAGTCATTGTCACGTCACACATCGAAAGACATACGTGTCACAAAGAGACAGTCACATCATAGTCATAACATGGAGTCCTTGTAGAGTCCTTGTACAGTCCTGCACGTAGGCCATATTGCTATCTAATACTAATACCCTCCCCTTTGATCATATAATCACATGTGATCATTCAATTTGATCAATCAATAAAGTGGAAAAAGAAGAAGAAAAAAAAACTTTAAAAAATTATTAAAAACAAAGAAAATGTATGCATTAAACTCATAATCATCCAATCAATATCAGTGGATTTTATCCTCTATCCTGGGAAAAAATAAACAAACAAAAATAAAGTAAATAAACAAACAAAAAACAAATCAAAAATAAAAACAAACAAAAACTATTGGACACACAAGAACTCAGCAGATTCAGTCAAAACACAGACAAAAACGAGCTGAGTCTCAAATTTGAAGCTAATTTCACTTTTATTACTCTATACTTTTATTCTAATGCTGATTGTTTACACTTCACTTATTTCACTGTATTATTTTCACTTTTCAATCTTCTTAACAGCTTTGCGTTTGCACCTTGAGCAAACACATATTTCTACTCTAACTCTTATGTGGAAATGTTTATGAACAACAAAGGAAGGACAATTCTACTTTTTTACTACTACTAAAAACGCTACAATACTAATACTTTATCATTTTAAAAGTTTTTGTCTGTCAGATGTCTGAATACTTAACATGTATATTGCATTTGTCACAGGTTCTGGTTGTAGCAATAGCATCGGCAATAGACGTTTTCATTGGCTGGTTCTTGTTCTGCAAATGGCTGTGTCCAATAGATCATCAGATGTCCAGAAGCTAGGGACAAACAAAAACAAAAGAAGGAATCATGAGTATCTCTCTCATTTAGCACTCATCAATGTATGATTTCAAAAATATAAACATCACTCCCCAGTTTTCTCTCAGGTCCTCAGGTCCTCAGGGTCCCCTGAGGGTGAGTCTCAGTCGTCATCCTGTCAGGTCATAGAGAGATGTCATCTTGGACATCAGTAGGGTCTCTCCAGATGCACATCAGATCTCCAGATACAGTCTTTTCAGTTGAAGCACATCAGGTCACTTGGGATGCACTTCTGGTCAATGGTGCAGTGTCTCAGTTCCTGTACACAGCTTGTAATGCAATAGTTACTCTCTATGGTTAAGTCACTTTGATTCTACTTTAACACAATTTCTATTCATGCTGTTGCTAATGTCCCTCAGACAAAAGCAAGCGCAGTTTACTTCTCTAATTTGTGTTTTTATCAGATCTAATCCTCATCAATGTAATTACTTCACACAGTACAAAATCAACAAATCAAAAGTGTCAGGACAGACGTCAATTAGTCCATGACAATATAGAATTCAAATGAACATTTCTGGTCTCAAAAAATACTGATTCAACTAAAGATTCAAGTGATAGACAATTAAAAATATGTGTTTACATTGGAGTAAACTTTTAAAATGCTTTTTTCCCATGTTCTGCTTTTTCATGTATCTATATGTAAATGTGAATGTGTGAGTGTGTGTGTGTGTGTGTGTGTGTGTATGTGAATTTTGGGGTTGTTTCTCCAGACTCCACGAACCACCTGCAGGTCTCAAAGGTCACACTGTGGTGATGTAAACCAACTGGACACACTCTCAACTCTCATTCAGGTCTTTCCCTGATGCTCCACCCATCACGTCTCCAGACACCTCTCTTTCATGGCCCCGGTCTCACTCCCACTTACTTCTGTAGTGGGGGGAGGGGCAAGGAGGTGGCATTTCCCTTTGCTCCTTGATCTGTGACCTGTGGCTGGGTGGGCTTTGGTGTCCAGTGTCCAGCAGTCCAGTGACCCTGTACAGTGTGTGCTCTTGGTTCTGGAAAACAACCTTATAGTCAAATTAAAAACAACAGAGATTGTGAATGAGATTGTTTTTCTCCCTAAAGTCAAAACAATTTTGAAGCGCTCTGGGTTTTCCCAAGCGCTATGTAAATAAAAGATTACTTATTATCTTATTAATGATGACATTTTAAAACCAGAAACTCTCAATATAAAAAACAAGACTCAAATCTCTTAAACCTTCTTAAACTTTAAAATATGTATTATGTACTTTTTGCACTGTGTGATTAATTATCTATGCATTTATCTCAGCATATATTTTACTAATTTAAAATAATTGCAGCATTTTTCAAATGAAGTCAGTATGAATTGGAGCACATTTTAGACCAGTCTCCTCTGCTGTGGCATCAGCAGGAGCAACAAGGTCAGGCGTGTAGTCAAAACAAAAACAAAAGTCACCACTTGCATGTGAATTGGGTGAATTGGGTAGTTTAACTTAATAATATAATACTTTTACAGCCTAATTCCCTCTTTCTTTTTTAGACGAAGTCTACAATCATTAATCACTTTTAACAGATTCTAATTTAAATGTTTGAAAAACGGCTTTTGTAACTAAAATAAAAAATACATGAAAAAATTCTCACAAACAGCTATGAAATATATCAGAGATACAATAATGGACTCACAAAATAAGCAGCAGATTTAAAAAGAAAAGCAAAGCTTTTTGTACTAATCTTTGGGTTTCAAAAACATACTAATTCAAAACTTCTATTCCCTAATGGTGTTTAAAAACGTTTAACTGTGTCTAACACAATGTTCAAATGGCAAATTTAGCAAATTTAACGGAATAACAACTATGAAAAGCCAAAAGTCCTAAAGCAGTAGCTTTGCTTCAGATTCACAGCCAGAGCAGCGAAGGAGGGGGCCGTTTCCCTGACAACGGCAGCAGATAGAGATGTGCACACACAGGCAAAAAGATACAGAAGAAGAACTTTCAAGATTACTTTTTTAAGCAAATATAACTGATGTTGTTCTTTATACTTTTGTCATCCAAATCTAGAAGTGATCACTTTCCACACTAGTAACAAAAGGCACTCTTGTCTTTAATGTTTACGCTTCTATTTTATCGAGGTAGCAAACTAATTTAAACTCAAAATCTCTTTCTAAAAAACAAAAACAACTGTTGGATACAACCCTCTCATAGCTCAACTGTAGATAAAACTTGGCAAAAAATGTAAATATCTCACAAAAGCTCTCATAGCTCAACTTTAGATAAAACTCTGCATTCTCCGGTGAACTCTGTTCACTCCAAAAACAAAAACTCCCTTTTTCTGTATGTAATTTAAACCGTGATCACTGAAATATTGTTGCTTCTTTACTTTTGTCATTTATCAGCCTGAAATTCGTCAATTTCAAAGCTTTTGTAACAAAGGCCTCTTTAACACATTTCCCTTTTTATAATAACTTTTAATTTTACACCATGGTTTCACTAACTATTTTCTATTCTCTATTCTCTGCCCCGGCTACTCCAAAGGCAGGGACCCCGATACGTCAGGGGTTCCTTTCTCTCTCTGCCCCGGCTACTCCAAAGGCAGGGACCCCGATACGTCAGGGGTTCCTTTTTCTCTCTGCCCCGGCTACTCCAAAGGCAGGGACCCCGATACGTCAGGGGTTCCTTTTTCTCTCTGCCCCGGCTACTCCAAAGGCAGGGACCCCGATACGTCAGGGGTTCCTTTTTCTCTCTGTCCTGACTACTTCAAAGGACAGGGACCCCGATACGTCAGGGGTTCCTTTTTCTCTCTGCCCCGGCTACTCCAAAGGCAGGGACCCCGATACGTCAGGGGTTCCTTTTTCTCTCTGTCCTGACTACTTCAAAGGACAGGGACCCCGATACGTCAGGGGTTCCTTTCTCCTATAGGGACTGGTTACCCACACAGCTAACCTGTTTTCTACAACATAAGACATGACAAAGACGTGACAAAGACACAACAAAGAAAATTTGATTTAGAGAGATTTGGACAGACCTCCGGGACAGCTCAAAATTTAGCTAGTATCCAATTATGCAGACTTTACATATTAAAAAAGGTGTCTGCTTACCTTCATTCTTTGTCCGGACTGTTCGAGAGGTCGACCAACATCTTTTCCGCGTCTAAAAATTCAATTTAAAAAACAAAAGTGACAGAAGCGACAAGAAGCATCCAGGAACAGCTCTTCCAGCCTGCTGGAATCTCCGCTCCCAGACACAGCATGCCGATCTCTCACGCAGAGGAAAAGAAACAGAGCAAAACTCCCTCAAAACAATCCAGAGAATGGCACACACTGAGCCGCGCATTCTCCACCAAATCTGTTAGGATTTAGCAGACAGAGACGGATCGTGGTGTGCCAAACTCTGGAAGTTTATTTAAGTTTCTCTCAAGTTCCACTGGTTTACTCTGTTTCTTTTTCTCAGACAGAATAAAGGCAGTACACAGTTTATATAGTCATTGTCACGTCACACATTGAAAGACATACGTGTCACAAAGAGACAGTCACATCATAGTCATAACATGGAGTCCTTGTAGAGTCCTTGTACAGTCCTGCACGTAGGCCATATTGCTATCTAATACTAATACTATACTCAATTTAAAACAATAAAATAATACTAACTTCTCAAACACAAAAGATTAACAATGAGTAAACAGGACTAAGCCAGTGCAAATCAAACCTACAGAACAATTGATCCTGGAGCTCTGTAGACACAACCCTGATCCACGGTAAAAGCACCATGCTGACCACTCTAGTGAAATACATGTTCTTCAAATATGACTGAGTGAATCAATTCTCACCTCTGCTCTGTATCTTTGTGTTGGAGGTGGTTTTATGTTTACACTTTTCACACTGTACAGATTCAGTGCAGATCTTTATTCATCAGCATTTACAGTCATAATGGAGTGGGCTCTGATGTGTTTATTTATCCTTGAACCAAGTGTGATTATACCTCCAGAGTTTTTATCTCATTATAATAGATCCTTTTTGATGTGTGCAACCTGAGTGCTCTTATTTTCTCCCTTTATTCTGCTGTAGTATGAGTAACGATGACATTGAAATTTCCCCACTGAGGGAGAAATATAGGTTCATCTTTTCTTAGATTATCTTTAAAACACTGGTTGTAAATTCAAAAACATCCATAATCAGAATAGAAGAGGAGGATGCTTATTGAAGTCCTGTTTGTGGGACTTGTAGTTTTTCCTGAACATCTGATTCATTAAAAACAGCAACAGCGCCTCTCTCTCCTCCATACCTCACTGTCTTTGGCTGACCTCAAATAAGGTTAGTGATGAGGAGATAGGGATAAGGAAGGAAGGTTTTTTTCTTACCACATTCAGATGGAGGGATAGTGTGTGGTCTTTTCAAATGTTTGTGTTACACAGTGATTAGCAAGAAATTGTGGGTTCGATTCCACCTTCTTTCTGTGTGGAGTTTGCATGTTTCCTCCATGTATCAAAAGGCTGATTGTAATGTAATATAAGAGAGTGAATGGACGTTAGAGGCTTAAAGTAGGCAAGGCAAGGCAAGTTTATTTGTATAGCACAATTCATACACAAGGCAACTCAAAGTGCTGAACAAGATAGCATTAAAATCATAAATAATCACAGAACATTAAAACGAAAGGTAAAAATATAAAATCCCTCAGTTGTATGCACAGCTAAACACCGTTTTTAACTTGGTTTTAAACATTGTCAGAGAGGAGGCCTGTCTCACATCTTCAGGAAGATTGTTCCAGATTTTAGCAGCATGAATCTGAAAAGCAGCCTCCCCATGTTTAGTTCTGACTCTGGGCACTAACAGGAGTCCAGTCCCTGCGCTCCTCAGAGTCCGGGCTGGTTCATATGGGACTAACATGTCACTAATATATTTTGGTGCGAGGCCATGGAGAGACTTGTACACAAGCAGAGCTGTTTTAAAGTCTATTCTCTGAGCCACAGGAAGCCAGTGCAGAGACCTGAGGACTGGACTAATATGGTCGTACTTAATCAAATGTTGTTTTACACAATACAATACAATTACAATACATTTTATTCTTGTATAGTCCTAAATCACAACAGTAGTTATCTCAGAGGACTTAACAAAACCGTTGAAATCGCCAACAGAGATTAGAGAATCAACAGTCAAGACATAAAAAAAATATAGAAAACATGTTATTGGTCCATAGGGAGAGACCAATGTCCATGAATGTTGATAAATGTTGTAGAATGTTAAAGTGTCTTGGATCATCACCACAGTACTTCTTGTTAGACACTAATTGTCCAACAGACCCTCCTGCATGGGCAAGGAAAAACTCTAAAACCCAGTACACTTTTTTTTTTTTACATTGAAAATAAGCGTGTAACTTCACTCGGGTATCTGTGGAGAGGTGAGTCTTCTCAGTGTAAATCCTACTGTGCATTCATAATTGAGGACTGGAGACTTTTTAAAATAAACTGCAACAACAGAGAAAGGTACTGGACCCACTTCAAAAAAGGCAGGTCACAACCACCAGGACTGTTGAGGACGTCCTTTATAAACCTGATTTAGCACAGTTTTATTTTTTATTTATTAGTTTAATTGAAAACAGTGCATATTAATCAACATGTGTCAAAGAAGCCAGATTTAGCCAGAATAGTCATGTTTTCTAATCAATAGTTTTCTAACAAAAAAAACTATAAACAGAAATACACTGCTTGAAAAGGGACCTATATACATCAGTGGAGGTCGCGAGTCAGTTTCATGCCTATTTCTGGGTCCTAGTCTGAAAAGTTTGAGAATGATTGACTAATGAAAAACCACATGCTTTTCCTGGTGGCTGCATGTGAATCCACTTTAGTTCATGTGACAATGGGAGAGAATGTCTGCAGTTGACTGAAGATTTAACAAATATATAATCCCATAGACCTAAAGGAGAGAATTAATGTGCTCTACGTGATGTGTTAGTTTTGAGGTTTACCTTGGTCTAGTAAAAGTAGCGTATAATTATGTCCACAAGAGGGCGCTCAATTACAATTCTGCCTTCACATGATCAATCCATGCTAATTAGAAAATGTGGCCTCAGTGAGGCAATTAAGCACGTGAACATCACTCCAAAGATCATGTGCACATTACCTTCATGGGAGGTTTAACAAGCGTGGAAGCCTTTTCTACATCTATGTCTTTCTTTATTTCTTGCTTTTAAAAAACATTTTAAAAGACTGTAACACTTGTGAAAGCAATACATTTTGTTCCCTTCCTTCGTTCCTTTTTGTCATCCAGGAATAGCATACCCTATTACAAAGTAATAAAACAATTAAAATAATGACAAATCATAAGTGAAAGTGAGATTATTCTTTTGGTTTGTAGCATATCCCCTAAAGCAAAACCAAAGTACAGCTGCTACGTTGGTGTTAAAGTACACAGTATTCTGTCACATTGCTGTTGCCTGAGAATTCTGGCACACTGGCACTACTGCACTGGGCTTGTAGTTGGGTGTTTTTGAGACACTTACGACATCTACTCATCTACTTATCTAAACTTATATCAACTAAGTGTTAAAAATGTATTTATAATCAAAGTCTGGCTGTAACAAACAATGATTTGATCTCTAGTGATTATCATTTTTGATCAATTGGTAGTAGTTAAAAACACAAATGGTGTAGGCCTATATGACATGATTGAGATTGAGAGAGATTGAGATTTATATAGTACAGTTAATGATGATATTATAACTATAATAGTAGCAAATTATTTTTAAAAACATGATGAGTCAAATCAATCAATCATAACTCTAATTCATATAGCTGAAAAAGTGTTTATGGTACACTAAATTATCAGGCAAATTCATTGGGAATCAAAAAAATGACACCAGATGTAATATCACTGTTTTAGTTTTTTTAAAGTTTTTTTTTATCTAACTCATTGTTCCTTTGGCCATACGACTATTAGATCCAAAAGAGAGTTATTTATGTGTACTTTATTATTGGCAACTTACTGTATATAATGATTTTTTTCCTGTGTATTGTGCTGCTGGACACCTGAATTTGCAGATCAATAAATATCCATCCATCTAAACTGATGAATGGAGGATAATGGGATGGGATGCTATCACACACACACACTACATTTTCTGTCACAACTCCATAATGGATGCAGTGTTGTGAAGCAGTTTGGTACAGTTTATCTTAAACTGAGGATCCTGCACCAGGAGGAGCTGCCTTCTGTCTTCAGTCATTCTGACATGTAGTGCTCCACCCCTTAAACACAGTCACATATATGCAAATGTTCTCAGAGAAAGTTATTTTACAAACCAGTGAGAGCACTCGGCTGTCTGTACACGGAGACACCTCATAGACCCGCTGCTCTTTCGCAACAGTAGTCGGCGTGTTGAGCCACCAGCGGACCGGACCTGCTCAGCCCCGTCAGCCCCGCTCAGCCCTCTCTCTCTCCGGGAGTCATTCCACAACACCACAGTCCTCCATGGCTCTGTGCAACGGAGACAGCAAGGTCAGTGGAGACAGAGAAATGCACATTAGTCTTGCTGTAATACTCATGTCCACTATCTGAAGCAGTGAGCGATGGCCTGTGTGTCTGTGGACAAAGTTGTGCTACAGAGGCTCTGGCTGCGGTGGCTGCTGTGGCTGCGGAGCGGAGTGCGCCGTACTGAGCCGTACTGAGCCTGTTGCAGTGTAGCCGCCGCACTAACATATTCTTTGCCCCTTGCTAGCTCAATCTGCATTGTTTCAGTAATGATCAAGCGAGCCAAGGATGCCCACAAGCAGACATTCGTCCCCCCCAGTGTAGATGATCTCACGGGGCCATGCATACCCAGCCTCTGCCCTGTGCACTACCGCGTGGGTCTAGCTTGGCTCGGCTACAGACGTGCGGCTAACAGGCTCGCGCTGTTTACCTACGTGAGAGCTAGCATAATGCTAACGCTCAGGTTGAAATGCGTAGCACAAGCTAGATTGGACCAGGCTGTCATAAACTCAGCACATACTATAAACACAGATCGGGGATAACGATATTGGTGATGTTTAACTGGAAGCTGCACATCCGAGTGTTATTGCGACAAGATCACTTTGAAGAATTCTGCCCTAATCTAACCGGCCGGCCTGACAGCTACTTCTAACCTGTTTTTGTGGTTTGTTTCTTTCGTAGTTTTACGGTTGATTGTTATTACACGATCCATGGGAGTTGGTCTGTTTTTATTATAAATAGTTTTAAAGGACAGAACACATTATGACAGTGATGTTTAGATGTCTGTCCAGGTGTTTGCAACAACCCACGTGGGCTCCACAGTCTATGGTAGTAGTAGATAGTTTGACTCTTTGAAAGTCACTTTTAGTCTTGCTTTTGCATATGATGCAATAATAGAAAGACGGCAGTATCAATAAATGTGTGTTTCAGTATTATTCTATAGTTAACGTTCCCCCTGTCATAAGGCCAGACTTGATTGTAACCCTTGGCTTTCATGTGAATTTATTTAGTGAGAGCACGCTCTGCAGTGATGCTCACATGACGTGACCTAATTGGGTTAAGGTCACTGCCAAATTGTCACAGTAATTTTGCACTAATATATATATATAGAGGTTGTGCATCACATGAGCACTGCAATGGAACACTAGTGGGTGTGTAAATCTTATTTTTACGTTTTTTGCATAGCTGGAGTTCAGCCCTGCAGAGCAGAATGGGTCGCATGAGGGAGCAGTGGCAATCCTGGATGCAGGGGCCCAGTATGGTAAGGTCATTGACAGAAGAGTGCGAGAGCTTTGTGTGCGCTCAGAGATTCTACCACTGGAGACCCCAGCCTTTGCCCTGCGAGAGCAAGGATACAGGTGAGGACAACCAATACATTCTTGTACATATCTTAATAATGCTTGTTTGTTTGATATTTGTTGTATTTTTCTTTCTAGGGCTATTATCATATCAGGTGGTCCAGCCTCTGTTTATGCAGAGGACGCCCCCTGGTTTGACCCTGCTATATTCACGATTGGAAAGCCTGTATTAGGAATTTGTTATGGGATGCAGGTATACTTTAATTTTATTTTTTTTCTTATTGATTCTGTTACTGTTTTCTTGTGCGACGTAGCATTGTCTGATATGATCAGGGTGTGATTGGCCAGGGGGGGTTACTTTCCTTCACTCACACCTGTGCTGGTGTTTGTTCAAGAATGCTCTCCGAAAGGGCTTTGTTCATCCTCATCCACAGATCTGTAATGATGCGATTCACTGCCTTTGCCTTAAGAGCCGTCTGTCCTCTATTCATGTGTCCTATGTCTTTATTCTCGGCTTTGATTTTAAAAACATGATCATGTTCATGTTCTCAGTCCACGCACTCTGCTGACTAAAGTATACGCATTTTGCAGACTTTACAATTCAATTAAACTTTATTTACAGACTCTAGGTCCAATTTAAAACATATAGACTAGACTAACAGACAGTTGTGACTTTAAGAAACAGCCATACCAGTGTCTACACTGGTGAGCGCCATGACTCGTGCTTCCCTGCATCAGTGCTGTACCCACAAGATTGAGCCCTTATTTTAAATTATTTTGAAATGTTTTGATCCACCGTATATATATATCCAGAGCTCCTCCTTTAAGTGTGCATATGTGTTTTATTACAGATGCTCAATAAAGTTTTTGGTGGCACAGTTCACAAAAAAAGTGTCCGTGAAGATGGCGTTTTCAGTGTTAACTTGGACAACACCTGCTCTCTTTTTAGGTAACACTGATTCACTGGCACCATTGTCTTAGTGAACTTTTTAGCAGAGCTTTAGCAGAATACCTTGGATAGTTTCTGAACAGTTTATATTTGTCTGTCAGAGGCCTACAGAAGGAGGAACTGGTTCTTCTCACACATGGGGACAGTGTTGATAAAGTGGCGGATGGCTTTAAAGTTGTCTCTCAGTCTGGAAACATAATCGCTGGTGAGTGAGTTTAAGAATGTTCATTTGCATAATGTTTTCTTCTTTGCGTTGTCATGACTGTTTTTTATGTTTTTCTGTCAGGAATTGCCAATGAACAAAAGAAACTTTATGGGACACAGTTTCACCCAGAAGTAGACCTGACAGAGCGGGGCATTGTTATGTTGAAAAACTTCCTGTTTGATATCGCAGGATGCACAAATAATTTTACAGTGTTGAACCGTCAACAGGACTGCATCAGTGAGATCAGGGAAAAAGTAGGAACTTCAAAAGTCCTGGTAAGAATCTACTTTTCACTGAATTGTGTATATTAATGTTATGAAAATAAGGGTTTTGCTTTTCTGTAGGTGCTTCTCAGTGGGGGGGTTGACTCGACCGTGTGCACAGCTCTTTTGAACAAAGCTCTGGACCAAGAACAAGTCATAGCTGTTCACATTGACAATGGTTTCATGAGAAAGAGGGAAAGTCTAAGTGTGGAAGAAGCCCTAACAAAGCTTGGAATCAAACTCAGAGGTACTGATGAATGGACGGTAGTAAAAGCTGAAGTGTATTTGTAGCTAAATGTTACTATGGCTTGTTGTACAGTGGTGAATGCAGCACATACCTTCTACAATGGAACCACTACCCTTCCCATCTCAGAAGAGGACAGAACGCCAAGGAAACGAATAAGCAAGACATTGAATATGACCACCAACCCAGAGGAGAAAAGAAAAATCATAGGAGACACTTTTGTAAAGGTAGAGCATTTTCACAGTATCAAGACACATATAAAAAAAAAAAATAATTAATTGTATTTGAAATCTGTAGGTGGCAAATGAAGTTATAGGGGAGATGAATCTAAAGCCAGAGGAGGTCCTTCTGGCTCAGGGCACTTTGAGACCGGACCTGATTGAGAGTGCCTCTCATTTGGCCAGTGGCAAAGCAGAAGTCATCAAAACGCACCACAACGATACAGAGTTAGTCCGAAAACTCAGAGATGAGGTAGAGCAGTTCTACATCACAACAGTTTTTCATTTTATTCTGTTTATCACTGTACTGTTTTTAATTGTTGCATTTTTATGTTCAGGGGAAAGTTATTGAACCTCTTAAAGATTTTCACAAAGATGAGGTCAGAGCTTTGGGAAGGGAGCTTGGTCTCCCAGAAGAAATAGTCTGTCGGCATCCTTTCCCGGGTAAGCGATAAGTTTCTAAAATGATTTTTTCCTTAATTGTCATAACCTATACCTATTTGCTTTTTGCTTATAGAATTTGGTGTGATTCAGGTTCACCAAAGTTATATCCCAGTTGTATTAGTTTTATGCCATATCTTGTATCTATGCGATTTCATTCTTGGTCCAAATCACAAACTGATGAACCTGTGTCTTGTTTTTCACCACGACACCATTTAGATCTGTTTCAGTAATGTACCCCAGCTGTATTTATATCTAGATATTATTTATTATCATTAGTTCAGACTCTGTAAAGCAAACAGACTGCTGATCCATGTAGTGAGTCCGAAGGGAAAAGTAGATATACATTTCCGTTTTTATCTGAATCATCTCTCCCCTAATCCGGACTGGTCCTTTCCGCCTGCAGGTCCCGGTCTGTCCATCCGAGTCATCTGCGCAGAGGAGCCTTACATCTGTAAAGACTTTGCTGAGACAAACAATATTCTCAAAATCATCACAGACTTTTCCACAAGTGTCAAAAAGGTAAATTCTGCTTGAGCATTATATCAGAAGGAAAAAATCAGAAAATTAATGTCTTTATTGTGACAAAGCAAAATCAGCTTTTTTACAGCCTTTGTCTGTGTTATTTTTCCCATCTCATTTATACAGTTTTTAGAGCGATTAATTGGTTTGAGTCAGTTAACTTGTCCCTATTTGACCATGTTTCACTGACATGTACACGTACAGACCGAGGAACTGAATATTGCAAACCCATCTCGTTTTATTATGATCAAGATTAATTTAGCTCAGTATTTAGATTTAAGTTATACAAATATATACTTTTGTGTTCTTGTTTTTTGCAAGTATGTGGAGGAGGGATAGTGACTCCCTCAGCACAGCGAGAGTAGTGAGAAATGGGACTACGGTCAGAGAGTTTTTGGAGTGTCTGTGGTATATTATGCCATATTCTACTGTATTGTTACAATTCTGGTGTGTTTCTTTTGTATTCTTTTTCAAATTGTGCTTCTGTATTGAATGAGTGAGGAAGGAATAAGCATTTGCAACTCCTTGTTCAAAACGGTCTGTTCTGTTTTTTGTTTTGTCAAATTGTGTACAGGTTTTGAAATGGACATATAATGTGCCACGGATGTCATAGACTATCACGTACAAATGGTTTTTGCTCAGACTGAACATGCCCTCTTCTCTCCTCTCCAGCCCCATGCCTTGCTTCAGAGAGTAAAGTCATGCATATCAGATGAGGAGGAGGAGAAACTAATGCAGATCACCAGCCTTCATTCACTCAATGCCTTCCTTTTACCCATCAAAACTGTCGGTGTCCAGGTACGTTGATTGAAATATTTCTTTTTTTGCCGCATAGGCAGTTTCCACCACGTCTGACTTTTTATGTCTGTGCTGAAATTTAAAATAGAACAGACTGTGTTTTTGTCTCTGGTGGAATTGCTCTGGTGGCTAACCACAAACTCCACCCACTAATTCAAACATGACGTGCTTTCTCTTCAGACTAGATGAATGGCTGTAGGAGCTGAAGGCACAATAATGATTTCATACTGTCCGTTCAATCACTGGTGTGTGTGTGTGTGTGTGCATTGGGTGTGTTACTATTGCTTCCTGTGTTTTCTAAACGTTTAAGTTTGGCCTTTACCTCAAACTGAGTCAGGCAGTCAAATATATTCCAGGAAGATCTCTTTAAGATAAGAAATTAAAAGCAGATGCAAGTTGCACACAATTTTAGACCATTGTACATCCACCAGATGTAGAACCATCCAGCAAGTTTCCATCTGTAGCCTTTTGATTTATTTACTTAGAACTGAGTAGTGAGTACTGAACTTTGACATCTTTGTAAATAATTGTTCTGTGTGATTATTCCCAGGGTGATTGCAGGTCCTACAGTTATGTATGTGGTGTCACAAGTAAAGAATCTCCACACTGGGACTCTCTCATGTTCCTAGCCAGGCTTATTCCTCGCATGTGCCATAGCATCAACAGGTATCTGTCCGTCCACTGCTTACTGCATCTGTGTGTGTGGGGAAACGCTTCAAATGTTGTCTTTTCTGTCCAGAGTGGTGTATATTTTTGGGTCCCATGTGAAAGAACCTCCAACAGACATTACTCCCACCTTCCTGACCACAGGCGTTCTGAGCACACTCAGACAGGCTGACTATGTAGCTCACTCTATTCTCAGAGAGTCTGGTAAGTGTGAGCAAGAGTGACTTTACCAATGACAAGACTATACTAGTATAACATTGGTCCTGTCTGGTGTTCTCAGGTTACTCTGGTAAGATCAGCCAGATGCCAGTGATCTTGGTTCCGCTGCACTTTGATCGGGACCCTCTGCAGAAGCAGCCATCTTGCCGGCGCTCTGTGGTCGTCCGCACCTTTATCACCAGCGACTTCATGACAGGAATACCTGCCACACCAGGCAGCCATATCCCAGAGGAGGTACCAGATTGACACACAACACTCAACAATTGTACATTCAGTTTCAAAGGGGGACAATGCTATTTAATAAAACACATGATTAAACACGAGTTTAACAAAGCCAGAATCCTCTGTAGTCCCCTGGCCGTGATGTTAAAAAGCCATTAAAATACATGAACATGACAAATACAAGACAGAGACAACACTATAACGTTAGTCTTGATTAATGTTGACACATTAGAACAACATTAGTTTGTTTGCTTTCTGTTTTGAATATTTGCCTCAAATCTTTATACAGCTCACACTTTAATATTTAACCACATAAGTTGAAATGACATTCACAAGTTGAAGGGATATTGATGTTTAATTGTGTGACTTTCATTTTTATTTCAGGTGGTTCTAAAAATGGTGAATGAAATAAAAAAGATCCCAGGCATCTCCAGAGTAATGTATGACCTGACGTCCAAACCTCCAGGCACCACTGAGTGGGAATAGTGTGTGTGCTGCACAGGCAGTTGCACACCTACAATCGCACACAGTCACACACACTTACACACTCACACACTGTGCACAGTGATCTCAGAGAGGGTCCTTCTCTTCTGTCCTTCCTGTTTGTCCACTCCAACACATTCCCACAGAAGGACTGTACTGTGACAAAGACTCTACACCTCTCTGACGTCACACATTTAGGGTCTTAATCATTTGCCAATATGAATTGAGTAATGTTATTGATAATTGTCATCTTGATTAATGTATGACAGTGAATCATTTCTTTGAAATTGCTGCTTCCTTAAGCTAATTTAAAGAAAAGCAAGCAGCTTGATGCTGTGACTTTGGAGGTTCAGAAAATGGACTTTGATGTTGTGCCTCAGATTGTGAGATGTGATATATAAAAGTTACTTATATACTGTACAATGTTTTTAAAACCGAACAACATCAAAGTGTCATTCTTTACTTGTTATGTTTTGCCTTTGTTATATGGGGACAGCCCCCTGCTTGTATTTTGTTTGTCCAGGCTGGCCAAGCTGCTTGGAAACTCCATGTGACCAATATACATGAGGCTTATTTTTGCCATACAAATATGTTGTTACTGCTCTTTGTGTACTCTCCAACTTGAACTTGACCACTGTGGTTAAGACTGGCCTGCAGTTATCCAAGAGGCCTGCTGGGTTTTGCTGCACCAGTCCATAAGATGGCGCTATTTTGAATGTGCCTACTCTTAATTCAAACCTAACTTTCCCAGAGATTCCCCCATAATGTGTGTCTTTATGAAGCTGTCATTCATGAAACCTTAACTTTATAAGGGGACAATCCATTGGCAGATGTTTTGTGCATTCAGAATTTCACACTTAATAAACAGATCTTCATTTGCTGCTGTTTTCAGTGCAGAGGCACTTTTGCACATCTCATACTTTGAATCTAAGCCCTTATGCGTAACTGAATGATCCAGGGTCTGCGTCTTGGCCGGTGTCATGTTGACGTTGCTGCTTGTTGATGAACATCAGTTCTCTTTGTCTGACATTACAGCTTCATTATCTGTCGTAAACACATCTTGATGAGTCCTCCAGACCTCTTCAGTGCTCAGGTTCTACCGAGCTCAAATACAATAAATAAATAAACAGTTTTACTTAACCTCATTCCTTCACTATAGATTTGTGCCTGTCATCCCATATTCTATATGAACTCTTGACACGTCTTATCTATTTATTCTGTTCTTTTCGTTCTGCCTTATGTGTATTCATTAAGATAATTGGCTTGATAATTACATTGTTTTGTAGTAATTTAACTGCAATATTGAGAAGATTAAGTTATGCAATTAATGTGTAATGTTATATTTTTTCAACTTTGTTCTCCTTAGTAACGTGCCTCAAACAAAGCCACTGCATGCAGTTTCAACGACAGTGACATTTGTACAAAGGAAAACTGAGCTTTAATAAAGATCTCCATGTTGAAATTGTTTTGTGGAATTTCATTTCAATGTTACTGTATAATCTGTGGACATTTTAATGGAAATGTATTCTTGAATATGACCTTAACATGGATGTATAGAAACCATGGTATCATATATGCCGCAGACCTCTGTGAGTTTGTCTCCCGTGGGCTCGGGCTCAAACAGGATGAGACAAGTTAAGTCACCTATCAAGCTGCAGACCTGCACCCAAAGGAGCCTGGCATTTGGAACAGTTGCATTGCCACAATATTGTGTCTGTCCTGTACAAGTCAATACATGCAGCTGCCAATTAGCTTCTATTGCCTGTGGCACTTCAGCAATCTGACTGAGGAAAACCAGAAATGCACAAGTGGGTTGATAAAACCCACTCATAACTGATTTTGTGGGAATCAACCATGTTCTGTAAATCGTTTACATTCTGATGACGGCAAACACAAGTTAAAAAGAGACGATGGTAATAAATATCTTTTCTGAAACTAAACTTTTGCATAACCATACTTCACAAAAACGTTCACAGCACTGAATGAATTATTTTGAAACGGACTAAAATAATTATTTTTGTGATTTAGTTTGTAACTACTGGTGGGTCACATTTCATAAAAGGGGATGAACCATTACATTTCCCTTTATTTCCCATCAGCCAATTTGTAAAATAAGTTTTACGGAAATCAAAATAAAGAGGCATCCTTCTTATCTCTAGTCTAGCCTAATCAAATGTGGCCTATCAAAACTAGTTTGAAATCACAAAATCATTTAAAGTGATCTGGAGCCTTTTCTAAATAGATAATTAGATATACTTTACTGATCACCGTCGGAGAAATTCAGGTGTCCAGAAGTAGAAAAAATAAGAAATAAAATGTATCATTCTAAGAAGTTACAAATAGTAATAATCAGCAACAGCTCTTGAGGTCACAGCAGCAGAGGTGGAGTAGCCTCTGGGTGGAGCAGGACGGGTCACAAGGTGGAGTAGCTGCTTGGTTCGGACCATTTTCTCTGCTCTAGTCCAAAGTAAAATGTTAAATGATTCAATGGCATTTTTCAAAAAGTTAATTAAAGTAAACAAGTCAAAGCTACAGGGTTTCACCTTTGTAAAGAGGCAAGCCACTTTTTGGTTTCACAAATAGGAGAAAGCAGAAAATTGATACTTATTCTATTCGACCATTATTAATGTGTTTTCTCATGTTATATTTGCTTTGATATTACGCAAATATTTACAGCGTGTAAGCTCAGTGTTCTTCTCATTTGCTCCGTCTCTTCCAGGCATGATCCCCTGAGATATCCGCAGACACCTGTCACACTTGCATGTTTTTCTTGCCTGGTACATCCACCACCTCAGCCATCTCCCGACATGGCACTCTGGCTCTATGTTCTTCCATTCTGTCTGCTTTCCTACTTCCCTCAGTCCGTTTCATCAGAGGCGACCTGTAATCTGAAGGCCAAATTCAACCTGAACGGATACAAAGATGTGGAGAAGAAGAAGGTGGTGATCGGGGGGATGTTTCCCGTCCACATGCGAATATCCTCCAGTGATGGCAACACGTCCAGGGTCCCGGTGTCTTCAGGCTGTGAGGGGTAAGACGCAAAACCTTCACAGTAGATCAGTCTCCAATTCTGTTTCCATGGAGAGCTCTTATTTGCGACCATTTTTTTTGAGACCGACTCCTTTAAGTTGGTAATGTATAAACTGAATCCATTCTGCAACAGTAATATTTGATCAACGTTATAATAAATATAGGTTTGATATATCTCACTTTGCATATAAAGAGTATGTCATATAATAGTTTCACATGGTAGGCTGAATTACAGAAGTAAATGGACTCAAAACCAGATATCAATTCAATGATTCAAAACAATCTTGTAGACAAACAACTTTCAAGGCAAACATAATAAAAGTACTTTTTATGGGGCCACATAATACTATAGATCTTCTGCATACTTTGTAAAACCACTGAAATGTTTATGGTATATTGGTGATTGTTTAGTAGTGATAACCCATTACTCCTAAATGTCCTCGCCAGAGAACAAACTCCCCATACTGCTCTTTGTGTGTTTGCAGTTTTTCTTTTTCCTTTGTTGTCTTGTTCAAAACACTTTCCCTCTGTATGATTTGTGCTATACAAGTAAATGTCCTTTCCTATTATCAGTGAATATTATGGATGTATTTAACACAGCCGTTTATTGTAATGGATTGCTTAATAATGCTTTAAATGTTAAAGTTGCATTTCAGAATCAACAACATAAATTTGTTTCTTCAGTAAAGTAAACAATATTGTATCAAGTGGGATATTGTATGTATAAGATTCTCCCATTTACTGACAGGATATGTGTCTTATTGGGAGTTCTAACACAGACATGTGCATTTTGTACTTGAATAATGAAGCTCACTTCAGAACAGTTTATTTTAAACATGCTTTAATTGCATTATTCCTGTTCATCTTCTGGAGGAGGCGCAGCTCTGAAGAACAAGTCAACAGTGCAAGGCCAAGGAAATAAATGCTACAATGGCAGTTTCTGACATCTTAAAGGATCATGCCTATTATTTTCATCCATCCATCCATCCATCCATTTTCTTCCCCTTAATCCAATTCTGGGTCAGGGGGGTGGCAGTCAAAGCTGCACCCAGTCACATCACTGATCCTCCTGCAGGTGGTAAGTCCATAGGAGCCTAGATCTTTCAGTGGGGGCTTGAGGAAAAGTGGGGTTAAGTGTCTCGCCCAAGGACACAACGACAGCAGTTATCAGTAGGAGTTGTGAAGTAGGTCTTATGGTGGGCTCGAACCCACGACCTTCAGGCTCTAAGACCAATGCTCTACCAACTGAGCCACTGTCGCCCCTTATTATTATTATTATTATTAATATTATTAATATTATTATTATTATTATTTCAAGATTTCAAGATTTCAAGATTTTTATTTGTCAAACCAAGTGAATGGTTTGAAATTATATTTCTCTCATCCTTGATTGTGGAGCGGGGGGTGGGGGAAGAGGGGTGGGGGAAGATGGGTGGCGAAGATGGGTGGGAGGGAAGATGGGTGAGTGGGAGGGAAGATGGGTGAGTGGGAGGGAGGGTGGGGGAAGATGGGTGGGAGGGAGGGCAGGGAGTTCAGCTTTCTGATGGCCTTGTGAATGAAACAGTTTTTAAGTCGACTGGAACTGTTCCGTAAATTCTGCAGTCTCCTCCCTGAAGGCATTACCCTGAAGAGCCTGTGTGATGGGTGCGTAGGGTCCCTGGTGATTCTGACGGCTTTGCGGGTGAGACGGGTGGAGTACATGTCCTTAATGGTGGGGAGAGGGGCTCCACAGATCTTCTCTGCTGCTCTCACGATGCGATTATTATTATTATTATTATTATTATTATTATATCACATGCAGGTTTGGCTACGTGATATTAGTGTGCTTCCTTTCCTTGTATTTCCTTGTGACGCAATACAATACTCACTCTCAGTTCTGCTGCATGGAAATTAGAGATCTTTTATAACACTTTTGAAGCAACTGTGGTTAAAGCTGAACTCAACATTAGGACAGTATGCACAAGCTGGAGATTTTCCACTTGGTGTTTGGGCTATCTGAAGGTCGAAGCTACTGGTGCCATGGCAGCTGCTGATTGGAGCGTTTATTCCTCCATGGTATAAAATAACGTGCACGCAGAAAATCTTTGGATGTGTCTCTTTGTAACATCAATAACTGTCTTTTGTCTGTGACAGAAGGGGACTATCTTGGAAGTCCTGTGTACGCCTGATTTCATTCACACACAGAAAACCAATTGATTTTATTCGACCTATTTGAGCATCATCCTATTTACTTAAGTTATGGGGTTTCATTTCTATGATACATTTTCAGTTTTAATTTCCGCACCTTTCGCTGGACCCAGACGATGCTCTTTGCCATCAATGAGATAAACCACAGAGAAGACCTGCTTCCAGACACTGACCTGGGCTACGTGATCTACGACTCCTGCTTCACCATCTCCAAGGCCGTGGAGGGCACCCTGACCTACCTGACCGGGCAGGACGAGGCTGTGCCTAACTACCGCTGTGGCTCTGGGCCTCCTCTGGGGGCAATGGTGGGGGCAGGCGGCTCGGACCTCTCCATCGCCACAGCCAGGATTATGGGACTCTACCATTTTCCACAAGTAGGTGCACAAGTATGAGAACCACACTTCACACTGCTTTGATATAAAATGTCACTGAAACTGTTCTCCAGAGCAGAAAGAGTGTCCTGCAGGGGGCGACAGTCATGGTCCAGCATAGATGTTAGTTTGTCCAGGGCCCTCCTGTCCCCCACCTGCTGCACAGGACTGAGCTGGTCTTCCTGATGGCCTTGTCCAGCTTCTTCCTGTCCCTCTCTGTGATATTGCTGCTCCAGACCACACCGTAGAGCCTCCTCAGCAGTAGAGCCTCCTCACCTTACATTGTGTGCACCATGTGCACTTGTATATTGTAAATAGTAACTGTAACTCTATTTTAAATTTAAATTTATTCTTTAGAAGTGTTTTTTATTCTTATTTTTATTATCTCTTTTTGACTGTTGCACTGAGCCAAAGCAATTTCCAAGTCTGTGACCTCCCGTTACTTACGTTGGCAATAAAAATGATTCTGATTCTGATTCTGATTCTGATTCAGCAGTAGAGCCTCCTCAGCATTAGAGCCTCCTCAGCAGTAGATCCTCCTCAGCAGTAGAACCTCCTCAGCAGTAGAACCTCCTCAGCAGTAGATCCTCCTCAGCAGGTAAAGAAGGCTCTGGCCCTTCTCGAAGAAGGCGTCAGTTTTATGTGTCCAGTTCAGTTTGTGATTACATGAACACCCAGGTAAACACAGGTTTAAAAGTAGGTACCCTAACATTAGTGTTTGAAGTAAGTAGTATTTATCTTGATTACATGTATTTATCTGTAGAATTATTGACAAAGCAATAGTATGTCACGTGGCAACATAAGTCCATGGAAATGGTCCTTTGGAACATTCTTCTTGGAGGCAGATTTGATAAATAGATGTCACATACATAGAATAGGGAGGAAGGAAGTTACAATACACACAAGATACTCAAAAAACACAAAAATAAACACATACAATACAGGAACAAGGGCAAAGAAATTATAGATTGTTAAGAGCAGCTATGGCTGAAGGGACAAAAACTTTGCTAAATCTTGCCCACTTCTATCTGAAGGTTCTGTATGTGTGTCCCGAGGGCAGCAGAGTAAAGTGGGTGTGGAGGGGATGGTCTGAGTTTGTGCTAACTGAATCATTATCAAACATCACCTCAGAAAGAGATTTTAACACTGAAAACCATTGCAGTCATTTCATCTAATTGTTTTATATAAATACACTCACACATCCATCATTTAACTACATATTATTCATGCTTCTTTTTTACAGGTAAGTTACTGCTCGACCTGTCGTGCTCTGGACAGTAAATTCCAGTTTCCCACTTTCTTGAGGACGATCCCCAACGACGCTCACCAGTCCACAGCCATGGCCCAGCTCATCCTGCACTTCGGCTGGACCTGGGTGGGCACCATCGCCGCGGACGACGACTACGGCAAATATGGCATCAAAGATTTCAAAGAGGAAGTGGAAGAGGCCGGCGTCTGCATCTCCTTCTCCGAGACTCTGCCTAAGGTTCATGTGTGGGCCTTTTTTTCGGTCTCCCTAGGCAACCCCAATTTTTATTTTGAGCTAGCTGTGGGCAATTAGAGAGGCGACTCCAAAGGTCGTTCAGCAATTAGTATGGAAAATCTACAGATATTTTATTTAACATTTAACTACTGAGATCCTGCCTCTGTATTTAGGTCTGAATTTCAAAGAAAATTCATCATATATTCTTCAGTATAAAGACATTTCACCCAACATAAATTCGTGCCTGCGTAAAATGAATACCTAGAAATATAGATTGAAGATAAAGCAGAACATGCTTGAATTAAAGAGTTTTACTTTGGCTGTCTTAAAAAAAGTTTTGCCGATGGGACGGGGAAAACATTTATTTTTCTTATCATTCCAAGTGAGAATTAGTTGTTTCCCAAGCAATATTTCCTTGTCCCTTTGGCAAATTGTGTTTCAAGACCGACAAGAATGACTAAAATCTTTAAAGAATTCACCTAATTCAAGTACTGTATTAACAGACAACTCATTTGGGGATTCTAGGATGACCCAAGACGATTGAAGCAGAGACATTTTTTCCAGCAGATCAAATCATATCTGCATCCAAACCACAAAAAGAGAATGATTAAGATATATTTATATTAGTCAATTTAAAGGAGCAGTATGTACTAATCTGGCCAAAAGTGGTACTGCAGCCACTCCCACTTTCCCTGACTCAGGTTGCCAGATAAGCAGACGAATCCAGCTGGGACCATAATATCTGAATAGACAAGAGTTTTGTCAACAACAAATCTATTACCAACACCTTTTTCACAAAGGTCCGATCGAGAATCATAACAAGACCATTTTAGTTCTGCGACCACATGTTACTTTACCAGTGAGATTAGCTCCACGTTGTGAAATCTGGCAACCCGGATCACAGACTTTCTGATTGGTAAAACGGAGGGCGGGACATCGAAATTAAAACAATCGCAAGACTTTGGGGCTGTAAAACTAATTTTGAATTTTTAATATCTCGGCTGAACTACTGTTATCAGTTAAAGAAACACTGGAAAAGAGCATGGTTTATTAATACCTTTTGACAGATTAGGGCCCTTTAATGATGACTTGACATGAAAATCTTACATTAAATTTGAATTGTACAGTCTAATGATGAAGAGTCTGAAGAGTCCTTGGAAGATCTAGCAGAAAGTCTTCCCTCTCCCTCTGCAGGTGCATTCCCCGGAGGACATCCAGCGTATCGTGGAGACGGTGATGGAGTCCACGGCTCAGATCATCGTGGTGTTCTCCTCTGACGTGGACCTGCAGCCTCTGATCGGAGAACTGCTGCGGCACAACGTCACCAACCGGACCTGGATCGCCAGTGAGGCCTGGGTCACCTCCGCCCTCATCAACCAGCCTGGAGTAAGATCTATCTTTATAGACTCATTCCAAGTTAAATGACTGTTGCTTTTCCAAATCCATGGAACACTCTGCCTCCCTTTGTCTAAACTGCTCCGTCTTTGGAGTGTCTTTGCCTTGACCCACTTTTACCCACTTTTATTCTCTTTAAACAATGCCTGAGTAATGTGGTGTGTTTAATTTTATTAAATGGATCATTATCATGTTATTATGATACTTTTTCTCATTGATTATTTTGTCACTGGTTTTATTGTTTTGACTGTTTTTTTTTTTTACTGCCAACTCCTGTGCAGCACTGTAGAAACTATTTTATTTTTTGAAATGTGTTATAAGTAAAGTGAATTAGGATTTAGATAAATGTCATAGACCAACAAAATAGCATCAAAATAGTGTAAGTCAAATAATCAGACCTTATTGTAGGTCCCAAAGAATGTATTTGTTTTTTTCAGATGTTTGTATAAATTTATGATACAATTCTTAATATTATTCTCAAGCATTTCTGTGTTCAAATAAACCTAATACTGTTCTGTTTTTCTATAAAGGTTAGTTCTTTGCTTGGTGGGACACTTGGATTTGCAGTGAAAAGAGCTGACATTCCAGGTCTACAGCGCCATCTGCTGGACTTGGACCCATATAAAGATGGATTGACAGAGGAATTTTGGGAAATGGTGTGTGCCTCTGCCTCTATGAGTATTATCTGTTTGTATGTGACCTTTTCTTCCCTCTCAAAACCAGTAATTACACAAGTAAATTTCATTCTTTACAAATGGGCCGGCCGTGTCTCATGTGTGTGCTCAAAAAGTCACAAAGGTACTCAGTGAGATACGGAGGACAAGCCTATATTTTGGCCGACAGTTGCTAAAATACCACCAAGCTCCTGGACATATGAAATTTACAAATACATTGTAATCACTTCATTTCAAATTAACCATTCTAGGTTGAATCAAGACTAGTTTGTGTTCCACATATGGGACTTTAGATTTATTTTAAGTGACATTAAGCTCATCTGTGAAAAGGGAAATGTAGATAATTCAACTGTCCATAAGATCATCCCCTTCCAGCAGCTTATCCAAAATCATATCCAATGTGTTTAGGTAAAATATTGGATCTAAGAATTATTTTAAGAATTTTTTTTTTTTAAGAAAAGCCTATTTTTTGTTTAGAACTTTTCATGCACAGAAAAGACATGACTTATGTTTTAGAGATTTTAATTTAGAATTTAACACAAATTGACTCCTACTGTTTTGCCTTGCAGTACTTTGGTTGCACACTGGACTACAGCAGAGCCCTGAAACAGTCCAGGCTCAGGGCGGATCAGGTCAACAGCACAGTGGGCCGGGCAGCAGAGCCTGTATTAATGTGCTCTGGGATGGAGCAACTGACCAAATTCAATAACACATACTGGGATGTTTCACAGTTACGGATCACCTACAAGTATGTTTTGGCATCAGTCATAACAAATGTTTATGTTCCTTTGATATTAATCCATCCACACAGTGTCTACAAAGCAGTCTATGCTGTGGCCCATGCATTACACAACCTGGAGCACTGCGAGGACGGCAAGGGGCCGTTCACTGGGAAGACCTGTGCTAACATATCTAACTTTGAACCATGGCAGGTGAGGTTCACAGTGTCCTTAGAGCATGTCATATGTTGTTTCATTTTTTCTTTGTACTTCAGCTGATGTATTACATGAAGAATGTGGAGTACACGGTGCCTCACACAGGGGAGAGGATCTACTTTGATAACGGAGAAGTGGAGGCCTACTATGACATCATTAACTGGCAGGTGAACAGTGATGGAGAGATCTCCTACACAACTGTGGGCCAGTTCAATGTATCGGCAAATAAAACTTTGACCATAACAAATCACTCCATCACATGGAACAACCAGGAGCCTACGGTCAGCCACAAACCTGTTATACACAATATATCTCCAATTTTGTATTTACCTGAACACATTGTGCTTTAGCCTCCGAGATCAGTCTGCAGTGAAAACTGTGAGCCGGGCACCAGGAAAGGAATTCGTCAGGGAGAACCAGTCTGCTGTTTCGACTGCATCCCATGTGGTGATGGAGAGATCAGCAATCTGACGAGTAAGTCCCACATCGTGTTTATTGTTTCATTCTTCATATGACTATTTGGTCATAGATGACCTTGAAATTCCTTTAAATAAGAAGATAAATTGTACCAGTAATCAAACATAACACTTTGTTCATGTACTGACAGATGCTCGTGAATGCATCCTGTGCCATGAGGACGACTGGTCCAATGACGCCCACGATGAGTGTGTGCCCAAGGTCATTGAGTTCCTGGATTTTGAGGAGCCTCTGGGCATCACACTCATTGTGATCTCTGCGTTTGGAGCTCTCCTCACCATTGCTGTTGGGGTGAGCTTCACTAGGTCAAAATCCAATATAATGGACCATGATTTGGACACACTGAATGTATTCTGTTTTAGGTGGTGTTCATAGTCAATTTTAACACTCCTCTAGTGAAGGCCAATGACCCAGTGCTGAGCCTCAGCCTGCTCTTCTCTCTGGTCGTGACCTTCCTCTGCTCCATCGTCTTCCTGGGAAGACCTCAGCACTGGAGCTGCATGACCAGCCAAGTCGCCTTGGCTCTGGGCTTTTCTCTCTGCCTGTCCTCCATCATGGGTAGGATTCAATTAAATGTTAGTATTTTATTAAGAGTCAGAATCAGAATCATTTATTAATCACCACACAATAAGTTGGTGGATTTTGTTTCTGGTTCAGCAGGAAATATCATAGCTCAACTGTGCTACAGGGAAGACATACAAAACATGCATACATAAACAACAACATGGACATTCATATCAGGGAGTGGTTGAGGGACCGAAGTGGAAAGGGCCATTGTAAAATAAATTATACATTATAATTCCCAAACCGTGTGTGTTTTTGAACAGGTAAGGCAGCTGTCCTCATGCTGCGTGCTCTGGCCCTGAAGGCCCAGAGGACCAGAGACAAAGCAGCTGCTAAAGCTGCCAAAGCTGCAGCTGAAGCAGCGGCCAACAACTGTAGTCCTGATGTCATAGGAACTAATACCAACAACTACTTTGATGTGAGTGGAGTCCCAGAGAAAGACCAACTCACGTGTGGCCACCAGAGGGGCATGGCAGCTGTGGCCACTTTGATTCAGGTAATGCTCAAGGGTAAACACTTGTAAAAAACAGGCTTTCTAATGTGACAGTCTGTAGTCTGAATAAAATAAATGAAAATACATGCTCACTGATTCTGAGAGTACTGTACATGTGGCTCAAACTAATCACATGTGACTGCAATACTATGTCCCCAGGCCATCGCGTGCACTGTGTGGCTGCTGAAATTCCCTCCTCACCCCATCAAAAACACATCTGCCCAGAACATTAAGATCATTCTGGAGTGTCATGAAGGGAACGTGGTTTTCATCTGCTGCATCTTTGCGTACGACATCCTCCTGGCTCTCCTGGCTTTCATTTTTGCTTTCATTGCCCGTAAACTGGAGGATCACTTCAGGTACACAATCTTATAATAGAAATAAAATAATTGGCTTCACTTCTTTACAGATTTTTTTTCTATTTTAAACAGTATTGTTTGTATGTGTCAAATACACAAGTATTATAATAATTGTGTAATAATAGGTTATGCAAAATTATTCTTCCCACTTTTGTCTTGTGTTCATGTGACATCACAATATTCTAAAAGGCCTATAGTTTAAAATTGTGGTGGAGGGATTCTGGAAAGTCTTTGCTGGTAACTATAGTTAACTGTCAAAAGTCATTCTTTGATGATTTTTCTACAATGCCTGGGCCTAGAGCCTAGGAACCCCCATGCTGCTGAGTGTTCTCAAATTAGTTTGGACTTCTAAGATGTTGTCAGAAGTTAGCCAGGCTAGGGCCAATCCACACAACTGTCACAAAGTTCCTTATCTTCTTTATCAGCACATATCAACTACGGCCAAACACAAAAATGATGTTGGCCAGAAGAAAGGGCTTTCAGATATCAGAATAATATGGGGTCTTTGTGAATCAAATCCCTGTGCGGCACGGCACGGTGGCTGAGTGGAGAGCACTCTCGCTTCTCAGCAAGAAGGTCCTGGGTTCTGGATCTTTCTGAGTGGAGTTTGTATGTTCTACCTGTGTCTGCGTAGGTTTCCTCCGAGTGCTCCGGTTTCCCGTACTACTAAAAACATGAACAATAGGTCTGGCATGCGCCTCCTGTACTGGCGACCCCGCTCCCATCTCTGTGTGGAGCAAAAGACAAATGCCCACACCAATTGTAAAGCGCTTTGTGACTCTGGTCTGTGAAAGCCGGTATATAAATAAAGATTCCTTACTTACTGACCGTCAACTATTAGTCTAGAAAGAATGTGGACATTTTCTTTCTCAGCAAGTCTTTCTAATTTGACTTGTTTCTTACTTAGTACTAATGGGAATTGCACTCCAAAGAAATCCTGAAATAGAATGCTAACCATATTTAACATAACCTACAACACGTTCAATAATTCTATTACCAGATTCTTAAGCTACAAATAGAGTGTTAATCATGGAATCTCTTGAACTTGTGTTTCAGTGAGGGCAAGTGTGTGACGTTTGGATTGCTGGTCTTCTTTATCGTGTGGATTTCCTTCGTCCCAGCCTATCTCAGCACCAGGGGAAAGTTCATGGTGGCTGTCCAGATTTTCGCTATCCTCGCTTCCAGCTTCGGACTCCTTACGTGCATCTTCCTTCCAAAATGCTACATAATTCTAATCAAACCTGAACGTAACACAGAGGAGCTGATTCGGGCCCGCTCCAAACCCCGGGACTCCACCCTGACAGGGACGTCTGTCTCCATGGGCACAGCGGCCACTGAAATCAACTCAACCACTGCCTCCACTGCTATTGATGATTAGATGAAGCTAAATTCTATATATTTTGCTTAAGAGATTATTTTTGATCCTTTACCCATGTTATAATGGTAAATCAAATAGGAGTGTAGATGTGCTGAGCTTAAAATGTGCTGAAAGCTACTGTATGAAAGGAGAATCAGAAAAAATACAAATGCTATGTAATCGAATATTGTATGAATTATTCTGATAAATATAAAAGAAAAACCCACTAGAAGTCTACTTGATATGGATATGTTTTTTGTATTTTTGGTAAAAAACAAACGAGCAACAATAGAAATGGTTGGAAATAAAGTTATGACATAAATAAACTATTGTTATTTGAGGTCCTCTTGATTACATGTGTCACTGCCTGTGTCACCCTGGGTTTGATGGTAATTATATTTAGTAATTATAATGTTATACCAAACCATATAATGTGGTCTCTGGGTTCAGCTGTGAACGCACCATTGACTACTGTAGCTCTTCAGAATTCAGTCGCCTCTGCCCAGTTGGTATGAAAACATGTCCCCTTAATTCACTTTTGGGGGTCCAGCTGTCTATGTTTACAGTCTATGGGTTCAGATGTGTATATAAACATTTTTATTTTGTCTATGCAGTCTTCAAACCTTCTGTTGTCAAAAACAGTCTCTGTTTTAGAACTCAATCAATAAATCTAAATGACGTTGTACAGCGCCATCTGCTGGAGCTGGATCCATCCAACAGCCACTCTCATTTAGAACCATGTTTAGACCACGTTCGACCTTCTGGAAACTTGGCCTCTCCAACATTTGAAGCACAGATTACATTTGCAATAATGTAAAATAATGAAACAGTGCAACCATCGACAGCGACATGTCCACATGGAGCGTGATGCGGGTGTTGCCTTCATTCTTCATGGTCATGAAGAAAAGACTCCTGTTTAGAGGTCAACGCCGCAGGTAACAGCCACGTGAACGATGTGTGCACGTGTCCATTTTATTGTGGAATTTTTTTATCTATATATTTTTATCTTATATTTCATAAGGGCTTGGACACACGTCTGCTGTGACGAGGAGATATGTTCATCATTTCGCTCGGAGCCAGGTGAGATCCATGGGACGAGGCCGTGGTTTTGCAGCCATAGCAGTTAGCACCAAAGCAGTTAGCAACATAGCAACAATAGCAGTTAGCAACCATAGCAGTTAGCACCAAAGCAGTTAGCAGCTAACGTTAGCTTGGCTAATATGTATCTCAGTAAAGTAAAAGTATGAGGTTCATGAATTAAAGTCACACTCATAATTGCTGAAGGTATCATTTAAGGTGCATTCAACTATGGCAAAAGGAGAAACTGGGAAATAAGTTATAATTTTTTAATAGCTACATGAAATTAACTTGAATAATTAGAAGCTCATCTGGGCTGAATTATTACAGTTCTGTGGTTATCATATGTCCTCACAGATAGTTTGCTCCTAGGTCCATGTACTTTTGCGTTCAATACATTTTCTACTTTTGAAGGGAAATGGAAAATCGAAAAAAGGCTATTTTGCATTTTCAGGCACACAGCAATATATAAGAAATGAACATTTTGGTTTTTTCATTGTTAACTCACTGACTGCCAGGCATTTTCAGATTTGAGAAGTGCGTTCTGCCAGCAATTTCAGGTGATTTGACCCAACTTTGAAGTGCCACAGAATATTCATTTTTTAGACAATGTAAACACCAAGGGCACCAAATTAAAGATTAACCTCTCTGCTTTACTCTGGAAAAAACAGTTTGTTTCTACCTCTTACCGTTCTTGAGCTATTCGCCATAGAACAAAGCATACTTTCACCCACAACACCTGGTCTGAGCAAGAAAACAGAGAAAACGAGCTGTATGTAAACAGGAACATATCAAGCAGAAAAGAGACTTTAGATGCATTTTTGCTGCTTTAGTGACAACTCAAAACATCTTCACACTTGTTCTATTACAAAAATTATAAAAACATGACTCTGAAATAATACTTTTGATGGCAAATTGTTGGCAATTTATTCACAGATAGAAATTTTAACTTTCTTCTATACTATCAACCAAAACGTCAAACAACAACAACACAAAGATCAATAAAACTATAGATGTATAAAATAGAATGACGCGTGTGAATTTGAGTGTGTGTGTGTGTGAATGTCAGGCCCTGTTTATACTGAGACGCTGCGCAGACGTTTCCAGGCTATTAACAGAAACGACCTGGCTCCTAATGCAAATTTCTCAGTGTTCACATGAGGTTGAAAAACGATGTAGTTCTAGCGCCCGGCCAGTAGTGGGCAGAGAAACTTTACAACACTCACATGACCCCCAGCCCCGTGCCCAGCCCCCCTCTCGGCAGTATACTCACTTCCTGTGCCAGACCCTCAGAAAGTACCAACATCATTCTGCATTTTAACAGCAGCTGTGAACATGGAAACTGAACCTAGAGCTTCGTGTGGTCTCGTTTGGACGAACAAAGGTGTAGAATTATCCTCTGTGCCGCGCTGGAAGCCCACGAAGCTAGTTAGTGCGCGGGGCGCCATTTTTGTTTTCGTTTGTTCTCCGCTACTGCGCATGTCCAAATGTACGTGGCGGGGAGCAGCGCGGAGGCGGGGGTCAGAGCAGAGGGGGATTTCACACCTTTCCCCTCTCGCGGGTGTGAAAGAGCTCCCTGCTGTGCAGCGTATCTGAGTTGTCCCACTCTGCAGGCTGGATCTGAACACTTACGTTTTCACCCCCCTGAAACACAGTCTTCGTATGAACGGTTGGTAGAAACCGACATCCAACTATACCGTTTTACTGCCACATTGTCTCCGTGTAAACTCAGCCTCAGTGTGCGAGTGAGTGTCTGTGTGCGTGAGTGAGTGCGTGTGTGTCTGTGTGCGCGTGAGTGAGTGCGTGTGTGTGTTCGTGTGTGTGTGCGTGTGCGTGTGAGTGTTCGTGAGTGTGTGTATGAGTGAGTTCATCTGCTTTTTCAGTCCTCCCAGTAGTTCAGCTTTGAGTTGTAGAGGTTGAAACACTGTGTGCAACGGAACACGACACGCTGTGTACCATTTGTAGTTCTCCCTCCGTGAAGAAGAGCTCCAGAAAGTCTGGATCAGATGAATCCAGCTCCAGAAAGTCTGGATCAGATGAATCCAGCTCCAGAAAGTCTGGATCAGATGAATCCAGCTTCGCAGCCTCTGTCTGCAGTCTCTGAGGTCCAGGAGCTCCTGTGAAGGGCAACTGACTCGGCTCCCACTGATCCTCCTGTCAGCCATCTTCCCCAGAGCTTCTGGGTGACGAACGTGCTGGAAAATGGATACACACAATAACTATATTATACAGTGAATTTGTTACAATAAATCAATACATAAAATACAATGAAGGCCTTCCTCCCACATTATTGACTGACTACTTTTGGACCAAACAAGTATACTATATTATTATTATTATGTTATATTGCCATGGGATGTACAAGAATAGAAATAGTTCTTTTACCTTTTTTGTGCACAGCAACTGCCTCTTGATGCACCACCTGTAAATAATATAAATTTGTAAATCACTATACCAGTAGAATATATACTGTTATAGAATTATATACCCCATGAAGGAGGAAACTCAAAGGTCCTTTGTCTGATCAAAAGCGTAAGTTTATTGTTAACGCACAGTGCGGAGAGTCAGCATATGCACACAAAGGCAGCATGCTCAGCTCTGGGGGCCAGAGCCCCCAGCTTCCTGTATACAAGACACACCAAAGATAGTCACGCCCACAACGGAGCGGAGGGGGCCACCGGTGAGGAGGCGCACAGGAAGCGCCGGCGCTATCCCCTGTGGTGGCAGTGGCATGGGGTGTGAACAGACAGACAATGGTGGAAATGCAGGTCATACAGATGCAAGACGGAAAGACACAAGGGTGTGACAGACAGCAGGGACCTTCACAAAGCTCAGCATGGCGTAAGAAGGTCGTCTGCATTGATAAAAGGCCTTTGACGTCCGTGTATTTGCTGCGGCTGGTTTTAATGTAATTACTCCAAAAACTGTCACCACACTCCCCTCTTTTGATAATTCAAAACCATTTTTGCATTAATCAGTTAAATACCAGAGGCATCGTAATCACACCACCTTCAAGCTTGAAACACTTAAATTATTGCTGTCCAAAGTGGACAAGAAAAGACACATGCTTGTCAATAAAAGAAAGAGCACATTATAATAACACAATGGATCCGGACAGCGATAAGAGAAGGCAATATTAACATAATAAACACGGTCAGCACGGAAAGTAGTGTCAGTGTGGCCAGCATAACAGTCCAAGGGCCCATGCCGGTCTACGTTCGGTAGTCTTTTCCGCGGGAATACTCACGAGCAGTGCCGTCTCGCAGTCAGTGGCACCGCTCCCTATGAGCGTGTGTGGAGCGTTAGTGGTCATGGCGATGTTTGGTCTTGGAGCGGCAAGACTCTATTTGCGTTGAAGCCTTGGCCTCAGCACTCGGTTGGGCAGAGTGCTCGGGGTTTGGGGTGTGGCGACCATGGCTTGAGCACGCTCCAGATCGGCCAGGCCCAAAGCTCGTTTGATGGGAGACCTCATGACAGCACGCTTCACCATGTGCCTCATCAGGAACTGTAGAGCAGCCCTCATCTCCACCTCCTCCGGACACACGGGAGACGAGACACCAGGGGGCACTCCAGCAGAGCTCCAATCTGCATTATGGCCAGAGGGAGCAGGCTCTGGAGAAATCTTTGGAATGAGCAGCAGCTCTGCATACTTGCTGCGGCTGAGCAGAGCGCTCAGGGCCTTCATGGCTCCCAGGCCTTGGGGTCCGGGGGCTGGGGAGTTGGGCAAAGGGGGGTCGCCTCGGGAACGCTGGGAATCTCTGGGTGTTGTTGTTGGCCTGCTTCACCGATGGTGGTCGCACGCCGGCAGACCTATTCAGCGTAGGGAGCCGCGGATGGGCCTGGTCCGTCCGCGCCCTCGGTGTCCTTGTCTATGGCCCTCAGTGGCAGCACCGCACGACAGTGGTTGGCGTGGATCCAAGTTGTCCTCTCCGCGACCTTAACGG